ATTTTGGTTTTCTGTTTATCGTCTTTGTTGTTCAAGTTTGTTGGAAACTTGCCTCTTTCTGTCTTACTTTTAGCGAAGGATTCGCTATCTTCGCTGACGCTCACATAATTTGTCTGATCGAGAGTTTTGGGCTGATCTTTTTCAATTTTTGTAAATTGTTTCATTCTTTGAAGTTTATCATTGTGATCGATCTCCTCATCACTCTCACTTTCATTGTCTGTTTTTCTATTGTCAGATGGGAATATATTCGGCGCTACTGTATGAGAAATTTCCGAGGTCACTAAATCAAGCCTTTTCCGGATATTAAGCTCGTCTATTTCTTTATTTTCATGAGTTGGAAACTTTTCCAATACCCCTTTTTCTATTATTGCGACATCTGTCTGAGAAAACGGACGGCTATCATCTGTAATAAGTTTGCTCAGTTTTCTCTCGTATTTTGTTGCAACATCTATAAATTCTTTTGTGTCTTCAATATCAGTTTTTGAAATTGAATGCAACTGCACAGCCGCATGCGACATTTTTGGGAAAGCTACTTCCTTAGTGGCTTTAGTTAATTCTATTGGAAATTCTTGCTTATCACATACCTTTGACAAATTATAATAGCTTTCTGGTGCTTTGTCCTGAGATGCACTATTTGTCACCAATTCCTTAATACTTTCGGATATATCGTATTTAGTTCTTTCGTCTAATAAAAATTTAGCTGTTAATGATTTAATATCGTTCGGTTCTAATTTACTTTCACTATCTGTTTGTTTAATACAAATCTTTGATGTATCAAAAACTTTACGCTTTGAGCATTTCTTTTCACAGACAGCTTCTAGGTTTTCAGTACTTGTGCTCGTTTTACCCGTTTCTGAAACAGGCGAAACTATTTTCTGCTCTAAAATTCGGCTTGTACCTAAATTTTCCAAAATTAAGTCAGTTTCATTTAAAATCTGTTGCTCTATTGATGATACATCAATTTGGCGATCTACAGTTTCACGTTTACGTGGACTAAATGGTGTAGCTTCTAAGCTCCCTGAGGGATATCTACGTTCAATATCTTGTACAACTGCTTTTACCTTTGGCAATGTCTCTAATTCTCCGTCCTTATATACTAAGTCTTTGTGCTCATCAATACTTGCTGTTAAAATGTTGCCAGGTACCTGTTTTACTTGCTTATCTAAACCTACCACCTTCTCTCCTAAAGTCTTTTGCGTTTCACTTAAGTCTTCTGCAACCTCAAAGGCCTTGCGCTTCTTACAAACTTTCTCGCAAACCTCCTCCTCAATTTGCGCCAAGCCAATTGCTCCATGCTCCATTGCCTGAAGGGGAGATAATTTGACAATCTGCGTAGGTGGGTCACATTTGGTTAATTCCAAGAATGCGATATCTGCAGTCGTAAGAATTTGGTTCTCTACCTCAACGATATTTGGCTCGTTTTTGCCGTGGTCTGCTGCTCGCTTTTTCACTGGAAATGGAATAGCCGCAACCTCTGTACCACTGATCTTATCTTCAATGCTCTGTACAACCTCCTTCACCACGGGCACATTACCGCCGATATACTTTGGTGGCACACTCTGCTGTGTAGTATTGGAAGACTCCAAGGACTCGGTACTGCCACTGCTCTCCAAACGCAATATCTTGCGCCTAACATCACCGCAGCCCATAATCTGCTCTAGATACTCCCTATCACCAGCATCGCGCTGGACATCATCTAGCTCCGTTTGCTGTAGATGATCCTTCTGTTGCTCAGCTGCCATTGCAATTAGATCTATTTTGGTGCGTTCTACTTGCGTATTCAAAGTCGTTGTTGTGGTCGTTGTTGTCTTCGCAGTTGGACTACTTGTACTCATTTCTGTAAATGAGGTAGTGTCTTGTGAGTATGGTTTCGGGATATTGGGGGGAGCTGCCATTCTGTGTAGCAGCTTATCAGTTTCATCTGTACTTGTAAATGTATCGGATTTTACATTATGAACACTGAAGTGCTCTGTTTGAGGCGTTCCAGGTTGGCGAAATTTGTTTTTATTAGGAAGTAGAAACAAGGCAACAATTTAGACAGATTACACCTATATATTACAAAACAAACCAGACTTATATGTGGGGTTAGTTTATATACATAGTGCAATTATTGATCAGCAATCAGGGCTCGCCTCGCATGACTACAAGCTTTACGTCAATAACGCAGCAGCAGGCACAAACATGCAAATTGTTGTACGGTATACGATTTATGTAAGACAATGCGCTTGTTAAGTTAGTTGAAAAGCAAAAACATAAAAAAGTCTGGATAGACAGATGACAGATGCCAGATGCATTTGCCTAGCACTCATATCGTATAGTATATAGTATGCTATATATGACGTCGTGGATTCCGTGCCCATTTCTGCTGTTGCACCATTCAAATACATTTTTTAAATTTTCATTACGTTTGCATATTTTTACAGGAGTATTTAAGCAATATATGTTTAGATTTTTAATTGATTATTTGAAACCAACTTAAAATACAAAATTAGCAAGTACTGCAAGAATATATATTTATTAACCACGACATCATATGTCACATACGGTAATGCGATATGCTCACAAAATAATACACAATACGATACTTGATTGTTCGAGTCTTATCCATGTGCATTGTATAGATATTGTAAGAGTATGTCTGCCAACTAGCTATCACATTTACAAATACATATTAAGTATTTAGCCAATTAGATAAGGAAGCGCGTTAGGGGTGCATAGAAATCAAATGTTCATTAAGGTGTTCTTGTTGTAGTTATTGTTGCTGGTTGCAGGAAGCTGCAAATGCAAATAATCTATAAACTACACGAGTACGATTTATATTTATGCATGGTTACGTGGACGCTACTGTGATTTTTAATGTATTTTTTTTTTTTTTTTTGTTTAACTAAACATTGAGTTACATAATTCGTAGTTTAGATGAGAGTACATATGCTTTTTCGTTAAGGACTCACAAAAATTACGAAAAGCAACAGAATATAATTATTTGCACAAATCAAATAAAACCAAAAATATTGAAAACTCAAAGCCATGGTGGTTTACTGATATCGATAATTGGAATTGAAGTGCTGAATGCGTCATATTGGGATCGAAATGCATGAGATCACAATGGAATTGAAATATTGTGTGTCACTCAACACATTAAGGATCGCAATACATATATATGTATATATATATATATATTTATATATATAGATAAATATATTACTCGAATTTGAATTTGCAAAATCGTATGCCAAAAGTGTTTATCTTAATGAAAAAAATCGTATAGTATATATTCTATGTACATTATAATATTCGAATGTACATACACTTAATATTGGCTTATTTTTATAATCGTACTTGTATTTAACTAATTTTAAAGTTATACAAATTGTATCAATTATTGTAGCTTGCAGTAGTTGATAAAAACGTAAACTGAATTGCTTAAATAATTGTTAAAATTGCAAACGTAATTGTCGTTTTACGATAGATATAAACAATTATGTTATATAGGTTTATAGTTTGAGAGGAATAATTATAGAGAGACCTATCAGCGATACCCATCATAAGTGCTGAATTATTTTCTAATAATTGACCATTACACGGCAACTTTTCAAATTGTTTGCACAAAATTTGCTTTCAGAACTTACCAATTACAATACTTAAAATTACTTTAGTGTTTGTATTTTTTTTTTTACGGTTAGTGTAGTTTTATTTTAATTAATTTTTGGAATGTTTCGTTTTTTTTTTTTTTGTTATACTTTATGCATTGAATGAACCACAAATAACAAGTCAACGCTACAATAGTCGGTTACTAGATTTTTAATATTTGTATATTCAATTCAAACAAACGCACAAGAAACACAAACAAATGAATCATAAATATGCGTCTATTGGCCAGAAGACAGTGTGTTTACAGGAAAATTAGCTTCACTCCGTATTACCGTCGCGCGTACTTGGTAAACACAAATGTCAAACTAAATCAGCACCGAATGTGCGCCTGCTGCTATGCTACGAGAAATGTACGAAATTAAATTAAATTAAGTATACGCCAGCGCGTACGCTTTTCTCAGTTGCTTTGACGCCACTGCGGAATGACATAAGTGTGCTACATTTTTCACCTCTAGCTGATGCAAATAATAATTATCAATTATATCTATGACTCGAACTAGGTAAATATAGTAATATTAGATTGATACAATATATTCTCATACTATATATATAAAGATTTGCTGATAATTGTATTGAGGCACAGACTGTAAGACCATGCTTTTTAGTGGTTAACACCAAGAATGCAATCGTTTTATCGATTCGGACTGACCCGAAGAGGGCTCATAGTGTTGACATTGATACTTTTGAATGTTACACCCACAACGGCGCCAGACACAACAAAAAAATACTATTTGCGATTTTCTCTCTGGTTGCTTTCCTCATTTCCTCGACCTTTAGCTTTAAGCACCTGCAGGTAATTGGATTAACTAGCAAAATGTTCGTACAGTACTGCGTTACAACGGTATCACGGCATTTTCCTTGTAAAATATTATCACCACCTGCTGGCCATTAACTCAATGAGCTATATTCTTAAATTGCGTATTATGGTTATTTCACTTACAGACTTTTTTGATTAAGATACACACACTAGCAGTTATTTACATATTAGTTAACAATGTACTACATTGTCGTTTCCATTGAATCGTTTTTAATGAATGGTTGTTTGCATACAAAAAGCCTTTGGATTTTTAAATTAAACAAAATGAGTTCAAAACAACAATAAGGAGAACACAAAAAAACAATTAAATACTTGTACTAGTACATAAGTTGGTTAAAAGCAAAGGAAAACACTACATATTGTGACTAGAAAATCATATGGGAAAACAAGAATGGGGTGTTACGAGTTTATTATCTTTCTTTTTTTCTTTGTATCAAAAAGGCAAACACAAAAAGTTGATAAGTCAATTTACATAACAAATACGCTTATTGCATAGTAAAGGCAACAACTCATTTTGAAAAACTGAACTTACCAACTGTCGAAATGGCAGCAACGCGCTCAAACGTCGACTCTGTGGTTGAATGCAATGTCGTTACAGTGTCGGCAAGATAATCTATCAACAATAATTCTTCTTCACTCTGAACTTAATAATCAACCATGGTATTATTCTCTTACCATGCTCTAGGCTGCCAATGTTGCTCTGCTCATTCTGCTTCTCAGTTTTTGCATCACTTGGTGTGGGTGGTGGAGTTTGGGAGTGTGGAATGTCACTCGCTGTGGATTGAAAACAAATTATGGCTTAGACATTTTAGACATATATTTGAGTAAAATCGATTTAACCCACCGATTTGTATGAGTTCATCAGTCATTTCAATTAAACCCTCGCTCATCTTTTTGGTAATCGTGTCACCCACATATTTGCAGAATTCGGCATCGGTAAGCGATTTGCGTGGCTCAATGGGCAGTGGTGGACAGAGACCCTCATCGATGATGATATCGGTCACTGGCACAGTGGATCGCTTGCCAAAAGTATCGCTTTCGAATTCGCTGATCTTCTTAGCTGAGATGGGCAGCTGAGTTTCTTGCTCCATGGCAAGGAAATCAGCAGTCAATTTGCGTGTGGTAAATGGTGAAACTTCACCAATGGGTGCCGCGGACTCAATGCCATCTCCAATGGTGGCGATTTTTGCCTCTGGCTCCAGTATTGTTGCTTTTGGCGCCATGTAAGTGGTAGTTTCAATCTTACCGATAACGGTAGGCTCTACGGTAGCTAGTTTTGGCTGCAGGATTTCTGGCAATATGGTCGATTCAACGCGTGCTGTTGCGGCAAGTAATTCATTAATTACGCTCTTTTGCGGCTGAGACGGCAGCTGAGTTTGTTGTTCCATATTAAGGAAGTCAAATGTCAGCTGACGTTCATTGAAGGATTCCTCTTTCGGCTGTGTTGTCTTCTCAGCTGTTTTTGAGATTTCCTCGACTTGTGTCTTTCTGGTTTCCACTACTGGTATTTTGCTAGGCGGTGCTGGCTTCACAGAGATCTCAGATTCCGGCTCGGAAGCTATTGATGTCTGACTAGAGAGGAGCATCTTCTCAGGAGCAGTGGGTAGGCTTGGCAATTGAGTTTGCTGTTCCATGTTGAGAAAATCATGAGTATGCTTGCGAGCATCAAGAACAATTTTCTCTTCAATCTTGTGGAATGTGTCGACAACCTCGGCCACCTTCTCGGCCACTTTATCTTCCTTGCTGGCGGACATTAAGGTTGGCGCTGGCTTCGCAGAGATTACGGATTCCAGCTCGGTAGTTGTGGATGTTTGACTAGAGAGGAGCATCTTCTCAGGAGCAGTGGGTAGACTGGGCAGTTGAGTTTGCTGTTCCATGCTGAGAAAATCATGAGTATGCTTGCGAGCATCAAGAACAATTTTCTCCTCAATCTTGTGGAGTGTGTCGACAACCTCGGCAACCTTCTCTGCCACTTTATCTTCCTTGCTGGCGGACATTAAGGTTGGCGCTGGCTTCACAGAGATCACGGATTCCGGCTCGGAAGTTGTGGATGTCTGGCTGGACAACTTCTCAGGAGCAGTGGGTAGGCTGGGCAGTTGAGTTTGCTGTTCCATGCTGAGAAAATCATGAGTATGCTTGCGAGCATCAAGAACAATTTTCTCCTCAATCTTGTGGAGTGTGTCGACAACCTCGGCAACCTTCTCTGCCACTTTATCTTCCTTGCTGGCGGACATTAAGGTTGGCGCTGGCTTCACAGAGATCACGGATTCCGGCTCGGAAGTTGTGGATGTTTGACTAGAGAGGAGCATCTTCTCAGGAGCAGTGGGTAGACTGGGCAGTTGAGTTTGCTGTTCCATGCTGAGAAAATCATGAGTATGCTTGCGAGCATCAAGAACAATTTTCTCCTCAATCTTGTGGAGTGTGTCGACAACCTCGGCAACCTTCTCTGCCACTTTATCTTCCTTGCTGGGCGATAATTTGGGCATTTCTTGCTGAATCGTAATCAAAGATTCTTCAACTTTACCACCGAACTCTCCCAATTTGCTAGCTATTTCTGCAGGCTTGTCAGTTTTGGTTACTTTGTCCTCGATTTTATGGAAAGTTTCAATAAGTTCGGTGACTTTTTCAGTCAAAGTTTCGGCCTTGGCTGCAATTTCCGGTTGTTGTTTGGGTAGTTCGCTGCCCATTCCAGAAGTCATAATGGTAGTGGTAGATGATACAATGTCGTCAAAGACTTTCGTCTCTCTTTCGACTAACTTTTCCACGGATTTCCTGGGTTCTACTTTAGGTATTTTGCTTGCAGCTGGAGTTGTTTTGGGCTCAGCAACTGGGGCTGCTTTTGGCTCGGCTATGAGCTGGGACACCAATTGATTCTTCTGCTCTGCTTGCAGGAAATCTTGAGTTAGCTTTCGTGCATCTACTTCAGGAATCTTGGCGGCCTCACCAGTCTTCACTGGAATCTTGGACAGAGGCTTGTCCTGCTTAGCTTCCACTGGCTTGTCGAACTCAGTTTCCGCTGTGGCACGTGGAGCCGCTGTTGGTTTGATCTGTTCCTCACTGGGTTTTCTTGCCAGTTTGATTTGTTCCTCACTGGGTTTCCTTGCCAATTTGATCAGTTCCTCACTTGGTTTCCTTACAAGTTTCGGTATATGTGTCTTTGGCTCGCCACCATGGAAATCGTATTTAACCTTCTTGGCCTCGAAATCAGCAATTTTTTCATCAATTTTTGTGCTTTCGACAATTTGCACAGTCTTTGTTATCTGTTCCGTGGGCATTGACTGGACATCCTGCAGATGCTTTATGGTCTCGCTGATCTTCGTTGTTTCAGTGGCAATCTCACTGGATAACACTGTGCTCTTCTCCTTGATCTCCTGTTTGCCCGTCTCGAAGGAACTTATGATATTTTCCACCTTCTTACTGGCAGTGTCGGTTACCTCACTGATAACCTGTTCGACTTCCCTAATTGCTTCCTGGGGCATCGTTGCCACTGGACTGGTCTTCTCCTTGATCTCCTCCACGAACTTCTCATGAATTGTTACAGTTGTCTCGACAGCTGGGAGCTGGCTTCGTTTCTCGAATTCCAAGAAGTCTTCGGTCATATCTCGTGCTTCCTGACGAGTTATGGTAACCACTCGGCCACTGCTGGTGGTCGCCAGGTCCTTCTTTTCTGTCTTCTCAGCGGTGCTGATATCCTGCACAATCTTATCAATTTTGTCCGGCGAGGGCAAATCTTCCTCCTCAGAGCTGCGACCGGACGTTTTCAGCTTATGTGTTAACTCCCTATCGAACTCGGTCTTGCTCACTTCGGTCGAGTCCATTTTGCCCATCTTCATCTTGATGACCTGCTCGGGCACGGTGGCTGTTTTGATGATGACATTATCTGCGGGTAGCTGCATCATGATTTCGGATTCATGATGTGCCTTCTTGTCCTCAATCAAACTCTTGCGCTTGATTTCAGTTATCTCTTTTGTGATCTCTTTCTTTTGGGTTGAGGCCGGTATGGAGCGTTCCACCGAAAGACGTTTAACTATTTTTTCCCGGCGTTCGGCAACGGTTCGTTTAGCAGGTTCCTCATCGGACTCCGACTCTTCGACTTCCTTCTCCTCGGCAGAGTATTTCACTTCTTCGCGTTCGTTAATTTGCTGGATTCGCTTGCCTACAAACAAATAAATTTTAAATTAAATAGTATTCGATATATTTTTTTTAACTTACTTTCTCTGCGAACCAACTCCTCTACGGATTCTGAGTTCTTCATGAGATCGGCCTCGTCAAACTCGCGTGAATGCGATAGTCGTCCACTCTTGCACTTCTTCATAATATCGTCGCGTCCAATATTCTTTAGCGCTGTTTCCAGTGCCAGGATATCGTAGTTGGGCTTGTCTTTGTACAAACGAATCATGCTCTGCGCCTGCCGCGCAATACTGTCGGTATTGTGATTAATAATATCGTCGATCTCATCCGTCGTTATGCCTATTTCCGGTGCCAGTTGTATCCAGTCTTTGCCCAACAAATTGGACAGATCTACAATGCGTATATCACCAATATAGTGATCGTTTTGATGTTTGCTTAGGCTGAACATCGAGGTGCGATAGGCAGATGAGACGCGTTCCGAGAACGCTGTGGTCGAATCGGGTATGACCGCTTCCGGCAGTACAATATTTAGTATGCAGATAGGTTGCTGGGGTGGTTCACCCTTCGCAACTTTGGGTTCCTTCATGAACAGCGTACGACCAACGATATCCGCATGCTGATCCTTCACCCGAACCGTGAAGGGCAGGCGATTCTCACGGAAGGCTTTGAACTGCAATTGTAACTGATCGCCCGATTTGGTCACCGGCACCAGATTGCCGGCCATTTCAATGTACTGCGGCTTGCCCTCGAGCACCTCCACGTCGCGACTCTTGGCCACCTCCGTGTACAGTTCGTGTTTCTCAAGCGTCTTATCCTCGCGATCATCGGTCATGCAGAAGACACGAAGGCGTGCCTCGAACGGCTCTATTTTCTTGGCGAACACCACAAATCTGGCTATGAAGGGCACGTGAATGACCTCCCTGTAAGTGATATACTCAGTAGATTTAAGGCTAAGATATTACTACAGACAGCACTTACTTGTAGAGCTCTGTTGCCATTTTTGTTGCATCGGAAATGTTGCGGCAATCCATGAGCCAGAAGCGGGCGGAAACTGTGGTCGTAAATGAGACGCAGTCGTTGACAAATGTCAACGGTGTCGATCCGGTAACGTCCTCCCATTGGGCTCGGGATGGTCCGCCTATGGTTGGGTGATGGGAGGTAGTAAGATGTTCAATTTTTGGGCATAGATCAAGACAAAAAATACGCATAGACTAATTATTTAAAACTCTTTGAAAACTCTACTTTTGTCTCATTAGCAGATATAATTATATATGTAATTCGAAAATTGTTCAACTAATTCGAAAACGAAAACAATAACTCAACTCAAAAGTTTTTAAAGAGAGAGAGAAAGACGATCGTGTGTTAATTACAAAGCAATTGTTTGTTAAGAGAGAGTAGTATGGAAAAGTAGTAAGTTTGAATATTTATAAAAAGTATTATTGTATTTATTTAGCGTAAAAGTTATTGAAATATTAGTAAATTGGTTCTGGTTGTCTGTGTCTGTGGCATTTAGATTCATGTGATGCAGTGACTGGGTTAGGTCTAAGCCTTGTATAATGAGTGTGTTTGTGTGTGTGAGCGTGTGTGTGTGTAGTGTAGTGTTGTGTGAATATGGTAATGCCGCACTTTACTTTCAAGCAATATGTATATGTATATAGTTAATAGTAGTTAAATTTGTAGGGCTGTAGCATATACAGGGATACAAGTACAATGGAACTTGTTACGCTGACTTTGAAGCCATTTTGAAACAGCATGCTTAATATTTTCAAAATATAAAATTAGTTGTAGGCTTTTAATGGTAATTAAGTGAGCGTGTCATGTGTTTTGTTGTAAATGTGTAGAAAACGTTAAGGAAAAATAACAAACAGAACAATCAATTAAATCAAACAAAATGATAATAACAGAAACTTGAAAATAACTCAATAAACCGTCAGCTTGTTTATATACAATAAACAAAATATATTTTTTGCTTATATATTTTATAGAGCTTGCCATATCATTCATTTATGCCCTTTTAGAGTTCCTCAATAGCTTTGGCAGTGTTCTTTTTTTAACATTTGTTATTTTTTATTATTTTTTTTAGGTTTCAGAAAAGTTCTCTTTGGGTCCACAAACAGTATAAATTCGAAATTGAATTTAGATTTTGGAAAACAATTTATACATACATGAATATATTCTGCTTTACGTTGTTTTTGTAACAAATAATAAGGTAAGACACAACTCAAATCAAAACGCTCCAACAAAACTACGAATTAGCTTAAGTGCATGACATTCCAAATTAAGAATGTGAAATAAACAAACAAAGTTTTTACGAATAAGGCATGATAAATAAATCGAAATCGAAATCGAAATGAAAACTAAACAAATAAGTTTCGATTAAGTCATTTGGCTTTGAATTGAATACGATTTCATTGGCCCAAAGAGCAACTTTAGCATTATCTTATAAAATTTCATATTAAAGACCTATAAACTTTTTTTTATGAAAATGTGCAATTGATATATGTATAGTAAAACCGCGTGCAGTCAAAAATTCTTTAGTTAATTGTAGTTATTGTAAGTAGATTAGAGAGAACGCAGCAAATATGTTTGTTGGACAAGCTTAAAGTTCTTAAAAGTGAATTGGAAAGTTAGCTTACTTCAAAAAAAGAAGCTGCTTTGAGCTAGAAGCACAATATTAACTTGGCCTTGGCATAAATAATTATGCTTTGGAGTTGGGTCAGAGTAAGCCCCAAACAGAAAGTGTTCCTGAGCTTCATGTTTTGATTTTGTTGTTGGTTTTTATATTTTTTGGTAAGGACGCAGCGCAACCCGAATTTATGCAAAAAGGTTTAATAAAAAAATAGTTTAAATTAAGAAAAATAATTAAAGCAAAGAATAACAAAACTAAATCAACATTTCTTAAAGCATAGTAGATAAAAAAATATTTGCAATAGTCTTTTTTAATAGGAAATTTGTTTCAAATAAAATATGCAGAATTTTCAAATATTTTTTTCTTATTTTTATAATTTGATTGAAATTTGCTTAAATTTTCTTTTGTATTTTGATAATTGGTTCATTTTCAATAAATGACTATGGTATTATTGTTAATTATTTTGGCATAGAACGAAACAACTAAATATGAACAAATAACATTTTGTTTATATTGTAAACAGTTTCAATTTGAAACTTCATACATGTTTGTGAATTTCTGAATTTATTTTGTTTTATTTTGGACATTTTTCATTTTTTAGTTACCTTTTAGAGACCTTTTCCGAAACACACCTTCAATGGATTGAGAAAACAGAATGGAATGCGTGCACATATGCATTGACGCATTAGTACGAAATTATAGAACAATTAAATACGGTTTCAATTAAGAATTGAATTTAAGTATTTTTGTTTTTGTTTGGTATTGCTTTGTTCAAAAACTATAATCATAAACAAATAATATTGAAGTGAACCCATAGAACTTATAATTTATACTACACAATTAAGAAATAAGAACAAATATATAGTATTATATACTGGAGAGCAAACACTGTTGGCACAATGATGACACTGAGCATAACATTAAGTTGAATACGAGTATGTGTGAGAGGGTTCGTATCTGTATTTGTATTTGTATTTTGTATTTGTATTTGTAATTGTAATTGTGTGGGTGTAGCTTGAAATATGAGCGTATCTGTGTCTGTATGCGGGGAGGGTGAATGACTTTTACTATGCTGTTACTGATACTGTTACTGTTACTGTTACTGTTACTGTTACTGTTACTGTTACTGTTACTGTTACTGTTAGAAGTTTGCTGAATGTAATAGGCATTTCAATATCGACAAAATAATCAACTTTAGTTTTAAATTTAAGTGCTCCAGAAACACAATTGAATAACCCGGAACAACGAATACGCATTAACTACACAGACACAAGCACATTATTGTTTCTAACAAGATGGGGCCTCGATATTATTATGTCCCGAATTTTCAACATTTTCTTTATTTAATTTGTTAGCAATTTTCACTGTACAACATTATGTATATAGATATATGGCATGTATATATATAGTACATGATAATTGTATATGTAGTAAAATATATAGGTAGTAAATTTTATAGACAACTCAGATTAAGAAATACTCAACGAAATAATAGTGAATACATACTTGAGTTTATTAGGACAAAGAAAAACAAAAGCGAATCGAAACTAAATACAAAATCATACAAAACGAACACTTAAGTTGGAATGAATTAAATGAAAGCCTGAGGTATATAGAGAAGGGCTTCAGAAAGATACTGATAAACATCAAAACTAACAAAACGTAAATGTTAAGTAGATACTCATAATTGTTATATATGTATGTAACTGCTTGGAGCACATTTCACAACAACACAAAGAAAAAGAAAACAAAAGTATCGAGACGGCGAAACGGTAACAATTATAACTTACCTGTTATCGAACACAGCAGACGCAAAGTGGGCGTATTGCCCGAGTACTGATTAATCATACCCTGGCTGTGCGCCTTCGGGGCGGGCATACTCAGTGTGATGGCCTTATGGAACTTGCGGCGGCGCGGCTCAACCGTTACAATCGGTGAGACGGCAACGCCGCGACCCAGTAGCTTAGCAGTTAGATCCGGATCGACCGGTTGAGCCTAGAAATGTAACGAATTTTCGGCACTGTAGACAAAAAATCGATTTTGCGGCCACTCTTACAATATGAGGCATGAGACAAAGTAAACAAAATATAACCAATAAACAAAATCAAGTATGTAATGAAAAACCATATAGTTACAAAATATGCGCACATTTGTTTGTTTACCATATGTATAAGTATATAATTCTAATGATAAAACATAAAAGAAAATGAAATGAGTTTTTTCTTTTTTTTGGGCTAAATGGTGAACATTTTTTGTGTTTTGTTTCGCTTTGTTTTGGTTGTGTACAATGCTTATTCATTTGGATGTTTAATTCATACTAGTATTATTTATGGTTCTATTGAGCAATCGTATGTTTTAGTTAAATACAGCATAAGTTAACTACAAACAATAACAATGTTCAAGCCCATTTATGTCCCAATAAATTTAGTCATCAAAAAAACTTTGACTACAACTTAACGACTAGAAAACCAAAGTCAGAAATATAGAAAACAGAAGAAAAACAATTTAATATATTTATGTTATTATTGAAATTTAAATACAAAATGCAAATAAAATGTGCTAAAATTTGAACTCATGAGTGGGGCCATTATAAAATCGTTTTTTTGCTTACGGCATGGCTAAAATGTTACAACTGTCTTTAGGCACTTCAGAACCGGACCCAATTGTAACGGTCTAAGCATTTTTTACAATATAATATATACATATAAGTTTTGTATATTGTTCACATTGTTCTTTTTTTATTATTTCAAAAAAGCAATTTAATGAAAAATTAATTAATTAAATAAAATTAATGAAAAGATTTTCATTGGTATAAAGTTTTTGTTGAACTAAATTTATTGGGTAGTACTTCATTTCAGAAAACTTTTATAATCTTATGCATAAATAAGTAATTTATCAAGTATGATTAGTTTATAATAATAGGCATATATATGTATATATATGTATATATATATATAGTATTAAATTGTTTGTATGTACGTACTGCAATTGTCTTATTTAATTGGACAAATTGTTCAAGTATTTAAGCTTTAAGAAACTATGCGATCTGCCATAAGTCGCTGGATCCAAGATCAATCATCGTATAAGTATTATTGCAAGTCACTATTAAGTAAATTCTTCTTTTTTTTAGCATATGTGATTAAGTTACCGCGAAGACTGGCATTTCAGCTTGGTGTCGTTAAGTTGTCTACTCTATAGTTCTGTCGTGATTAAATATATTCAAACAAAGTGCACATATTTCATAAATAACATTTGAGCCCCTTTAAAAAAAGAATTGTACTCAAGAGGCATTCTAAGTGGTGAATATTTCAAAGCAAATCTAAATACTATTGTTTAAAGTATAATATTTCGATTTTGAGAATAGGTTTTTTAAATTGTTTTCTGGCCATGCTAGATATGTGTAAATATATAAGTAAAATTCACATCATCTACTTAGTTTTGGCTGCAACGAGTCTACGCGAATTACAGAGTTTATAGAACGGTATTACATAAGTACCCATGTATTTGGTTATTTAATATATAAATGCGTATTTGTAATATTTGGAAAAATTTGCGCCTTTGATATAATACGGTTATGGAAGTTGTATATGTTAAATGCACGATTAGAAATGTTTACTAAGTAGACCGATTACTTTATTTTGTAAATTTAGCTTGTCTGTTTTGGTTTTTTGGATTTTTGCGCTGTATAGTTTTTTGTTTGTTTCTGTGGGTGTTTTTTTTTTACCAAATGAGCGAGAAGCGCTTCTTTTTGGGCACATGATTGACGCTAATCTTGCGTAGTTTCTCTGGCGCAACGCCTTTGCGTGGTTTAAAGAGGTTTACCTGTAAGCCAACTTTGATTTTCTTGGTCAGTGCGCCCTGCGGGAAGACGGCCTGAACCTGCGGCACAACAGTGCTGGACACCATGCCACCCTCGGGACCAATCGCATGCACCTCCTGACGGATGCGCGACACAACAGCAAAGTACTGTGGGAAATCATAGGTGACAAAGCGGCACACATGATTGCCAGCCTGCTCCTCCAACTGGGCGATCTCTGTGGAACACAGTTTGTTACACTAGATATATAGCAAGAACACAAAGGATAGTTAACCACTGTCCACCACTCACCCTCCGGTTCGAAGCACTGTTGCATGACATCGTGAATGACTTCCTCGGAGTTGTCTATTGTGTGCTCGCGCCATGTTTCGCCATTATCGGAGCGTAGAATGATGATCTCACGCTCCTTGCCACGCAGCGATGCGAAATGTGGCACCTCCATGATCACGGGCCCAATGAACTTGGTCGAGCATGGTCCCAGCTCCAACACACGGCTGGCCAGGGCCTCACCCTCCATCAACTGCGGTGGATGCATGGTGCGCTGCGGCTTCACATAGCGGCAGGTCACCCGCGTCGGCTGGCAGGTGGAACGTGACGGTATGATCATACGGACGCCACTGTGGCGACAGCCACGCATCGCACCGCCGCGTGCATCCACCAGGAACGAGACCAGGAAGCTCTTCCAGCTCAGCTTGCGACTGTAAACGCACAGCATCAGAGATCGTAATCCCATCTATCTATGCGTGTACTTACCCCACATGAGGTGGCTCATCGCCGCTAGCTCCATTGGCAATGTAGACACCGTCGACGGTTGCCTTGGGCGAGTTGCCATATACCTGTGCCTTGTGCGGACTGATCATCTCCTCACCAATGGTGGGCGGTACTCCGCTGGCATATTCGCCACTCTGGGTCATGCGATTGGAGTCCATGCGCTCGTCGCGGGTCACATCGATCGGTAGCGAGTCATCGCCTAGGGATTTCATTTCATCAACGGTCAGATAGCGATAAGGTTGATCGGATAGCATATTGTCTTCGCCTAGATTTTGTTTTTCGATTTTCATTTCGGTTGCATTCCAGCGCATTTCAATTCAAGCACAAGACAAGTCCAATTGGCCATATAGCGTTGATTTTGTTGTTGTTATTATTATTGTTGTTTTTGTTGTATTATTGTGTTTTATTGTGTTTCGATTGTTGTTTCATTTGGTTCATGTTATTGTTATTGTTATTGGTTGTTGTTGCAGTTGATGAGAGCGCGGTGCATTGAAAATAGAAGAATGCAAATGAGTTTTTTGTTTAGTTGATAAATTTCGTAAATTCTACATGCAACGCTTTGTTAAATATAAATATATATATTTTATGGATTATAGTAGGATGATATATAAAGCTAGCATGAGTAATATATAGGCGTAACTTATTTTATTAAATATATGTGGTACATATTGTATTATTGATTTGCATGCCGGAGTACAAATAAAATAGGAGAGTTTTAATCTTAATGTAAGAAATCTGACAATTAAATAAAAGATATACTTTATTTTCCACACCCGAAAGCCTATCCATTGTATATTTACATTATCAGTTCCAATGAACGATATACAAACTAAGCACTGCAAATGAAACCGTTACGTTGCAAGCGAATTTTATTTAAAAGTTTGTACATCAACTTGTAAATAAGAATCGATAATCGATACGTTTTCGATTTCAAATCGTGATTTCGAGGGGGATTCACAAAATAAGGCAAAGAACTGTTCTCGTGTTTCGTGTGCTTACAACAACGTCAATAAATAATTTGTACATTTATGCGAGCAACCATATAAAGTGCTATATAATCCTTGCGGGTAATTGATTCATTTTTATTGCCAATCATCATAGCCAATTAATGCACTTGATAACAGGCAGCACTTCAATATGAGATAGATACGAGTAGGTTTTTACAATTGGCCTTGCAACGTTCGGTGGCACTTACTAGAGACATTTAGATAGTCGCCCTGGTAATATGGTCGACAGATGAGTGTATCTGGCCGATGACGATTTAGGTCACGATCAGCGCCAATGCCAAACTCGTAGCTGGCGTCCAATTCCCAATCTGTGTCACCTGGACGGCACACATAATTTTTGTTTTTTAATTTTACTTAGGACTTAAGTCTAGGCTTATGCCTATGCATATATTTTACTGTTAGTCTGAGTGAGTGCTGATAGTACTGATAAGTCTGTATGTGTGAAAATCTTGAATCAAATGCTAGTCTATACATACCACCCTCTTCCTCGGAGTCGGACATGAAGGATTCGTGCATGGCCTCTGGCGCAACGACACGATACTTTTCCTCGCTCTGTGCCGCTGCTGCAGCGGCTGCCTCATCCTCCTTGGTAATCGATTTGAGTGAGTCGAGGACACTAATATAGCCCAGTTTGCGAGCAATATGCAATGGCGTCTGGCCATTAACTGTCTGAGCATTGGCATTCGCTTTGTGCTCCAGCAGCAAGTTGACAATGTGACAGTGTCCCTGCTGGGCGGTCTGATGCAGTGGCGTATAGCCCGCCTTTGTGGCCATATCAATATTGGCTCCATTTTGCAGCAGGAAACGTACCATATTCGCCTGTCCGAAATGGGCGGCGACATGCAATGGTGTATATCCTGCCTTGGTGGCCATATCGATATTGGCGCCATTGCGTTGGAGAATCTCGGCCACATTAACATTATCCTCCTGAGCGCACAAGTGCATTGGGGTTAGACCGTTCTTGGCCGGATGATTGACGGCCGCCTTGTGTTCGATCAACAGATTGGAGATCTCCGCATGCCCCTCCTGGCTGCTCAGATGCAACGGCGTAAATCCGGCCTTGCTCTCGGCGTTCGCCTGAGCACCATACTCCAGCAGCGTTGTGGCAATGTCCATCTGGTTCTTCCTGGCCGCAATGTGCAGCGGAGTGTGTCCATTCTTGGCCGTAGCATGTGGACTGGCGCCCTTCTCTAACAGAAGCAGTGCCACCTGCTGATTGTTGTAGTGGCACGCCACATGCAACGGTGTCACACCATTCTTGCCCTGCGCATCCACATCCGCCTCCTTCTGCAGCAGCAACTGGGCGACCTTAATGTGCCCATACTTGGCCGTCAGATGCAATGGCGTGAATCCCTTCTTGGTGGCCGCATCCAAAGCGGCCCCATTCTCGATCAGCACAGCAGCAACCTAAGGAAAATATGCACATATATATATATATGTATAGAAATTAACAGCTTTCAGATACTGCTGTCTTTTCATGAATATAAAATATACAAAACTATATACAGTGAAGTGAGCTACAAATCAGAAAAATGTGAAATAAAATAAATAAATACCAAAATAATACCAAATAAGTGGCTACATTTATTGATGGCCAACATAAGAGACAACAACAAAAGACGCAACAATACTCGTAATACTCGATGAACGTAATAACATAAACAAAAGTCAATATTTTGTACAAAACAGAACTTAAAAGACAATTTTAAATGAAAAACTCCTGATGACGTATCCAGAACAATTGCATCAGGTAGACGGTGTCGATGTGATCCGTTATCTTTTTGGCAATCAAATCTTTTACCTCATCCTGACCCTCCTTGGCTGCGATATGCAGTGCGGTATACATATCCTTTGTCGTTGCATCCACCTGTGCACCATGCTGCAGCAGCAGCATCACAATATCCACATTGCCCAGTCGCGAGGCAATGTGCAGTGGCGTTTGCTGCTCTCGAGCACGTGCATCCACCTGGGCGCCATTGCGCAAGAGAATGCGAATGATGTCCGTCTGAAAGAAGAATTATTGAATGGCATTTGAAATTACATTATCAATAATCGAAAGAAGCAATGAGTATTTATTGAGTACTATCGATCTAAAGCTAACTTTATAGACTAATCAAAATGATGTGAAAGACTGATCACATACGCAAAATCAGTAGCAGCATCAGTCACAGCTGCCAGTTGACATACAAATTGAATTTGAGAAGAGATTTAATGTTGTAGTTGCTATTTTCAATACTCTGCACGGTTTGCAAGATGTGTTTGTCAATGAAGATTGAAGGCATTTGACTTTTGAACAACTTCTCAATGCAAACAAAGAATAAATATTCATATTGTAAGCCATTCGTGGATCTTATTTAAGAAATTAATGAATATTTCTCACACCAAATAAAGCAACCTTGTTTGACAACTTTCTGTGCTAGCTGAAATTCTTAATTGACTCAAAAATATTACTTTATAATTATTTATCTTGTTGGTCGGCCATTTTTAAATTGAAATTTTAATTCTTTGCACTGGATTTATTGCCATTTTCAAAGTGAAGACAAATAATTTTAATGGTGGACCAAAAAACAATGACAGAATTTTGAGTGCAACAAATTGATTTAGGAGCATCAATTGATGCAGGCAAAACCTTACAGATCAAAACTGATGATTGATGTTTGAAATCGCTCTTCTCTTATCGGCTGCTATCGAGTTAAGTGGATTTTAGTTGAAATTTGAAGTTAAAGTGTGAAGTTTGAAGAAAGGGAGAATTAATTGAAATGTGACTTTTACAATACTATCGAATGTTGAATGTATATTTCCAGTGTAAATTGAAGCTAAAACCAAGCACAATTTCTAGAAATCAGCTCAAGACTCACCTGGTTAGCACGTGCAGCCAAATGTAATGGCGTCTCTCCACGCACAGTGGGCACATCTGGACTGGCGTCGTGTTGCAGCAAATAAATGACGATATTCATGCAACCCATGAAGGCGGCCACATGCAGCGGAGTCAGGCCACTCTCTGTGGTGGCGCTGATGCTGGCGCCATGTCGGAGCAGCAGCTCAACGACCTTCAAGCGGTTCTTCTTGCACGCAATGTGCAGTGGCGTGAACCCATTTAGAGCACGTGCATTCGCATCGGCATTGCGATCGAGGAGTAGCTTCGCCACACGCACATGTCCGCAGTGGGCGGCCACATGCAGAGCCGTCAGGTAATCGACGGTCACCTCGTCGACGGGTGCACGATGGTACAGTAGGATGCGCGCCGCATCCACATGCTCACCCTGGGCAGCCATATGAAGTGGAGCTAAACCGTTCTTGGTCTTGGCGCTAATGGGTGCTCCACGCTCCAGCAACATGTCAACGACTTGCTCGTGGCCGGAGCGGGCGGCACAGTGGAGTGGTGTGAGGCCATCGCGGGTCTTTGCCTCAATGTTGCCACCCTTTTCGAGCAGGAGCGAGACCATGTTGGTCTTACCCCACTTGGCGGCGACATGCAGCGGACTGATATTGTGCTTGGCCGAGTAGTTGACATCGGCGCCCTTTTGGATAAGCAGATTGGCAATGTTCTGGTTGCCATAATGCGAGGCAATGTGAAGTGGAGTAAAACCCGACTTGGAGGTCACATCCGGATTGTGGTCGTTCTGTGAATGCAGTTAAATAATTGATAAGTAATCAATTGTCATCTAAAATGAATGTCTTCACGTACGTCCAGTAGTAGGGTGGCTGCTTTCACATCATCCTTCTTGGCAGCTATGTGCAGGGCAGGCAGACGCACCTTGCCACGCGTATCGCTCTCGAGGAGCACGGCGACAACCTTGTCGTGTCCCTGCTGCATGGCCACAGCCAGCGGAGTGAAACCATCCTCGGTGGCCAGACTCTGGTTGGCTCCGTTCGACAAGAGTAGGCGCACCACAGCATCATGATTCTCCTGGGCGGCCATATAAAGAGGCGTAAAGCCATTTTGAGACTGCACATTGACGGAGGCATTGTGCTCCAGCAGTAGCTTCACCACCTCCTCCTGTCCAGCCAGCGAGGCAATATGCAGTGCCGTATTACCCTTCTTGGTGGCGCTGTCGACAATCGCTCCTCTGCGCAGCAGCTCCGAGACGACGTGTATGTGTCCATCCTTGGAAGCCAAATGCAGAGCATTCAAACCGTTCTACACGGGATTCAATCGGAAATTAGACATCAAAATACAACATGTGAGATTAGGCTCTGACTTACTGCATTGCTGGTGTTAATGTCAATGTTGTTTTTCAAATGTTCCAGCACACGCTCCAGATTGCCAGCGCGTGCTGCTCGCAGGAAGGAAGTATTGCCATCGCCCTAGAATTATAAATTTATGATTTGCATAAGTATTTGATATACATAAAAAATAAAAAGCTAATTGTGATCTTTAAATATGTAGTTTGATAATCGACAACTTAAAAATTACAGCACCTTATAAGCTAGAGCTAATTCAAATTAGCAAATAATTAAACGTAGTTGCCACAGCACTTAAAATAAAATTTATTCTTGGCAACCGTGATAGTTTCTAAAAGTCCTTTTCTGCACAAATTTCAAAAAAAGATATGATCAATATGAATTATATTTTATAATTAATGATTGAGGTAGACCAAGGTAGAAGAATTAGAGGACACTTGAACTTTTAATCGACCTTCTGAGCTACTTTGAAGGCCATGATTACAACTAAGTCCAAGTCTCACATGGACTTGGCTTATCGCCTTGGGAGCTTGCAACCGAACGTTGCGTGATAGTTGCGTATTCATCAAATGAGCTTTGCCGAGGGGTATTTTATTGATCGTTTCTAGCAGTACATAAATATAAATACCCGCTGCGGTAGTTGCGCAACTGAAGCTCAAATGTGTAGTATGTGTAGTATGTGTGGTGAGTGTGTGTGAAGTGAGTGCACCTGCTCAAGTTCAGCTAGGCAACGGTCAAGGCGATGGGGTCAACGTCAGCGTTAACAATGCGCAGGTGTAATTCGGCTTTATGGCAACCACCCAACCACCACAACCCCTAAACCCCTATACACCCCTCACACACTAAACAGCTGCCATACCCCCCTTTTTATTGCCACCCACAATTTGTTTATGTTTTCCTTTTTGCCCCGTACGCTCCGGTGAACAGCGTCGAGTGTGCTAGCTACTGCCTGGAATTCGAAATCGAACATGACGTCATGTTGTGGCACTGGAAAGTGCAACGGGAAGGCGGCTTTGACAGTGGAAGTTTTCGTGCTGGAAAAAAGTTTTTTTTCAGCTCAGACGACGCCGCCTTAAGTGACCGCAGACCGGAATCTACTGTCCCGTCTCCAAGCAAAAGACAGAAGTCGCCACCATCAACCTCATCAACTCCACCTTGTCACCCAGCGCCTCTGCAAATACGGAAGTGAGTGAGTGAGCTCCTCTTTTCATGGCTGGGCCAACAAAAAACTCATTTCGTATGCCTGCCCAGCGATTTGTAAAGGATGTCTTTGGGTGCTGACTGCTTCCTTATTTGCCCAACTCGATGCTACACAATAGAGATAAGGGTTGGAGGGGCAGAAACAGAGACATGGACACATTGAAAGTTCAAAGGTGCTTGCTTGCCAGGCACATTGTATAACAAGCTCAAGTTTTATAAATTGAGTGCTTGAACACAAAATGTAGCAAGTTGGCTTTGGAGCCTTGAAGTGGGTTTATTCTTTGAACTTGTACTTATGTCGCCCAAGTGGCAACATGTTTGGTAATACTCGAGACTCGAGTGCAAGCCACAAATGATGATGGTTAATGATTTCTAAACATTATTGAAATTGAGCGCAGCAGGAGAAAAGTGCTACGCAAAATAATGACTCATGTTATGGATTTTTTCTCTGCATGGCGTAAATGTCGCATGTCATCATTAAATTTAACCTAAATCTCTATTACCTGAACACTAACACAAACAGAACGCACCACACCCAGTTCGGGCTGTGAGAGAGACAGAGAGGAGCAAAGGAGCTGAGTAGCTCTCGCCCAAGCTCTTAACAATGGTTACTTAACTATTTATGGGACATTGTTTAAGAATGAATTAGGATTAATGCCTCCAAAAATTGCACAATATTATATTTGAGTTCAATATTAAGCATTTGTCTTTACAAAAAATCGATACAACTTTGCCATCATTAAAATGGGTGGGACCAAAAAAATATATATATCAAATAGAGCCCAATGCACTTCTTCTGAAAACTTCACCACTCAATTATGCTTAGTACATTTTAATTGCTTTTGAATAAGTTATAAGCCGTTTTCCGACCAGACTGAAAAATCGATAATGTGCAAAATGGACGCCAACATGGCCGTCCCAGACAGTCTGGCCGAAAAGTTAGTGCACACTGCAAATGAAGTGAAATATTTGGTTAAAAATGCATTACCTGAGCTCCATTTTCAGTGACCATTTTGTGTTCACTGATTTCCAATTCGAACAATTAGAAATGACAACCAAATTTCAAATTCGTACACCTTAATACTTGTATGGAAGTATCTCTGTATATCGAGTATGGAGATATTGTGTAAGCGATGCTCGCGTCACTGATTAGTCATCGTTTTTCTTTTTTTCACTGGACTAATTAATGAGTTCTCCTTTTTGTTGACTTTTATGCGTAAAGTAAACTACTTCAGATTTTCTTTGTTGAATTTTAAATGCACTCGCATCGATTTTTCCTTAGATTTTATGTAAGCTTCGTGTATGCGTGTGTGTGTGTGAGGGTGTGTGTGTGTGTGTGTGTGTATGTACGTGTATCTGTGTGTGAGTGTCAGTGTGTCTGTGTGTGACTGTAACTGTATAACTGTGACTGTGTTGGTGCCGTCTGATTGGATTCCTTTTTCTCTGCTCTTTTCAACACAGTCGCTACTGAATAAGAATAAACGCTGAGGAGCGTTCAATTTTTTTGCTGCCGTTTTCTTCAATGTTCAACTCCAGACTGGATGCGTGGCCTGGCCCAGCGAAAAGTCCTACCAGTCGTGGTTGAATTTCAGTCGGCATCGCCAGGATTTTCGAAGGACCTGCGCACTTGCACACACTTCCAGTTGGAAATCAGCGACAGTCAACCAACTCAACTCTCTGCTTCTGCGTCTGCGCCACCATCCAAGGGTGGTTTACGGTTTACTGGAAGCGGAAGCGACTGCCGCCCGTTTGACACGTGCGTTTCGCTTTGTTGACATTTTGCTTGGCGAGGAGAGGGAAGAACTGGAGTGACGGAGTGAGGAGTGAGGAGAGCAACCAAACAACGGACACGTACCAAATACCAAGTGCAACCACAAACAAAAGTTGATTTACATTTTTAAAGCAGCATTGTTGGGCATATCAAACAATCAACACTTAAAACACTTATAAGAAAAAAGGAAATCAAAGCGAGTTATTCGAGAAACAATATTATTTTAATATTAAATGAAATATCTAAGAAGGTTTCTTAAAAGCTTATCCATCGTTTGTAACATTATATTATTGTTGTCCTTCAAAATAGGTTCCAGCAGTTACTTAATTAACTTATCATTCATTTCCTGGCGCACCCAAAACACATACGTAACTTGAGTTGGGCAACGCATTAGACTAATTAGCTGAGTAAATAGAATAATTACCAAGCCAAACACACACACATGCAGCTCATTTCCCTCTGGGCAGCATTCAAAAGTTGTTGACTAAGCATAAACAAGGCCAGCAAAAGAGGAACTGCAGACAATCCACAGTTGGTTGTTGGGTGTTCAGCTCTTTGTATTTTTGGGTTTGAATTTGGGGGTGGGTGGGTTCTGGTCAGCTTCCAAGTCGCTTCCATGAGTTGGTCGCTGGCGCAGACGCAACGCTTGATGACTGGATGTTGTTTACTTCCCGATTCGAACTGGAGGAGAGCCCAGTTCGAAAATAACACCCTTAAATCCCAAAATCACCCTAGGCGGTAATCCCAATAAGATGCGAATGCAGTTGAACAATCACGTTTTTGCCAAGTAAGCCAAGTCAAGAATAAAAGGAACGACACAATTTCCACTATTGCCATAAATATGCCCTGCACATTGTTTTTGGTTCACTTTGTTTGGCGCAAATTAGGCGAAATAAGGGAACACGAACCAACCCTGCTGCGCTATGAAAACTCACCCTTTTGGCGATTGCGTAAAATTGCATTTCAAATTGCATCGTGACCAGGGCAAATTGTAAAGTGTGTGCGTGAATCACGTTGCAATAAAATGTGGCCAAGGGATGTGGGTGGAGCGGTTCAGGGGTTGGGGTACGGAAAATACGTAGCATGTAGCATGCAAGGTGCGACGCACATTTTGGTATTTAATTAAAGAGCCTGCTTTCTTACTTTTAGGGGTGTCTTCACAGTGCAGTTTGCTTGGCCCTTATCGCTTGGCCAAACATTGACTTAGTGTTTGTTTTGGCCAACAAAGGGTTCTCGATTACACTTTAAACCAACTCCCCATAAAATCGAGGGTTGTGCCTGAACAACATGCCTGAAGCTTAACTAAATTGCATGTTTGCATGTCAGCTGGTACTCATAAAATGTCTTTTCGAATACTCTTCACCATTTAAATGGGTGTCATAAGATTATCACGTTGCTTGTGTATTGTGTTTTGAAGGAATATATTAAAGAAATTAATTAATATCCTTTTATATTTATAAGTCAGTCAGATGCCATAATTGAATTAAAGCGTTGAGTCAAGCTACATTATTAGCTGTCTTAAGGTGTTGGTATTTTATTTAGTAAAGGGAAATATATTGTATTGAACATTATATAGACCTTTTTCCGTTACAGACAAATTAAATAAATAAACACACCTGAATTCTGATAAATAAGTCATGAAATCATTATTTGCAAGAGCTTATTGATAATTACCTCAATTATAATAATAATATTGATATTAAATAAAATTAAGTTGCATGAGAAGTAAAAGGACAAATATCACTTAGCAATTTATTCAAGCATCTTATCAAACCTCAAATAAATACTTCTTTCTTTTTTAATTAAAATTTAAGTATTCCATTTTGTTTTTAATTTTATTTAATTTATTTTTTACTTTTTGTATTTTTCAGTGTTGACTGAAATTTGTTGACAGTAAATAAATAAATATAATTTTTAAATAATAAAATTTCTATACAACAAAGTGATTTATTTGACACATGTGAGTTTACTATACAAAGTTTGTCTTTTATTTATTTATTTTAATATATAGCACAAGAGTGTTTAGCTTTCGACACCATTGGAAACATTGCTTGTTTTGCCTGACATGATGTATGAAATTACTAAAGCCACTAAAACAGCAAAGACAACACAGCATTGCCCTGAGTAAAACATAAGCTAATTCACAAATCCACAAATTTGACGACCTTTAAAAACGCACACTAAACGAGTGAGACACGGCAGCCAAGGGGAGTGTGGTGATGAGGTGATGAGGTGGCTAGATGGGTGCTCCCATGTTTATGAATAGTTCACTGCACCGCGTGCCAGACAAAAGCGATGCCAACATCAGCGTCACACGCACAGAAAGACAAAAAAAGATTTCGATTTTTTCGCACATAATATTTATGCATATGGCAACTGCATAGATTTGGGGTAGGAAATGGATTTTCTAGTAGATCGAATCTTTGCACATATATATTACATAAAATGAGCTCAAGGTGTCAGCGACTTACTCCCAAACTCTGCAGCGATGGAAAACGTTTCTTCAATGTCTCCATTCCGTTGGCGTTTGGCGTCCTCTAGCCAAAATCACACATTCGTTACTGGGCTAATAATTTTAGACGTGTGTATATGAAATAATATAAATATATATATATATAATAATATATATATGTATATATGTGTGAGAATGCCTCACGCGAACAACAACAGACAGCGAGCGATTTGAGTCGTATTCTAAATTATTTTCGATTGCGGACCCATTAAACACAAACAGCAGCAGCAGTGGCAGCAGCAATGTTGAGAACCGACAACCCGACAGAGACCAAATGCGAAGAGTGCAAAGAGAAATTCGCCAGTTGGTTATTTTTAAACAATACGACCAAAAACAAAAACACACACACACACACAAAATTTAGAAATAAAAAAGCTTTTGAGAGTGCAGGATGACGAGGGCTGCTATTAGAAAAAAGAGGTAGGTAGAAGATTGTTGAAAATGGGGTGGGGTGGTAACAAGTTGACTAATTTAAAGCTTTTTAATAAACCTTAAAGGATGCCTTGGAGACGAAATGACGCCGCTAGACGCCAGAGAGTCGTCATGGAGTTGTTAATGGCCAAAACCACAAGGACAACAACAAAGATGATGACTCATTTGGCACTCAGTTATTCCAAGCATTCTCAAGGATTTCGATTGCGTCATTGTAGACAAGTACAGCAAACAGAGTATAGATACAACTAACAGATATGACTTAAACAGTTTAAGTGAGTCAGAATCCAATTTGACGCGATCACATCAAACACAAAAGGATACGCCTTGCACTCACCGCGCTCTGGTGTCCTGTGGGGCAATGCTCGTGCTTATCGTGATGATGATGATGTTGCTTGCCACTGTTGCTGTTGCTGCCGGGCGTGGCAGCCGCATGCTGGAAGGTCAAATCATGCTGATGCTGAAAATAGTCGTAGTGGCCGTACTCGTAGCGCTCGCCAGGCGGCGATGACACCTGCGATGGTGGACTATGCGGATGCGGATGAGCCTTGGGTGCACTCCCATGACCCGTTGAGTGATGTGATTTCTTGTGCTGCTGCTGCTGCTGATGCTGTTGCTGTTGCTCTGGATGATGATGTGATTGGGATTGCGATTGCTGGTGATGCGAGGAGGCGTTGCCATGTCCTCCACCATGATGGTGATGGTGATGATTGGGTGGCGATGGCATATTGTGGCCACTGTGTGGCAAATGCGAGGAATGCTGCACGCCTACCTGATGGCCATGATGGTGCGGCACATGACCTTGCGATGCCTCCATCAGCGTTGGCTGTATGTGAGTCACAAACTGTGCCATTTTTTCCCACTTTTCGACACAATTTTGCACTTGTTTGATTACGGCTTTCAGTTAAAACACTTGATAAACTTTTCACTAGATTGTATCAAGATACATATACATATAAGTATACTAAAAAAGAGGGAGTGTGTAGCAAGAGCAACACTTACACTCACACTCCCATCCACTTTCTCACACACACACACACACACAGTTGCACGGAGTTATAGGAGGTTCGAGTGGTTGGTTGGACGACGGATTGGATTTTTGGTTTTGTGCGCGTGGACAACCTTTACGCAGGAGCAATGTCAAATGACTGGCCTAGCCAAGGCAGCAGCTATCCCAGTTTTGTGCCTTAGATGTGACGGGACTTTCACCTCGTCCTTCGTGCCGCATTTCGCCAATCGCTTCGGCTGCGAATCGTGCGCGGGTTTTATTTTATATTTGGGGTGGTGGTGATGATTGTGGGTTAACGGAAGCTTTAACCGGACCAAGTTTTATGTGCTGCTGCTGCTGCTTGTGATAAGAGATGCTGCCAGCTGACACGCATACACAATAAACACATGATTTATTTTTGTACTGCTTTTTTTTGTTTTTTTCAAGTATGTGACACACATTAAGTTCGCCGTATCGCTGGAAGTGCGTCTGTTTGTATCTGAAACGTAATTTTGTTTATTTTTATTAATAAACAGCCTTTGATCTAATTTAACGGCGCCACAAAATATGCCACATAATTTGCATGAATTTGAAAATTATTCGACCCATTAACTTTGGGCGCGCTTGCTGCAGAGCTTTTTTGACAAGTAGAAAGCTTTTGCTAATATTCCTTGTTACACTTTCAAAGCCTGCGGATCGTGGAAGTGTGTGACTCGACTAATGTGCCAAGACAAATGATATTCAGTATGCTTATTTTAATATTTAGTCTCACTCTCACGTATTTAAAAGTTTATTGACTACTCTCAACGAACGAACGCAAGCTTTAAGTGTGACCAAATGAGAGACAGGCAGAGTGAGAGTGAGCAAAAGCAACAGAGTTGCGGAAAAAACCCGTTTGATTTAATAAACGACGAGACGTCGGCGAGCAGACAACGCGACCCAATTAATAGTGGAATTATAAATAAACGGCATATTGCTTATAGAAATTTTTCATATAATTTGAACAATTTTCAAAGTCATGGCGTTTCTCAATAAGGTAAAAGAAAAGAAAAGTAACCAGCTGTTGATCGATGTGGAAGACATTTTAAAAATAATAAAATAAGAAATAGCAGCACTAGCGTATTTTTTCGACTATGCTTCTGTTCTTATCGGCGTTTGTTGTACTTTGAACCCAGTTGGACCTGTGGACTTTAATGAGTTGTTATGACCAAATACTTAAATGAAAATACATTTTGCAATTATTTGTTTTTAGCTTGCAGCGCCTGCATTGCGACAGCTGGTTGCCAGTCGTTCATATGCAGCCGTCTCACATGTGTCGCCCACTGGCACCTCCTTTGCGCTGACGGAGGAGCAGCAACAGCTGCAGGAGCTGGCACGCAAGTTTACACGCGAGGAGATCATTCCTGTGGCAGCGCAATACGACAAATCCGGCGAGTACCCATGGCCCATTATCAAGAAGGCCTGGGAACTGGGTCTGATGAACAATCACATCCCAGCGGAGTTGGGTGGCCTGGAATTGGATGTGTTCACCACATGTCTGACGGCCGAGGAGTTAGCTTATGGCTGCACCGGCATCATGACGGCGCTGGAGGCCAGCGGTCTGGGCGTAAGTGAAATGCAATTTAATTTCTCGTACACAAAATTCAATCTCCTTTCCCGTAGCAAACACCTGTGATCTTATCAGCCAATAAGGAGCAGAAGAAAAAGTATCTGGGCCGACTGCTGGAGGAGCCCCTGGTGGCTGCGTACTGTGTGACGGAACCGGGTGCCGGCTCCGATGTGAGTGGCATTAAGACGCGTGCCGAGAAGAAGGGCGATGAGTATGTGCTCAATGGCCAGAAGATGTGGATCACAAACGGTGGCGTTGCCAACTGGTACTTTGTGCTCGCCCGCACCAATCCCGACCCCAAGTGCCCGGCTAGCAAGGCTTTCACTGGCTTCATTGTCGATCGCGATACACCCGGTCTGACGCCTGGCCGTAAAGAGCAGAACATGGGCCAGCGTGCCTCCGATACGCGTGGCATTACCTTCGAGGATGTGCGTGTGCCCAAGGAGAATGTATTGGTTGGCGAGGGTGCGGGCTTCAAAATTGCCATGGGCACCTTTGATAAGACCCGCCCACCAGTCGCTGCCGGCGCCGTTGGCCTCGCACAGCGTTGCATGGACGAGGCACTGAAGTATGCACTGGAACGCAAAACTTTCGGTGTTCCGATTGCTCATCATCAGGCCGTGCAGTTCATGCTGGCCGACATGGCCATTGGTGTGGAGACATCGCGTCTGGCGTGGCGTCTGTCCGCCTGGGAGATCGATCAGGGACGTAGGAACAGTTACTATGCCTCGATTGCTAAGTGCCATGCCGCCGATATGGCCAACAAGATTGCCTCCGATGCCGTGCAAATCTTTGGCGGCAATGGCTTCAACAGCGAATATCCCGTTGAGAAGCTAATGCGCGATGCCAAGATCTATCAGATCTATGAGGGCACCTCACAAATCCAGCGCCTCATTATCTCTAGAAACATGTACGAGACGGCCAAGGGCAGTGCTGTTTGATAATCTATCAACCACTTTGTAATCCTCACACACGAAAAAAAAAAAACGTCAAATAAAATAAGTTAGGTTACTTAAACACAATAGGAATTATTGAGGCAGAATATAACCATTTTTATATTGTGGTACATACAGCTGTGGTCAAAATAATAATACTGTTCACATATGTTTTGAAAAAAGTTTTAAAAAAATAGTTAAAATCTAGAAAACAACATTTTATTTGAACACATACAAGCAATACTGAAATGAGTTAAAATTGAAAGCTATAAAACTATGAACAAAAAAATTTAATTGTGCCAGTAAAAATAATAATAGTGGAATAATAGTGACACTTCTCCAATTCTTGAATGGTCAATTCCAATGTTATTTTGTTTAATTTAAACTTTTTGCATGTTTATGGAATACTTTTAGATAAGCAAATAAGTTACAAGCACAATCACTATTATTATTATTTTGACTGCGGAAACAGAAAATAAACAAAAGGAATAGGTCAAATATAAATAGGGGTATGAGGAGATATGTCGAAGAGTATAATGATCCAAGGAATCCAAGGGCTTATGAAAATATTGAGAATTTCCACTTTATGCAGCAGCACCACTATTATTTCGACTATCAATTGCCGATATGCTAGTAAATTTAGAAATCTACTTAAACTAGGCCATGCGTAAATACTTTCTGATAAGCTAGGAATGTTATCAACTTGTCAACAATCCCTCTGCGAATTACGGTTATTTTATTCTACGTCAAGTAATACAAAACAAACAAAAAACGGCACTTGAAACACAACAAGATAGTTTATATCCTAAAGTTTAGGTGGCGCTCCATTGCAAATCAGTTTCGTTCACGTAGAGCTTCAATGGACCCTTAATTCGCTTGGGTGGCAACACCTTCGCCTTGTCGCCCCATTTTAGCTGCCAAACGGTAATCAGCGTGGCTAAAGCATTCGGCTCATCAATGTGCAACTCCATGCGCCTTGGCAACTGTTGCTGTTGCTCCAGTTTCTGGAGGCGCTGGTCATCCAGTAGGCGCACACAATTCGTGGCCAGGAGAACACGCAGCTGGGGAATCGCGTCCAGCACATAGCCCAGAGCGGCGCCAGTTAATCGCTCATTGTCACTTATGTCCAACCATTCCAGCTGCTTTGCTTTCGCCAATTGTTGCGTCATCTTGTACATATGGGCATCTGTCAGCCCACAGCCGGCGAGCTCAAGGCGCACAAATCTCTCACTGGTACCACTCTCGAGCAGCGTCACCAACCGTTCGCCGAGCGCAAAGCCGCTCTGCTCGTCGAGGGGCCAACGCACGTAGCTGAGATTCAGTTGCTCCAAGCGACAACTGTTCAACTGATCCGTCAATCTGTGCACACTCTGGCGACTTAGCTGATTGAAGCTTATGTCAAAGCTGGTCAATTGCGTGTAGGCTAAATCAAAGTCCTGCAACTCGGTCAGTTCACACTGCGATAGCAGCAGTGTGTGCACCGCTCGTCCAGCGGAACTGCCACAGAATCTATGCAAAGTTCTCAGACTGGCATTGCCCAGCGGATTTTGGCTGAGTTGCAGTTCCTCTAAATTATCCAGCTTCTCCATGGCTTGACCGCAGAGCAATGCCTCCAGGCCCGGATTACAGATGCCATTGCACCTCAAACGAAGCGTCTTCAGCTGCAGCAGCGTCGGCAACGCTTTGGCCAACTGCTGACAGCCCTCGTTGCCAATGAAGTTGTTGGAGAGATCCAACAGCGTGAGACGCGCCTGATGCAGCAATGCCTTGAAGATTGGCTCCGTTTGCATCTCACGCAGCCAGAGGCCACTCAGCATCAGTGTTTGTGTGTTTTGTGAACGCTCCAGCAGCAGTTTGATCTTATCATCAACAACTGGAATAAACGAGAAGTCTACAAACATGCACAATAAATAATTTAAGTACGCACTTTTCTGCATTTGATGGCACATCTCCTCGTAGCGTTGCGAGAGCGGGGAGATTTTCCAATCCAGTATGGTGGACAGCAACATGTTCTGTTCCAGGGCAACGCTGACAGCATCCGTCTCCTCATAGGCAAATCCATCGGAAGTCTTCAGACGCAACAGTGGTGTCAGCCCAGTTAATCTGAGGCGGAATTATAATTTAAGCAGTTGATGAAAAAGTATCCAGAAACACTCACTTATTGTAGCGTCGTCCTGCCTCCTCGGCCAGCCACCGCATATTGATATCCTGCAGCTTCTTGCGATCGATGGGCACCAGCAAGAGTTCATCCTGCACCTTCACCTTGAAGGATACGGTGGCCATGGCCAGCACAGGCGTTGCCTGCACTTTGATGGGCGACGCCAGCTTCGAGGGTGAGATGAGCAGCTGGATGCCCGTGGTTGTGGAATCTGGTTCGGTGTGTCGCAAACTTATCAAGGATGCGACGCCACCATCCAGCGACTCACCTCCGCTGTCCAAGGGACTCTCGCTGCGAAAGCGACAGAAGCCGCTGTCCAGCAGCGATGCCTGCTGCTTGGCTTTGCTGGAGTTGCTGGCGCTATGATTGCTGCCCATGCTGGAGGAGCGCGACAAGGATAACTTGCGCATTTGCGGACGCTGAGGATGCTTCGAATTGGCCGCCTCGATGAGCAACTGATGCGCATCCAACTGGGGCGGTGTGTTCTGCAAATCGGTTTCCCAGGCCAAAGCTGAATCATGCAGCTGCTCCTTGGCGGCGACAACTGGACGACTGCTAATGCTGCCGGAATTGTAACGCTTGCGCTTTCGCTCCGGTCCCACATCATCGATTAGCCAGCTGTCTGTGTCCACCTCGTTGCTGTCCAGCAACGCTGTACGCTTTTGCTTGACGTTGCTGCTGCTGATCCCGCTGCTGCTGCAACTGCTGCTCGGCTCATCGTTGATTGCGCCTGTGCGATTTGGACGCTTCATCTGCGCCATCACATGGCGGTATTCCTTGCTAGCACTGGATGGCAAGCGATTAGGCAAGGATCGTCTGTGTCGCGTTACTAACTGTAAATCATCGTCCGCATCCTCCTCATCGGATGCAGACTGAGCATTGGCATTGGTCAGAGGGCGTTCATTGCTGCAAATGCCTACCTTAGACAGAGTACGCATCAGCGTCTCCCGCAGCTGGGCATACTGAGCCTGCTCCCCGTCCATAAGTTGCGTGGATTGCCGCCACTTGTCCAATGCCTGGATGCAGGTCTCATTGTAATCGGTGCGCACCGTGGCCAGAGCACCCCGCTCCAAGAGCAGCTCGGCCACATCCAGAAAACCATTGGCGCACGCATCGAAAAGGGGTGTAATCCCATCACAGCTGGTCCCACCCTTGTCATTGATGGCCACCGTGGCGCCCTTGTCTAGTAGCAGTTCCACAATATCTCGATAGCCATGATTGCACGCCTCGTGCAGTGGCAACCACCCGGCATGATCCCTGACATTCACCGTGTGCCCCTGGTCAATGAGGCGACGCGCCAGCTCCAGATTGCCAGCGATGCATGCCTGATGCAGCTGCGTCTCGCCCTTGTTATTCCTCTTAATGGTCAGCGATCGATTGCCACGAGTGGTTCGCTGTGGCCGTGGCTTCTCCGACTCATCCAGATCGCTGGCATCCGAATCCGTCAGTGCATCCAAATCCACATCGTCCGCCCAGTCTGGCGTGTTTTGCTGCAGCGCTGCTGCTGCCGACTCACTATCGGCATCCTCATCCTCTTCCTCCTGTTTGGCTGCCTCGGCGACTAGATTAATGCCCTTGGCGCTAGCTTCCGCCTCCAAGTTCTCGGCTAGCACATGCATTTTATGCTTCAGCTGCAGTTTGTGCAAACGCACCAGCGCAATCTTCTCCAACTTTGCAGCTGATTCCTCATCCGCCTTGGTTGCCTGTCGCAGCGCTTTTTGATACACATCGTGAACGGTCCAAAAGGGTTGCGCTTGCAACTCACAAATCTCGGCAATGCTGCAGAGTGTCGTGAATGCCTCGGCGGGCATATCCTGATTCACCTCGAATTCCAGCCACAAATACTCCAGTGCCTTGTCATACTGATGGTTGTCCTTGTAGGTCTGATAGAGGCTCACATAGATGGGCACCAGACTCTTGCCACGCTCCCCATTCAACTCGGCGCACTCCAGCATCTTCTGGTAATAGACGAGAGCCTTCTCATAGTTTAACAGATGACAGCAGCCATCGCCGAGTTGTTCATAAAGATCATTCAGCTTCGAATAGTTCACCGAGCTGGTCAGCACCAATTCGTCGAGAGTTTGACAAATCTTGACCACAATGCGCAAGGAGCGCTCAATGCTGGCGCGATCATTCTCATCTGGTGTGTGCTTCTTGTAAGCTTTAGTCAGTATTTGCTTAACACTAGCAAAGTCGCCAGCCTTTATCAGAATCTCCGATTTCGTAATAAGCGTCTCACAGATTTTTTTCACCTTATTGGGTAACCGTTTGGCAACTTCCTGTGCCATGTTGCAGTGTCGCAACGCAGACGCTGCATCGTTCTTCTTGCAGTTGTAGAGCAGACTCATTGAAATGTGGCACAAATGCGTCAACTCAAATAAATCGTGTGTTTTGCTGATCTTGATCGCTTTGTCAATGTACTCGATGGAGGCCTCGAATTCCCCCATGTGCTCTTTGACCACGCCAATGTTGAGGTAACAACGCGCTTGCATATCCAACTGTTCCAGTTTCGAAATCTGACCCGATAGCCTGCAGGAATGGATTGTGAGTTGCAGGATTTTTTTAGTTTTTGGTCACTTACTCTTTGATGAGGAGAAGACTGCGTAGAAAACTCTTTTCCGCCAGCCGCAACTGTTCTATTGCACCCGAGGCAGTGGTCTCGGACAAGCTCTGTCCGTGCAGGAGATGGACACGTCCCAAAGTGGCATACGCCCGCTGTTGCTCCACTTTATTCTGCAATCTTTTGGCAATCTCTACGAAAACAAGTTGCTTAGCAGGAGAAAAAATAAACTGTGCAGGCAACACTCACTTAGATAGTCATTGATGTGATCCTTGGCCGTGTCGTATTTACAGAGCAACGTAAACATTTCACCCAGCATCCGCTTGGCCTTCGCCGTTTCCAGTTCCTTGCCCAAACTCGCGTAAATTGTTGCTTCCTGTTTGTATTCCTTGGCAGCTTCGTTGTATTTGCCAAGTTGATTGTAGAAGTCGCCCAGCTGGTTGCAGCTGAGCGCCAATTGTTCACGATTGCCGTCATTGCGCGCTTTGTCCTTGCGCTTTATATATCGCTTCTCATCCATCGAAAAAGACACAAATTTCACAATATCAACATATTTTTTGCAGGTCTCGTTTTGTTTTCGGCGCGAATTGTCAGCGTTGCCAGACCCTTCCCAAATAAGGGTAGCCCTACACTATCGCAAGAATGTGAGAGCTATCGATTTGTGCAACTGCTGGCAACGCGTCGTCGTCGTGTGTTATCGGCATTGTGCGATATTAATATACACATCGCTACTGGCGCCGGTTGATAGACGGAAAATTTTTTAGCACCTCAGTAAATTTAAGGTAATTTATTTGCGCAAATTGTGCCACAAACATTCTTTCCCACATGGCATAGTTAATGTGCTCTGCTTATGCATTTTGATTGGCGTGCGTGTGTGCGATTTGCATACACACGGAAAGTGCATTAAAAACGATTTTGCCAGAAAAATCGATAGAGATAGAAAAAAAAATGGTGGGGGCTTCTTCGTTCATTTGTTCCTTCGTCTTCTTTTCTTTACGTCGGAGACATGACGTGACTGAAAGTAGTTTTTTCTTCATGCATTCCATTAAGAAACATAAACAGGTCATTAGACGACAAGCACAAATAAATAACTACACAATCGAACCGCGCACATAACAAAGTCATAATAACTAAATGTAAATGTAAAAACTGATTTGTCATAAGTACATTTTTTCTGATTTACATTGATTGCTGATTTGTTGAGTTTTGTGTACCATTTTTACAGCAATTGCGTGGCAATGGCGAACAACAACTATGCCGGGTTCAACTACGGCGGCACCCAGTACAATACGGGCCAGGTCACCTATCCGGCCGTAACCAATGCGACATATGCAAATGCGGCTGCCTATCAAAATGCTGCCGCCGCTGCGGGCCAAGGCGCCGGCGGAGGCGGCGGCGGTGGGTATGCAGCAGCTGGTGCGGGGGCTGCGCCCTACGGCGGCGGCGGCTATGGAGACTATCGTGGTGCCGCCATGCAATCGTACGATGCGACCAAGACATTCTACCAGCAAGCGCCGGCCAGTTATACAACGGCCGCAGCGACGGCTGTCACGAAGACGCATTACTCGGCGCCACCCGTTAAAAATCCCAACTCGGCACAGAAGGGCATCGGTAAAATGGACAAATCGAATGGGGCACCAAAACCTCCGCCAAATGTGCCGGCGGGCAATAATTATAGTGGCTACGATACTGCGCTCTATAATGCGGCCAGCATGTATGTGGCCCAGCAGCACCCCGGCCAGCAGAAGGCCAATGGCGGCAACAGCAACAACAGCTGGTATCAGCGCAAAATGGGTTCAACGATTCCCGGTGCGGTGGCTTTGCGTGGCATGCGGCCGAAGGCGCCGCCGCGTCCGCAGCAGTTGCATTATTGCGAGGTCTGCAAGATCTCGTGTGCCGGCCCTCAGACGTACCGTGAACATCTCGAGGGACAGAAGCACAAGAAGCGTGAGGCATCACTCAAAATGCAAGCCACGGCTGCGAATAGCTCCCAGAATCGTGGCAACAACTATCACTGTGAACTGTGTGATGTTACCTGCACCGGCACCGATGCCTATGCGGCTCATGTGCGTGGCGCCAAGCATCAGAAGGTGGTTAAGCTGCATCAGAAACTGGGCAAACCCATACCATCGGAGGAGCCCAAGAAGATGAGCAAGATTAATTTTGTACCCGCTGCACCATCAGCATCATCCGGAACAAACAGCAAGTCTGAACAAACCGATAGCAATTCGGCTAATGCTGGAGCAGCTGGAACTGCAGCTGGAGCTGGAGCTGGCACCGAAGCGGAGAGTATGGATGACAACCTGGATGATACGCTGGGCGAGAATACAGATAATATTAAGCCGGTGGGCGGCGAGTATATCGAGGAGATCAAAGACGACGAGGGCAAGATACTCAGCTTCAATTGCAAGCTGTGCGACTGCAAGTTCAACGATCCCAATGCCAAAGAGATGCACATGAAGGGACGTCGCCATCGATTGCAATACAAACGCAAAGTGCAACCAGATCTCGTGGTTGACTTTAAGCCGACACCGCGTCAGCGTCGTCTGGCCGAGGCACGTGCCCAGCGGGCTTTGATGTCCTCGCATCGTGGCGACGATCACGATGCGGGCAACTATTGGGAGGAGCAGCGCAGTCGCCAGTTCAATGAAGAGTATGACTACAACAATTGGATGTCGCGCAGCTTTGGCGGTAAGTATTTCACTTATAAATATAAATATTTATTATATAATGACACTCGTATTTCTGGACAGGTGTCCAGCGCTTTGGACGCATGGGCAATGGACCACCGCCACACTTTGGCATGATGCCTGGCGGCGGTAATGTGCGTCGTCCGGAAAGCACCGATGATCGTCATGCCATCGCGCGTCACGCTGAGATCTATCCCAAGGAAGAGGAGCTGCAGACTATACAGCGCATTGTCTCTCACACCGAGCGTGCACTCAAGCTCGTCTCCGACACATTGGCGGAGTTGCCCACTCCGCCAGCTCCGGCTCCAGCTCCAACAGCTGCAGCAGCTGCAGGCGATAATGGCCCTGCCGCCAAAAAAGAGAAATCTGATAAGGTATCGGAGAAAGATGGTCGCGACAATCAGATATTCTCATTCCACAAGGATGGCGACAACGGGGGCAATGTGGTGCGCGTCCTCAAGGGCGTTATGCGTGTCGGCTATTTGGCCAAGGGATTATTGCTGCACGGCGACACCGCCGTCGAGCTGGTCGTCCTCTGTGCGGAGAAGCCGACGACGAGTCTGTTGCAGCGTGTGGCAAATGTGATGCCCGACAAGCTGAAGGAGGTGGCAGGTAAGTTGCAACCAGCACCCAGCGACAAAAAATATGCAACACACACATACAAACAAACATGCAACATACATATGCATAAATATATATCCCTTGATATATGTATGTGTTTATATATATTTCGGTGTCCATATTGTGAATATTGCCCCGCAAACAAGGGCAACAACTTTTTCCAGAGAAATGGCTAAAAAAAAATGAAAAGAAAAACTGAAGAAGCACCAAACTAATTTCCTCTTGACGAGGAAAAGAAGTGTACCATGGATATGTCTTAGGCTTTCCACACATATACTCTTACACACACACACATACACAACATATAACTTGATTAAACATCAGTCCGATTTAAATATAATAATCAGCCCTGTAGGAGTTTGCAATTCAGCTTTTCAGCATTTGGGGAACCTCTAATTTAAATGATTTCAATTAAGAAATAATATTTTTAGAAAGTGTGTGGAATTAAATATTTATTTCTTACACAATTCCCAAATTGAAAAGAACAACAAATACATTCAACGTTAAACAAATTTGTTAACAAAAGGATTGTGTTCAAAATGATGTGAAGAAAAAAAATTCTAAAGAAAAAACCACCAATAGAATTTCCTGATGTGATTCCAAGACATATCCATGTCCCATTTATATGAAACGCGAAACAAATTGCATAATCAAAAACAGCAAATCTAAAACATAAAAAAAAATTGCCTGGCCAATTTCACAATGTGAATTTCGCCAAAAGAAAAAAAGAGAGTTAAATAATAAATAAATAAATTTCGGAGCGCAATGATGCTAGACAAGCAATATGATGCAATATGCAAAATGTAATAATTACAATGCACATAATGTGATATCTACATATGCATAAGCTAAACAAAAACGAAAAAAAAAAAAACAAATTTAGTTCGTCTTCGCAAACGCAATTTGTGTGGAAAAAGTGAAAAATATTGTTTGAATTAAAAAAATAGATGTGTATGTAAACATACTTACTGCGACTACTGTTGAGCAATGTTGTTGTTGTTGCCGTGGTGGATTTGAATTTGAATGACGACGACCCAACCCCCCAAACCAACAACAAACAACGAAACACAGAAACAACGAACAACAGCAGCCGCCTTCTTATAAACAAGCAACAACAGCAACAACAACAACAGCAACAACAACAACTCTAGCAAGCCATAAAAACAAAACAAAAAAAATAAAAACGTATTTGCCGTTTTCAGCTTCTCTCTCTGCAGGATAAGATTTGAGCCCTCTTAGACTTGAGATGATATCCACTCACACTACTCACACTCAGGTGTCTGTTAGCCGTCTATAGCTTTCCAAGTCATGCTGCTGCTGACGCTGCTGCTGCTACTACTCTGCTACTCTGTACTGCTCTGGTGGTGGTGGAATTCAACGGGATATATCGTAAATCGTAATGGTAACACACAAGCAGTACTCTGTACTCTCTTTACCCGCAAGCTGATGCGGCACAGTTCTCATATGTGTGGAACAAAATGAAACTTTTAACCAAAAACCTTGAACAAATCAAAATCAAACAATTTATTAAAAACCAAAGGAATATATTTATACAAAGTTTGGGTGTTCGCTCTCGCTGTCTCTCTATCTCTGTTGTGTGCTCTATTGTTATTCTATTTTACTTGCCACACACACGTACACACACACACACACACAAACAAGCAAACACACACACACATACAGCCTCTGGTATTCCCCCATTTCCACTTCCAATGCGAAGAAACTTTGTGTAAATAAAGTCCTTTGACAGACGCAAAGCTCAATGCAGCTAACATAAAACAAAAAATAATTAAAATGTTAATTATAAATTCAGCCGACCAGAAGCAATGCGATTGATCCACACAGATAGACGCATAGAAGGCGCCATGTTGATGGTACTCAGATACATGGAATAATATAGAATATGTCTTATACATGTCTCCTATATGTATATGTATCTATATGTTTTTATCAACCAAAATTGTTCCGTTACTCACTTGAGCATCGATGCCTTTTCAAGCAGCCGTTTTGTGTGTATCAAGCTTGATTGTATAACTAAGTGACCAATAAAAAAATATATATACAAATAAGCTAACGAAAAAATTGCGACCGAAATTTATGTTGCATACGGTGTGAATGCTGACCGAAATGCTGACCATGTAGATGACCATGAAGGGTTTCTCCGCACTCCGCAAATAAACGAAAAATTTCGGTCAATGTTTTTAGTTTTTTTTTGTTTTTTTTTTTGCTAAAAAGAACTAACCAAACCAAGCCACGCGCTCTAAGTGGAATTGCAATTCCATTTCAATTCGACTTCGATCGAGGTGGTTGAGGTGGAGGTGATGCCGCCAAATCCCGCTGGCTACCCGATCCGATCCCAGCACGCAAGTCATGCAAAAAACAAAAACACATCAATAATAATACTTGTATATGTTATAATGTACAATGTAATGTTTGCTGGGAACTGAGCGGAATTTGTCGTATCTATCGTATCTGTGGAACGTAGGGGGAAGAAACAAACATTTACATTTTGCTTTTGATTATCTGAAGTGCATATATCTTCATGTCATATCTCTACATATATGTATATGTATTTATTGTGGGCCCACACTTGGAATTATTATCTTTATTGAACAACATCTACCAACAACAACAATGTTTGTCTCTTTTCTAAGCCGAACTTTTTACGCATAGTTCAATTTTGTTAAATGCTTATTTCAATAGCCTCGCACACAAACAAAGTTGAAACTAACACACAGCCCTTGACACACTCTCTGTTCCAGGTGAGGCAAATGTCAACTATCGCATCGAGGTCAATGCCGAAGAAGCGGCTGTTATAGTGCTCGATGAAGTGGTCGCCGTAAAGATAACTCTCACATCTCCCTTGCTGCGCGAATCCAGTGAGGGTGGCGCCAACGATGCTGCAGATGCCTCAACATCGGATGCGGACTTTTTGCCACGCGAGCCATGTCTGCGGGTGCGTATAGCTATGATTAATAATTATAGTTAATGATTTGATTTATATATTCGAATTTGTGTTGTAGGCACTCGCCGATTTGCGTCATGCCAAATGGTTCCAGGCACGTGCAACAGGATTGCAATCGTGCGTGATGGTTATTCGCATATTGCGTGATCTTTGCCAGCGAGTCTCATCGTGGCAATCGCTGCCGCAATGGTCGCTGGAATTGCTGGTGGAGAAGATTATTTCATCGGCTGGTTTTCCCATCTCACCCGGCGACTGTTTGCGTCGCATTATGGAGGCTTTGTCTTCGGGTTTTCTAATCAACGGGCCTGGACTGTTGGATCCGTGCGAAAAGGATCCGACCGATGCTCTGCAGCTGCTGACGAAGCAGGAGCGCGAAGATCTCACTGTGTCGGCACAGCTATTCCTGCGGTTCATCGCTTTCCGCCAGGTGTTCAAAGTGCTCGGCATGGATCAGCTACCAGCCATGAAGTATCCGATGCGCCCATGGCGCATCAATCGCAAACGGCGTCGCTCGTCGGGCAAGGCTGGGGCGCCTGGCGCCGATGCGGATGCGGCTGACATCGAAGAGACTGGATCTGATGAGAAGGTTGCCAAGAAGGATGTTGTAACCCCAGCTGCACCAGCCACGGCCTAAATGGCCAGGCGGGTAATCAGCAATAGTAATAATACTACTTAGCCGTCAACAAATATTATGAATAACAGTTTATTCTCAATCTAATTGCATTACAAATAATGCGATCAATAAATATAACTATTTCCATTCACACTAATTAAATCGGCGGGACACTTATATTGGTCCCCCGTCCAACATCTTGTTGCCCCAAATTGCAAGCAACAACCGTAAATAGAAATCCCAAAACTAACAACTTATTAAATAACTACATAATTAACTAACTGAATTTTTCTATAATATGCTGAAATTAATGCAAAATGTATTCAATTAGGTTTGGAAGCGTTGATTCTCAATTCACACCCAATACATATATTCAACTGCCTCCACTACACGTTTCAAACATTCAAAAGTGGAACACAAATTTTAATAAAAATAACTACACTTCATAAATAGAACACATATATTTGATCTTCATTTAAACTACAATCTACAATTACAGAAAGTTTTGCCATTTTGAGCATGGCTTTTTATTAACCACAAATTGGCTTTCAGACGTTCGCTTGTTGCCGGAACCACTTGGGTTCCTAGTTGGCAAAGTCTTCTCTGATGCCTCCCACTCGGCTTGTGGACAATGTGCTCTTGGCCTCTCTGCAGGGAGGATCTCTGCAATTGGCGCATCAACATAATTAGCCCATTTGCTCGATGACTTTGTGCGTTGAGTTGGCAACGAGTTGTCGCAATCTTCATTTTGTTGTGCCGCCAATATTTTACGCTCATCTTGTACATGTGACTTTTGTGCCTGCTCCAAATTTAAATGTTGCACTTTTGCTCGACATTCTGCACCAGAGCCCCGCAAGAACTCCTTGCCTACATTCTGCTTTTGAAGGCAGATTTTACACTCCCATTTGTTTGATTTCTTTACAATGTCCACCTATGAATTTGAATTTCTGTGCATTAGTGAATTTTTTTATAATTTTCAATTTTTGGTCTATCAAACCTGATATAAACCACATTCCGAACATTGTAAGACGCGTATTTGTTGAGACATTTCAGAGCTATAAATATATTTTACAAAACATGTGAAGTATTTTCAAACAAATGCCGGCGTAATTGCGTATTTCCAGTGTTGCCATACTGCGCAGTGATTTCGGTCAGTCAGCTGTTTCCAAGCCTTACTCATCGATTCGTCATCGAAAGTGTATTTTATGACAACTGATTCTCCAAAATTGAACCAGTTGCCAGATGAAAAAAATAACTTTGTTCTTGATGGAAATTCACGTTTACATTTAGCGTACAAGCAAAAAGACTTAAGCGCAACAAAGAAATTTCTAATAATGATATAATAATTGATGCTAGCAGTCGCACTTTCTAGTAACTTAAATAAGGTTGCCGCATTGGTTAAATTGCAGTAGCGCAAAAAATGGCGGCCTACTTTTAGGAGCAACAGTAAAAATGGCTTTAGCTCGGCCAGACCTTTGTGGGCGTAATTATAATATTGATTATCTTATTTATCTACAATTTTCTTACATAATATTTAAAAATTTAAAAAATCATCTTCAATAAATTCCAGTGAATAAATAAGTAGCTAACGTACCGGTGTTGGTACAATTGTCAACTCTCAATGAGCATCACTCGCTGTTAATTACATTCCGGCATGATGTTAAGTTTAATAACATCTGTTTTTTTAGTTGTCACGGCGACTTGCGCTTTTCAAGATGCGTTTGGTAAAAACCCAAAATAAAAACATAAAGTCAATTTTGAACTAAATTTGTAACCTTACAGTACTGCCTCAGCGGGGACTTGGCCAAGCCATGCTACATCATCACTTTCAAGGGACTGCGCATAATGTTAGACTGCGGCTTGACGGAGCAGACAGTGCTCAATTTTCTGCCGCTGCCCTTTGTGCAGAGCCTCAAGTTGTCCAATTTGCCGAATTTCGTGGCCAGCATCGAGCACGATGTCCAGATGGACGGTGAACTCAAGGAGTGCTGTGGCCGAGTATTCGTAGACTCTGTTCCCGAATTCAATTTGCCCATGGACAAAATGCTCGATTTTAGTGAGGTGGATGTGATCCTGATCTCTAATTATCTAAATATGCTGGCACTGCCCTACATTACGGAGAACACAGGCTTTAAGGGCAAAGTGTATGCGACGGAGCCTACGTTGCAGATTGGCCGATTCTTTCTCGAGGAGCTGGTGGATTACATTGAAGTGTCGCCCAAGGCGTGCACGGCTCGCCTGTGGAAAGATAAGTTGCATCTGTTGCCCAGTCCACTGTGCGATGCCTTCCGTGCAAAGAAGTGGCGCACCATCTTTAGCCTGAAGGACGTGCAGGGCAGCCTGTCCAAGGTGACCATTATGGGCTACGATGAGAAACTGGATATATTGGGCGCCTTTATAGCAACGCCCGTCAGCTCTGGCTACTGTCTGGGCTCCAGCAATTGGGTGCTGAGCACGGCGCACGAAAAGATTTGCTATGTGAGTGGCTCCTCAACGCTAACAACGCATCCGCGTCCTATCAATCAGTCTGCGCTAAAGCATGCGGATGTTTTAATTATGACGGGATTGACTCAGGCACCAACCGTCAATCCGGACACGAAGCTGGGCGAGCTCTGCATGAATGTCGCGTTAACCATCCGTAACAATGGCTCTGCTTTGATACCATGTTATCCATCGGGCGTTGTCTACGATCTGTTTGAGTGCCTTACGCAAAATCTGGAGAATGCCGGCTTGAACAATGTGCCTATGTTTTTTATATCACCCGTGGCGGATAGTTCGTTGGCCTATTCCAATATATTGGCCGAGTGGCTGAGCTCGGCCAAGCAGAACAAGGTTTATCTGCCGGATGATCCCTTTCCGCATGCCTTCTATCTGCGCAACAATAAACTCAAGCACTATAATCACGTCTTTTCCGAGGGCTTCAGCAAGGATTTCCGGCAGGTGAGTTTGAGCCTTAAGCGGATTTCAATTGGCTTAATTCACATTTAATTTCATCATCTCAGCCGTGTGTTGTGTTTTGCGGTCATCCAAGTCTGCGTTTCGGGGATGCTGTGCACTTCATTGAGATGTGGGGCAACAATCCGAATAATTCGATTATATTCACGGAACCAGATTTTCCATACCTGCAAGTATTAGCGCCATTCCAGCCACTGGCTATGAAGGCCTTCTACTGTCCCATCGACACATCGCTAAACTATCAGCAGGCCAACAAGCTAATCAAGGAGCTGAAGCCCAATGTTTTGGTCATACCGGAGGCATATACAAAACCACATCCATCGGCCCCTAATCTGTTCATTGAGCAGCCCGACAAGAAGATCATAACCTTTAAGTGCGGTGAGATCATCAGGTTGCCGTTGAAGCGCAAGCTAGATCGCATCTATATCGCCTCGGAGCTGGCGCAAAAGATATTGGCGCGCGAGGTGGCGACTGGTGTCTCGCTCTCGACGCTCACGGGCGTGTTACAGGTCAAGGATAAGGTGCACTGCATCCAGCCGTGCACGGAGAGCGTTAAGGATGAACCTGGCACAAGCAGCATGAGCAGCGCAGCGCCCTCCAAAGAGGATGTATTGAAGAATGTCAAATACGAGTATGGCACCATCGATGTGGATGCACTAATGAAGCGTCTGGCTCAGGATGGCTTCTCCAACATTAAAATGGATCGCACCGGCGGCAATCTTACGCTGCAGCTAGTCAATGAGGACACCACCATCAGATTCGAGGACAACGAGACTCACATCATTTGCAATGGCAAACCATCGACACGTCTCAAACTGAGGGACACGCTGCTCAAGTGTTTACAGAGTTTCTAAAAATCAAGTATAATTTACATTTATTTTATAAACATTTAACTTTAAATGCTATTTGACTATTTCCTGGCTGAGAGAATGCTCGAGCAGCGCATGCAGATCTCTTGCTGCGCCTTGACGAGGCTGTAGCGACGACACCGTGGACAAAGTGGTACTTTCAGCGTTTGTAGATCTATCGTTGCCGATTCCGCTGCAGCGTCCACATCTGGCTGCAATATGACGCTGCCCACTTGCAGAATCTCACACAGCTCTGAGCTTGTTGTTGACACATTCAACTGGCCATTTAATGCGCAGAGTAACTCCAATTGCCGTTGGGAGCAGCATTTAATGCTTACGGAGAGATGCCAGCTATTGACATCTCCAGACTGCTGATTAACAAGTCGCTTAATATCCAAGGCTGCATTCACTATCCGGCTGACCTTGGCATCTCGCCAATCCTCCGAAGCATGGACGGATTGTTCGTGAAAGGCGCTGCCACTGGGTTCGTAATAGCTCCAGCTCTCCTCGATTAAATACGGCGCAATTGGCCACAGTGCCTTGCAGAGCAACAGATAGCAGTGGCGGAGTGTGTGGCGTATCGATTGCAACTGCTGATCATCGCCACAATAAAGACGATCCTTAATCAAATGCACATAAATGCCCGAGATCTGATTGGCAATAAAATTCTGAATAGTCGCCACAACCCGATTATACTCATAGGCGTTGTAGAGCTTCTCGATCTGGGTGGGAAATGAGGAGTATAAATATTTTCTATTACACATTTAATTTCCATGCTCACCTCCTCCTCAAAGCCCAAGAGGCTGTGTAAAATATATTGATTCAAGTAGCTATTACTCCCCGTTGGTATGGACAAATCCTGCTGCTGTTCCTTCTGATTGATGACTCCGTTTAGGTAGCGCAACGTGCCGCGCACTTTGCTCAGATTATCGGCTGCCTGCTGGAGCAGTTTATCACTGACGGTGATTGACATGTGCTGGGTGCCGTGTGAGGCGACCCACCAACGGAGCACATCTGTGCCGTATTTCTTAGTTATCTGCTTGGGCGAGATGACATTGCCCACTGACTTGGACATCTTGTGCCCCTTCTCGTCCACTGTAAAGCCATGCACAAAGAGCGCTCTGCAAGTGGAAGAGTTGCAGATGTCTCAATCATTCTCATTCACCCAGTGGATACTCACTTGTAGGGCGCACAATTTCGTGCCGCGATGCTCGTCAGGAGCGATGACTGAAACCAGCCGGTGAACTGGTCATAGCCTTCCAGATACATATCAGCCATCTGGTTGGGTTGCTTCTTCAACACTGCGGACCAAGTGCTGCCAGAATCAAACCATATATCGAATATATCGCTACCTTTGATCAGCTCATCTGCTTTGCAGCCCAGTTGCTTGAGGAGCTCATCAGGCAGCAGCTCTTCCAACGGCTTGGACCACCAAAAGTCCATGGATCTTTCGTTGCTTAAAAGTTCGCACAGATGTTGAATCAGTGCAGCATTGAGCACCACCTGCTTGTTATCCCTTCTGTAGAGCACCGGTATAGGCACGCCCCAGGCACGTTGTCGTGATATGCACCAATAGGGTCGCTTGTGCAACTGTGTCAGCAATGCCTTCTTGCTGGATTCGGCGTTGACACGCGGATAGATCTCCACCCGTTCGAGAGCAGCAGCAGCAGGCGCCTTCAGCTTATCCGTATCGATGAACCACTGTTCGCTGGCACGAATTATGACCGGTTGCTTGGTGCGCCAGTCAATGGGATAGGAATGCTCGAACTGCGAGGCATACACCACATCCGTAGCTATGTGCTGCAGCACCAGTGGATTGCCCTCGACCAGCACAGACTTGTTGCGTAAGAAGCCAGGCGCCTCCTCCGTATAAATGCCCGCCTCATTAACGTAACACTTGATGGGCAATTTCTTGGCCAGGCTAATGAGGAAATCGTCCGGACCGTGTGCCGGCGCCGTATGCACCAGACCCGTGCCCTTGCTATCCTGCACATGGCCAGCAGCAAAGAATGGCAGTGCTGTCTGCGCCTTGTCTACGGGATGCTGATATGTGCAGTCAGCCAAAGCGCTGCCCGCCAATCTCTCCACAATCTCACACAAAATCTCTGTGCTAGCCTGAAAATCGTCAACGAGTGCCGAAGCCATTAGGTAAAGCTCATTTGGGTTGCGATCCGACAGTCTAATCAGCACATAGTCCAACGAGCTATTGTAACAGATCGCCTGATTGCTGGGCAGTGTCCAAGGGGTCGTAGTCCACACCAACGCATAGATTTCTTTGCCCTGTGTCGCTCCAGATGCTTTTAATCCGCTCAGAGCAAAACGCAGGTAAACCGAGGGACTAACAAAGTTAGCATCATACTCTAATTCTGCCTCCGCCAACGCTGTTCTATGGATTAACCCAAAATTAATAACATAACATTAATAATGCACAGCTTACTTGGAGGATGGTGACCAGTAAACGGGCTTCAGATCGCGATAGACGAGACCACGCTCATACAGATTGTAAAACAGGTGAAGCTGATTGGCAATGAACTCTGGCTGGAAGGTCAAGTAAATGTGCTCCGGCTGCCAGTTGGCCAAGATGCCCCAGCTTCGAAATTCCTCCTTCTGCAATTCGATTGCTTCCAAGGCAAAGGCACGTGCTGCAGCAACAACAAATTAAAACTACAATTCGATGCGATTCACTTACAGATCTACTCACATTTCTGGCGGATGTCCAATGCATTCTGCTCGCCAGCCGCTGCATCCGCTGTTGCCTTCAACTCAATGGGCAGACCGTGGCAATCCCAGCCGGGTATGTAATTGACCTGCTGCCCTTGTACTACACGCTGACGCAGTGTGATATCCTTCAGTATCTTGTTGACGGCATGACCCATGTGCAGTTGCCCATTGGCGTAGGGCGGTCCATCATGCAGGACAAAGGTTGGCTTGCACTTGTGCTGCGCCTGATACTCGTAGGCAGCGGAAATCTTATGCTGCTCGTTGAATAAACATTGTTTATCCAAAGTGTGGACAATTTTTATGTTGCACTCACTTTGAGAATTTGTCGCTCCTGTTCCTCGCGTTTGGCGGCAGTCAAGCGATTTGGAAAGCGCGTTCGAGGCAGGTTTATTGTATCTGTATATTTGGTGGCATCTTTTTTTACCGTTTTCACAGAATATAAACGAACGCCAAGACGAAATTGAATCACACGCAGCATTTTGCACGTAACCAAAACAATGCAGCCGGCTGAAAGGAAGTCAGCTGCTCGAACAGCTGACGTTTATAACAATGTGCGCGAAATTCAAATTTTAAAATGTAAGCACTGGCATAATAGTATAACAGTTCATATGTATACCAATTATAGCTTACTTAAATTGTCAATACTCTTCTTCTTTACAAAAATATTTGTTTTGTTAAGTTTTATTTGCATTTAAAAAGTTGGATTACATGGTTAACTTTTTAAATACATGATATGTCTGTTTCAGTTAATTGTTTCATTAAATTAAGCGGTTTATATTGCAATCATAACCATAAGCATAAGCTTTACTTGTCCTTGTCATCCTTCTTGTTCTCTGCTTCATCTTTTTTTCCCTTTTCGGCCTTCCTTTCGACCTTATCATTACCTTTTGTTTCCTCATCATCACCTCTTGCTTTCTTGTCATCACCTTTCGTTTCCCTACCTTCACCTTTCGTTTCATCCGTCTTATCTTTTCCATCATCTTTTTGCTCGGTTTTGGGAGCACCTTCTTCGGGTGCCATGGAAGCTGCCATTTGATTCGCCTTGGCCAACACTTCATCTATATCGCCGACCATGTAGAATGCAATTTCCGGTATGTCATCATATTCGCCGTTGAGCAAACGCTTAAAGCCATCCACTGACTTCTCCACAGGCACCATCTTCCCCGGATGACCCGTAAATATCTCGGCAACGGAGAATGGCTGGGAGAGAAAACGTTGAATTTTTCGGGCACGTGCCACCGTTAGCTTGTCCTCCTCGGAGAGCTCATCCATGCCCAGAATGGCAATAATATCCTGCAATGACTTGTATCCCTGCAGAGTCTTCTGCACGGCTCGGGCGACATTGTAATGATCCTCACCCACAACTTCCGGATCGAGGACACGTGAGGAAGAGTCTAGCGGATCAACTGCTGGATAAATGCCCAATTCGGCAATGGGTCGAGACAATACAGTGGTTGCGTCCAAATGGGAGAAGGTGGCCGATGGCGCCGGATCCGACAAATCATCGGCAGGCACATAAACCGCCTGCACGGAAGTAATGGAGCCATTTTTGGTGCTGGAAATCCGTTCCTGCATGGCACCCATATCGGTGCTGAGCGTCGGCTGGTAGCCAACGGCGGACGGAATTCGACCCAGGAGCGCAGATACCTCAGAGCCCGCCTGGGTAAAACGAAAAATATTATCGATAAAGAGCAGCACATCCTGTCCCTCAATATCCCGAAAGTATTCGGCGATGGTCAGTCCGGTTAAGACGACACGATTCCGGGCACCCGGTGGCTCATTCATCTGTCCATAGACGAGCGCCACCTTGGACGTATCGTCGTCCAGGGAAATCACTTTGCTCTCAATCATCTCGTAATACAGATCGTTGCCCTCACGTGTCCGTTCGCCGGCGCCCACAAACACTGAGTACCCGCCATGGGATTTGGCAATATTATTGATCAGCTCCATGATGAGCACCGTTTTACCCACTCCGGCGCCACCGAAGAGACCGATTTTGCCGCCCTTCACATAGGGTGCGAGAAGATCGATCACCTTGATCCCTGTCACCAGTACCTCTGGTTTAACGCTCAATTCCTGCAAATCTGGCGGCTCGTTATGTATGAAGGAGTAAAACTCACTCTTGATTTCGCCGCGCTCATCAATGGGATCGCCGACAACATTGACGATACGACCCAATACGGACTTGCCGACGGCTACGCGTATGGGGAAGCCCGTATCGATAACTTTCTGGCCTCGACGCAGTCCTTCCGTGGCATCCATGGCGACGCAGCGAACCGTATTGTTGCCGAGATGATGAAACACCTATGTAAATAGGTTCGTTTTTTTTTTAAATTGCTATAAGTTGAAATTATTTCGATTACCTCCAGTACCAAATGACCAATGGGAGCATCTTCCACCTCCATTGCATTGAGTATGTCGGGCAGTTCGTCCTCAAAGTAGACATCAACTACCGGCCCAATGACGGAATGAATGATGCCCTCTCGTCGTTTCCCCACCAACTTGCCGAACGTGTTGTCACCTACAACTTTTCCACCTGCCGTTTTTTCACCTTCATCGGTTGCACATGGATCAGGAGATGTCTCCTTTTCGGGTTTACAGCTAACTTCTTCAGCAAATGTTTCCTTTTCCTTATCATCTTCGGGACATAGCGGCTTGAAAAAGGACTCGTCGTTTTTATCTTTATCGTCGTCATTCTTGAAGAGCACAGGAGCAGTATGCAGCATACGCGCCTGCATTAGAAATTTTTTTGCCATTGGCTGACCTAGCCAATCTACGCCGCCTCCAGTTCTTGAACCAATTCTTGCACATGCTTTAAAAATAAAACTCAACTAGATGTCAGATAAAAGATATAATCTAATTGTCCACACTTACCCGTGGCCAACCTAGCCCATGAGTTCGACATTTTCAACAATTTTCGTGATTAGTTTTTCTTATATTTGAATTGAAAAAAATACGTTTATTAAAATTTTCGCTTGCGATTTTTATTTTTATCTTGGTTTAGTTTTATATTTTCTCAATTTGTATTCATTTGTCTCAAGAGCCGTGTGACAATGACAACGTCTCAAAAGTGCTGCCCAAAGAAAAGCCTGCTAGGAATGTCGTTCAAAACTGTTCAATTTGAATCGAACTTAGTGTTGAAAACACGATAAGCAAAAGTTATCGATAAAATCTTGCCAGAACATTAATAGATTTCAATTTAAAATCGGAATGAAGCGGCCACATTTGAATTTCGTTTAAAAAAACAAACAATATTAACAAAATGTATACCTTATAGGGGTAAAGTTAACTTTAAATGAATTTATAACCATTTTCTTAAGTGTAGTTTATCAAATTAAGTAACAATCTAATTACTGCTTGTTGCTACTACAATTGGTAGTTGCTATGCCAACAAGTAATCATTGTTGTGTCCAAAGAGAAAGTTAAAAAACACTTTTGCAATATGGACGTGCTTTCGCATTACAGCTCTCCCGTGATTGAATTTCCGGCTTCTCAGCCGTTAGAGAAGCAAAATGCTCTAGTGGATAATTGCACCGGCACAGATCCGCCACCTCCAAGCGCAGACGTTGCAACCGAAACGCAGGAGAAGCAGAATGCGGCAACACAAACGGAGCAGTTTTGCAGCAGTCAAAGCGCCAAATACGATGAGCGCGCCTTGGCCAAATGGTTGCGACAGATCTGTCCGCAGGTGGAGCAGGAGTTGAGTCAGCCGACGCCACTCCTCGATGAGCAGGAGACGAGTCAGTGTGCGTTGCAGGAGCAGCTGCAGGTGCACACCTACCAGAATCTATCAATGGCCAGTATTGAGAATTCACAGGGATTGGCTATTTGGTTGAGCGTGCACACGAACAATGCACCCGTGCTAGTCGCCACAACGGTGGCGCCCCACGACGACTGGTGTGAACATATGGAACAGCAGCTGAAACTCTTTGTGCCACAGCGTATGTCCCACGGTAGCTTTGTGGCCTACACGGAGGCTAAAGCTCTGCCTCTCAAATCTTGTCTGCGCAGCTTGTGCACGAATGAATTCAATAAGAACATATTTGCCGGCGCCACTATGGATGGTGAGCTCTTTGTCTGGCTATATGAGCAGGCACGCGGTGGCATTGACTCCAGTGTAGAGATTAAGCAGCTGCACAGCGTCTCCTCCACACAAGGCGCCGCTGTGGCGCTGGATTGGGTAACGGAGCAGCGACTGCTCGCCTGCTACGCCAATGGAACGGTGTTGCAGTGGATGGTCACCAAGCAAATGACCCTAGACTGGGAGTAAGTTATCAAGGAAAGCCACAAGAACGGTTCACTCATTAAATGTTCTATTTTAGATATTCTGTGCCGACGTCAGTTGGCGCGGAGCTAACGACTATGCTGTCGCTGGGATTGGATGACATTGTGCTGGGGACCAGCTGTGGCGGCGTCTATCGCTGCTGGAGCCCGGGCCGTCAGCCGGCTTGCGATAGAACCAGCAAGCAGCTACAGCTGCTTCCTTTGCGTAAGCATCGTTTCACGGTGTCCACACTGCTCAAAACCGAAATGGATGGCCATCAGATTGTGGTCAGCTGCGATCTGAGTGGACAGGCCTACTATCATGATATGCGGCACGAGGAGGAGGTATGTGATTGTGTGCTTCAAATTCCCTGTATCATAATGCTGGAGTATTTGTTTGTTTGCAAGGACACCGCCCAGTTGATTGTCCAAATACCGCTGCCCTTCAAGAATGCCATCGCCTGCAGTCGCGATGCCAACATTATATATTGTCCAAGCAACGATGGCGCCTTGGAGTATTATAGGGTCAGCGATGGCGCCCATGCTCATGTCAAGGGAGCTCTCCGCGGTCGTGGCAATCTTATTTGCATCAGTGACAATGGTTGCTGGCTAATTACGGGTCTCTATGGCAATGAATTTCAGATATTCTATATCGAAAACAATTCCAGCGATTAAATATATTTATTTTTATTTTATATAGAAAACATATATATTTTTTAGGCGTTCGGCTTTGTTTTGGCTGTTGATAATTTATTGGTAGCTTTGGCTTCATCGCCGGTTTTATTCTTTTTGCTTATGTGCTCCTTAATGAAATTCACACAAGGATCCCTTACCTTAGAACATGGATCCTTGGGGCATCTGCCTGCGACATGTTCAGCGATTGCATCCATTTGCTCGTCATCCTCACAGGGATCTGAGCACGGCTTCCTCTCTTTGATCGCTTTCTTAGATTTGTCGACGTCCATTGGAATATTCTTAAAGAGAACCAAACCAGTGTGTAGGGAACGATGTGATTGTAAGGGGAACTTTAACCTTTCTGGATGTCGTTGGGAATTGATTACTTGTGGTTGACCAATTCCATTTCCAGTATGTGCTTTAAATAATGAATTTTAGCTTCCCGAAAATTACATAATTACAAGCACAAAATCTTACCTGTTGCCAATCTTGACCAAATAGTTAACATCTTATTTTTTGGAAATTTTTGTACACTCAATTTAGATTTTCCTGAACAGTCAAAGCTTACTTAAACATAGTATTAGGGTTCTTAGAAAATTGAATATAGATTTTTTTTTAAGAGATGCGCTTAGTTTATTAATGTTTTTTATCATCATTCAATGTTTGCTATTTACAAGAGTTTAGATTCAAATTTTACTGATACATAACAAAACACAATATCTGTATATATGTTTTCATATAATATATATAAGAATTTCTTTAAGAATTTTGAACAAAATGCACAACTTAAAGTCCATTCTTTTTAATATATTTGAAGTAAAACCTTTCATTCATACGAAGGTATTGCCTGTGCCGTCAGCATTAAAAATTGCGTGATTCCCTTGGATATTGGTTGACATAAAGAAATTAATTTTCTCTCTGATTTCAAACACTTATTCCACATTCGTGAGACGTACACTCATTGTTATATAAAAAATAGTGTAAATGTGTATAATTAAAGTATATAATATAGAAAGTATAAAATATAATCTGATGACATAATTACATTGTGGAAACAAATGAATAAGTGCATAAATTGCACTAGTTTTAAATTATTAAATTATACAATTAACTTTAACGAAACAACACATTCATGTATATATATAATAATGTGTCTATTAATGCACACATAAATAAATATATATGCACATTTTGTAGTTCTGCACACAATTTTGCTAAATCTGTCACACTCCACATTCCGATCGTACCTTCTCTGTGCACTATTCTCTCATGCTCAACTTTTGGACTTAATCATATTAAATGTTAATGTTTTTTTGCGATAGTACAAGTAATAATAATTATAATAATAATAATGACTAGGCGTCTGCCTAGTTGTTGATTGGCTAATAAATTCAACTTAATTGAAGAGAACAGTATTGGGATCCTCATTATCCATTTGTTTTACATGACGTAGTACATCCTTTTTCGTTATAACACCCAGCAAGCGACTGCAAATATATACATAAATGATTACCATATAAATCTAAATGAATATGTAGTATTATATACCCATTATGTGTGACAAGCGTTTGACGCAGTCCCAGTTTGCGGAACATGTCGACGACAGTTTCCATTGGTGTTTGATCCGTCACCGTTATGGGCGCCATGTCCAATATCTTCTTTAGCTTTAGTGGCGGCGGACCCAGATTTTGTGTGGGTGTCGTAGACGTAAATAATACTATGGAATTGCTATTAATGCCATCGATAAGACGCTTTGCGTTACCTGTAAATAATAATAGTAATTAAATTAATAAAATAATAATTAATAATTATAATAAAAACTCACCAATAGCTAAATTAAGATCCCTGCGCAGCACAAAGCCAACTAAATATTGATTTTCTCTAGAAACGACAACAGGATAACCATTGTGTTCGGTTTCCTTAAGCATATTCTCCACATCATCGACCGTCATGGAGTCCTGTGTGATGACATTTAATGTTTCATTGCGCTTAGGTTGCATCACATCTGCCGCGAGCGTTGTGTGCGCAAACTCCTCCTTGCTGTCCAGGAACGGGTAACCATTGAGCGCAATATGTGCATCATATATGCCCTGTCTGCCCAGGGCATCGCCCACCCACTTGGAAGCCATGGCAGCCGCCATCAGAGGCACAATGTAGCGCACCCCACCAGTCAGCTCAAACATGATGACAACAAGGGACACAGTCATGCGTGTGACGCCTCCGAGAACTGCCGCAGCACCAACAACTGCATACAGGCCGGGTGTTATCAAATTGCTGTCCGCACACTCTCCCGTAAAGAACCAGATGTTGGGATAACTATATGCGAACTGCTCCACACCAATGCCAACGATACGTCCCATGATGGCGCCCAACAGCAGCGACGGTATAAACAGACCCGATGGCACCTTAATGCCAAATGTGAATATGGTCAGTGCTAGTTTGAGTATAAACGTCACAACGAGTAACCAAATGGAGCGATAGACACCAGGACCTGGCTCTGTGACCTCAATGAAGCTGGCCCCTGTGCTGATATTCATGCGTTTATAGTCACTATTTTACAATAAATATAAATATAAAATGATTAGTTTTGTAAGGCGTAGCAATTAGCAATTATAAAACGCACCACAAAGGATTGGTGAGGTCACCGGGCGAGCACTTGCTAACCAATAGAAAGATCAGTTCGTTCATGTTCATGCGCGTGAAGGGATTCGGATAGCAGATGATGGCAGTGACCAGAGTGACGAACAGGACCTCGCTAACGGGATATTGACCCAGCTTGCTAAACTTCCTGTAGCGGCACCACCACAAATTTGCCTTTATGAAGAACGTGCCGATGACGCCCTACAAAAATACATATCTTTAATTATTGCAATCCGATAATACTCCGCCTAGTTACTCACGCCCATAATGCCCAGAAATACAAAGGGAATTAGTTCAAAGAATATCCAAGGCTTGTTGTACTCGACAAAGAAAAGCACGGAATGCTCATTGCCAAAAGGCGTCAGCGAGCGCAAAACGAAAGCGGCAATCAGCGCACAAAAAAACGAACGCCACAGCGTCTTCAGTGGAAAGTAGTAGGACACCTCCTCCAGAGAGAACAGGACACCGCCAATAGGAGCACCAAAAGCCACTGAGACTCCAGCCGCCGATGCTGCCGATAGAATTTCACGCTTCTTTGCCTCGTTGCGTCCGTATTTGGGAAACAGATGCGAGAATATATTGCCAATGCAACTGGCAATGTGCACCATTGGTCCCTCCTTGCCGAGCGTCAGGCCAGCAGAAACAGAGAGCATCAGGCCCACCGATTTGATTAGCAATGTCCATTTACCCAAATACCCACGTATAATGAAGCCCGACAAGATGGTCTTGATCTCCGGTATGCCAGAGCCGCAGGCATACGGCGCAAACATGCGCACCAGCGATGCACTCAGCGAGGCAAACAGCAGGGCCCACAATATATACCAAGTATACGAGATCATATACGGCAGCGTACCATTGCGACTGAGGCCAAAGATCTCAGGCCATGTTTTCCACTAAAATTGAAAATCATTAGCAAATAAATCTTAAGTTGATTTGAACAGCTTACCGTGGAACAGTTGCCCTCCTCGAAGACAGATTGCTTAGCTGGATAGCAGCACTGCTCGCGATTAAACCAAAAGGCCGGTGGACAAATGCCATGCTTTAGATCCGACATCCAGCTGGCGCCAATGTCAACCATGCCAGCCACACAACCAGCGGCAATTCCCACAAGGAGCACGCACAGCCATCCCGAGCCGGCATCAATGGAACCCTGTCCGCGAAGAGAAGAATTTATGACAACACATTTATGTATTTTGCCAATTTAGTTACTTTCTTACCTTTATCAAATCCCAAAAGGAGTCCTGTCGCTTCTTGACAATATAACGATGACGCATGCGATCACGCGCAATATCGCGCTGCCAGTCGATGGTGTGGAAATCTTCATACTGACCAATGCCCGGTATGTCATCCTGCACGTCCGAGGAGCCATAGAACGAAAGAGCTCCTAATTCGGTGTACATGGGCACAAAATAAAAATGTATATTGGTTTAGATACTAACTTTTTGATATACATTTCGAGTTCTCAAATATTTGAGCGTTCAATTGGACTTTGTATGCGTGAGCAGTGGCCGCGTAAATTATTATTAATTGATGCTAAAAAAAATACATAATGCAGAATTTGAAGTGATTGGACACAAAATTGTGACTTCATAAGACAGGTTTGCTTAACATACACAGAATGAAAATACGTATTAGACCCGCATCTAAATATATGAGCTCAACATATAACAAAAAGCAATATCCACGATCTCGTGTTTAAGATTAACAAACACCACACAAACACAGACATGCCAGTGTTTCTTATGCTTGGATTGTGCTCGAACTCACCGTCCATGGGATCGCCGAATGCGGTATGAGTTGGCACATGTTGATGATGCTGATGCTGCTGATGATGATGATGATGGTGCATTGTTCGATGATTGGGCACAAAATCACGCTCTGTATCCGATTCGGTGACCGTTTCACGATGATAACTGCCAGCACCACCGATTAGTTCGCCGGGACTGGAGCGCGGTGTTATATCGATCATATCCTCATCGTCTGTGGCCGCTGTGAGAGATGTGGTCGCTGCCGCATACGATTGTTGCAGATGCGGCGCCAACGGATGGTCACCATCGCCGGCTCCTATGCTGTGCCCGTTGGACTGCAAAATCATTTTAAAAAAACAATTAGAAATGGTCCCACACATATATTGTTAAACACAACATAAGTGGAGAAGCTTTGTGAACTTATTAATGTTGACCAGTTGGCCAGTCATTTGCAAATTTAGTTGGGACTGTTGTTTTCTTTTTTTATTAATGCGGCTGGTCAGCTGTTCGGTGGCAAGCGATAGGCGAGTGAGACACCCACGTATACACTTTTTATACCGCACATTTCCGCCCCCCGAAAAAAAAAATCTTATAATTTATGTATGAGGGAATATTTGAAGCATTTAACTTGTCTTACGTACCTTTTTCATGACTGTTTGATATGCGGTGATGTAGTTGTTACCTTCGGCTGCAGCTTCTCTGTTGCCCTTTAATGGGAATTTGTCCATTTTTTCTTTTTAAAAACTTCGTTTTTTACTACGCACAGTGTTCGTGTTTACTGTACGAATCGGTTAGCTCCTTTTTGCGTTTCAATTTGCAGTTGAGTTTTTCTCTTTATTACTCTATTTTCTTTTTACACATATTTTAATCGGTATTAGTGTATAACAAGTGCAATCAGACGTCACACACTTACACACATACACACACACACACACAACAATGTCACAAACCCACAAACAGTTGTTCGACTTGGGAAAACAAACAATTTGTTCACATTTCACTTAAATAATTACAAACGAATTCATCTACAGATTTGTGGGAACATATCTCGGATGGAGATCGTTATATTGCATCGGATAATTGCATTTCCAAACAACACGTTAATCCGTACACTTTTTGTTGCAATTTGTTCAGTTTTATTGCAAAAATCACGGTCACAATTCAATGTGACCAAGAGTCGTAAGCAAAAAAATATTTCATCAAAAAAGGACCAAAAAATACTAGTTCTTAAGTACAATGTGCATTTTCTCCAAATTACAAAAACAGTTGGGGTTAAGACAAATTTAGAAATGTTTCTTTTATTTTTTAAATATTTAATTTCCAATAAGTCAAAAATCAGTTTTTTTGTATTAATAAGTAAAAACCAAACTTTTATTTATATATGCTCTTATTTGTAGCTGCTCGAATCTCACAGGTTACTGGATTTTAACGACATTGTAGCAAGCAGTCGACTTGTGAACAATAACGATTACCGTTTCCTCCACAGCCTAGATAGTTCATTCTAAAACAATCTCTTCTACGAGGATCAAAGAACCACATTTCTCGCATAGCAAAGTTGTCGCAAGAGCTACTGCGTCTGTTTCCAATATCTCGACGGCTAATGCAATCCTGGGTCACTATGAATATCATATGATAGAAACGGTCAATAACTGATTTATAAAATTATTTAGATAATAAGTTTACTTACCTGTCCGACCTCTACAAAAGCGCTGACCCTGAATGTGAACCACATACAGTGCCAAACAAGCCAAGATAAGTAAGAATTTCATTTTAAATGGAATTCACAAACTCTTTTCAGTATGAATTGATGTAAGTACAGGAACGTTGAGCTCTTATATATCCATACTGACAAGGGCATTTTTTACCTTGCCGCTTAAGGAATACGCAGCTGTTATAGAACAATAATAAAAAAAAAACAAAAGCGATTCAAAAATAGCGACCTAATTTGGAATTTTGAAAAGCAAGTATTGACCTAGATTTATTAAACATATTTGTTTCATCTTTTTTTAACAAACAAAAAATTAAACATTTGTAGTGTTTAACTTGGACATAAATAAAAAAAAAAAAACAATTACTTAATGAAATAACATCAATAGCTTTTCAATGGAGAACATTAATAAGGTAACTCTCAATGACCAGTATTGTAAAACATTTGCAAATACGCAGTATTTTTAGTAAGAACATGTTTGAATCAGTATTTTGGCGCATTCCGCAAACGGTCGTTGCATTCTCAGTTTCCAAAATTGTTTAAACAAACAAATACCAAAATAGCATTGGACGGACGTAAACAAGTGCAGTTGTCGTTAAAAGTAACACAACACAACACAGCAACAACAACATGGCTGGATTCGTAGCGGTGCATACAGGTTCGTTTTTTGTTTGATTGATGAGACATGTACGTGCATGTATATATGTATATGTATGTATTTATTAACGAGCTGTAAACACGTACAAATTCTTATTTAGGAGCTGGAAATTGCATCGATGAGACGAAATACCAGCGAGTCATCAAAGAGGCTTGCATGCGTGCAACGGAGATTCTCCGAAACGGTGGCAGTGCCATCGATGCCTGCGAAGCAGCAATAATGCGCCTGGAGAACTGTGGCCATACCAATGCCGGCTTTGGATCCAATCTCTGCTTAGATGGCTCGGTGCAGTGCGATGCGGCTATTATGAACGGAACCACACTGAATTTTGGGGCGTGCACGAATGTCAGCCGTGTGAAGAATCCCATACAGCTGGCACGTCGCATTTGTGACGGTCAGTCGGATCAACAGCCACTGGAGCGCATACCGCCGATGGTGTTGGCAGCCAGCGGTGCCGAACAGTATGCCGAACAAATGGGGTGTGCCATGGTCGATCCCACTGTGCTGATCTCATCGAAAGCGAAATTCCATTTTAATCACTATAAGAGTAAATACGATCTAGTTGTTGGCAACAGCAAAGCGAACCAAGACAGCGACGGCGAGCCAGTGCCTGAACCCGGCAATGAGGTGGAGCTGACTGGAGCTGCGCTGGACACTGTGGGTGCTGTGTGCGTCGATGATGCGGGTAATACTGCAGCCGGCTGCAGTTCTGGCGGCATTCTACTCAAAGTACCCGGCCGCGTCGGCCAAGCGGCCACTTATGGCGCTGGCTGTTGGGCGACGGATACGGATGAATTGGCCATTGCTACGTGCACGACTGGCAATGGTGAGTACCTGATGAAAACGCTGCTCGCCCGCGAAATATGCAATGGTGCATTTAGCAGTGATTGTGCCGTAACCAGTCTGCACAGAACGTTCAAGCAAAAGTTCCTCGATTCACCGCTGTTGCCCCAGCAGCAGGATCTCTATGCCGGCGCCCTCACATTGCTCTATTATCCTAAGCAAAGTTGCGGCGAGGTGATGTGGAGCCATACGACACAATCGTTTTGTGTCGGCTACATGGCAACGACGCAGAAAGTGCCAAAGGTTTGTGCCGATTGCCGCTTTTTGATTGTTGTTGCCACATTTGGCACAATTGCAGGCACTAGCAATCGATCATTTTTCTAGTATTTTTCGTTTCGCAGTGGAATACTAATGTTGGTTTTCTTGTTTGTTGCAGTTTGTGCACTCGCCGCTGCCCACATATAGTGTGCCAGGCAGATCATGCGTCGTCAATGGCCATAATTTCCATTTGCGCATTTAGTCGTTGTCGTGTGGCCCAGCTTCAATAGCCTTAATAGCCAAAGGCACTAGCCATCTTTAGACACACAGCCGCCTACTGCTGATTATCGTCATTTCGGCATTTTCAAAAGATGCAGTTTTCTGCAATTTATTTGATTTAATGCTTAATTGCCGCGACAATCGCTGCCAACCGACAAAGCCAGACAGGCTGCAGCAACAACCACAACGACAACATTTCGTATTGCTTTTGTTTCGATGAAATATTAAGAATCATTAAATGAAAATCTGTTTCATTGTATAGTACTTATCTATATATATATATGTATGTATGTTTATGTTAATGTGTGGTTATGCCGCTCAAACTACACAACTAGCAAATAAAATAAAATTATTTCGAATAGTATGTATGTATCTGTCAGAATAATTTCCCTCGTTGAACTTAAGCTGAGGCGCAACGCATCTGCCAGCGCCATAAATCAGCCAACAACACATCATATACTATCACATATATAGAAATTATGACGTATGCAAGTACAAATGTATTGTAGTGTTTGTGGCAACGAAAATACATTCATTTGGCAAACACATTAATTATATTAAAAAGGTTTGATGCGCACCGCAGATCAATTGAAATACAAATTGCGAATGTTTAGTAAATCGAAAGTGGAAAAAAAAAACAATATGATCCATGCTTACTGTCGTATAATCACAAGATTATGAAACAGTTGGTTTATATATATACACATATATATTTTTATATACAGTGCAATGAAAGCCTTTTTTGGAACAGTAAAAACGCTTTTTGCTTTCTATTAGGGTAGACCAATTATGGTAGATTAATTGTAGTGTTAATAGATTAAGGTGCAACAGTAGGAATAGGAAGTAGTACTTCTCAGTTGTAATTATTATTCTAAGGCTTACGAGGAGCTTCAGGATCTTCAGGAGCTGGAGGAGCTTCAGGATCTTCAGGAGCTGGAGGAGCTTCAGGATCCTCAGGAGCTGGAGGAGCTTCAGGAGCTGGAGGAGCTTCAGGATCTTCAGGAGCTGGAGGAGCTTCAGGATCCTCAGGAGCTGGAGGAGCTTCAGGAGCTGGAGGAGCTTCAGGATCTTCAGGAGCTGGAGGAGCTTCAGGATCTTCAGGAGCTTCAGGATTTTCAGGAGCTGGAGGTGGAGTAGGTGAAGGGGTAGGAGTAGTTGGAGTAGCGGTAGGAGTAGGTGCAGGGATAGGAGTAGTTGGAGTAGCGGTAGGAGTAGGTGCAAAGGTAGGAGTAGGTGCAGTGGTAGTAGTAGGTGCAGCAGTGGTAGTAGCAAAGGAACAAGTAGCCGGCTTAGTGGCCACGCAATCTCTGATGCGTGTATCGAAGTACGGTGTGGCCGATGGACATGCTCTGTGCAAGGTTAACCAATCCGTGCTGGTCAGACTGTTCCTCTGGCAGTAGACAGCATTTTTGCACGTTGAATCGTAATTGGTATAGAAAAACAATGTATTCTTATCAGCAGCATTATCCATGCAGATTTGTAGTCTGTTAATTGCATTTGGTGTCGTCGGTGGCGCCAGAGTTGTTGGGTTATACTCATAAGCAGCACAGCTGGCGTTATACTTTAGCTACAAAGAAATTGTGTATTAGGCTCTAAAGTTGAGATCTTAGTTTTTGGGTACTTACAAAGTCAGCGACAGCTTGCGGCATACAGACGGGTCCATCGTTAACCACACAAATATGATCGGCATCGCAATCTATTACCGACTTGACGTTTCCCTTGATGCAACGCCCAGCTTGTGTGCGACTGACGCAGGTATACGTTTGGGTTGCAGCACAACTGTTGCAACCCCCACTGCCCCCTTCGCCACATACGTTCTCAATATCAGTAGGGAGTTCATCTTTCGGTTCGCATATTGACAATGAATTGGTGCAAACCTGTCCGGGATCACATTGCTCCTCATTGCCAACTTTATTGCCATCTAGTTGAAAAAGCGATTCATCAAATAAGGATTCCTTCGCATGGGCAGCAACTACTTACTGATACAATTATAATATGAGGTCTCCGTAGCGCAGAAGGCTTCGTTGTCTTCCTGACAGACTTGGCACTTTTGGGTTTGCACCGTAGCAGTTCCCAGCACCAGAATGATTACAATTACGCTTAACTTGATCATATTTCACTTTGACTTCAACTGACTCAATGTCTTTAACTAACGTGGCTTATATAGCCCAAAATCTAACCTTCAATCCAGCATTTGTTTATGAGTCCTAACATAGTTAGTTAATGTTGTTGACTTGGTCTTATGAACAATAAAGCAATATCGAAGCATTCTTTTTTTGCTCTAAGCATAGCAACTTAAAATTGTATAAATTATATTGCAATTATTTTTCCCGAAAACAGACGATCGGCTTATCTTTATCTACAGCCATGTGTATATCATTTATCTTTACTGGCGAAATATAAATTATCCAAAAGTGATAGAAGCACAAGGTCTTTTCAATTTTTTTTTCTGCTAGTCGGAAGAAAATGATTCACGGCTTGGAAGTGATGATTTTTATCTATATTATCAAAATGTAAAATGAATTTAACCACGATTTGATAATAAGCACAGTTGATTATTATTATGTGTCTGAAAACAGACAGAGTTAGAAATCATTTTAATTACTCTATGGAAAAAAATGCATTTTATAGTCGTGCAAACTGCAATCGAAATAAAAAGATACCCTGAACCCAATATATAATATATAAATATAACAAGATAAAACGTTGCAATCGGGCGTAACCGACTGCGAAACACTTTGATACCATAAGTTAGCCCAGCAGATAACAAGTAACAAAGAACAGGTTGGGTGAAGCCAAGAAGTACTGTCCTAGTTTGGCTTTCAAATTGCGGTAGATATAAGCTAGTACCGTTCGTTGCGGGATATATAGGCTTCTGGAAGTGGGTGTGCCAAAAAAAAATGTTGTAGTACGATCTTAGTAGTAATCTGCCTTTTAAGTTTGGTAACTGTAATTATTAAATTGCGGAAGATATAGACTTTTATCGTTTTTGAGGGCGGGGATGGGCTTTTGGATATTTGAAGGGTGTTATAGGGTGTTATATATAGCAATATACCTTTCAGATTTTGTGACTCTAGTTTTCAAATTGTGCGAGATACATATATCTCTATGGTCTTATCGATTTACACTAACAGGTGTTTCGGTTTAGAGAGGCGGAGTGGGCGTAGCCATCCAATTTTTAATCGATCTCTTAGTAACATACTTTTAAGATTTGGTGAGTCTAGCTTACAAATTGCGGATGATATGCGCATTTCAGATCTCTAGCGGAAGAGGGGCGTGGGGGCTGCGGAGTTGGGCGTGGCATATGTCGATCTTTGAAGGACATGACCAAACAATCAAATTTTGTGACTGTTGCCTTAAAAATGCGATAGATATGTGGCTTTATCGATTTGCGAATATCGATTTGATCGTTTTCCTAGCCCCCTGGTGTACGTAGCACTCCAATTTTTACACTTTGTCTGACGAGAGCACATACCAGTATGTGTTCCAAGTTTCAGGTCTCTGTCTCTTATCTTTACCTATAGCTACGTCTACCGTATTTATTTTTACTGGCGAAATGCACAATAATCAAAAGCATTACAAAGCATGATAATTTATATTATGTTAACATCTGAGTTTTTCCTGTAAACAAATTATCTCAACTTTATCTTGAGTAAATGCTAGACGTAAGAAACTTATCATAATCTCCGATTATTTTTAAAAGTAATTAGATAATATATTTCGATTATTGCACATTTTTTAAATTTAAAAAAAATCACATAATAAGCAAGTAAGTTAAGCATGACAAGCAATTTGTGAATATAGTACGAAAATATTACAATTAGAAACGAGTATTCCCTAGCCAAGTAAAGCAAAGTGTAGAAAAGGCTCACTTCAATATCATCTTATACTTAGATAGAGACACATACAGTTGTTTAATTAGAAATTCATCGATCCCACAACAAATTTATCCCACATTTTTAATTTGGAACAATTGTTCTGTAGACCTTTGAGATTACAATAGAGTTTAACTATAGTTGCATTGTTGCTCCTACTCATCGCCTTGATCAACAGTCTCAGCCCCCTCCTCCTGTGGCTCTGCTGGAAGTAGCTTTGTCTGTCTCTTTTCTTGCTGTTGCTCAAACTCTTCAGTTTGCTCCGGCTGTTCCTCGTCACGCTCGAAAGGATAGAACGGGTGATCCTTAACCGAGTCGTATTTTATTAAACGCTCCTTGGCCTTGATACCCCGAAGAGCTCGAGTATCTGCATCGTTTAGCTGGAAGTCAAATATATTCAGATTCTGAGTAATATGCAAGGGACTGCCGGATTTAGGTATGGGCACAACACCATAATCCACCTATAATTAATATTATAGTTAGGACAATTTGAACAGGTCTTGTACAATTAACAATTACTCACCAGATAGCGGAGCACAATTTGTGCGGCAGTGCGATTATGCTTCTTCATTAGACGTCTCATTCCCTCGGAAAAAAAATAAATTGGAGAATGGTCCTCGCGATCTGGCTGCCCCAACGGCGCATATGCAATTACCACTATGCCATTGTAGCGACAATAGTCGACTAGATCCTTTTGCATGAATCCCGGCCAGATTTCCACTTGATTAACCACAGGCTTTGAGGCGCTGCACTGTATGATGCGCTGCACCTGCTCCATATTAAAGTTAGAGACACCAATACTTCGCACCATGCCTAGCCGCACAAGCTCCTCCATAGCACGCCACGTGTCAATGTAATCGATTTCACTATTAGACACATTTGAAAACTTTATAGATGGGAATATATTTTAGCGATATTTTAACAACATACTTTGTGGTGACCTTATCAGCCTCCATTGGTATCATAATCTCATCGCACATGTGCTTAAATCCCACGGGAAAGTGCATTAGGTACAAATCGATATAGTCAAAGCCAAGAGCTTCCAGCTGCTTCTCGCAGATGCGTCGCACATCGCGCGGATCGTGATGTGTGTTCCACAGCTATGGGCATTATGAACTTAATCGTTTTTTTTTTATTTTTAGCAATATAGATTCATTGCGACTCACTTTGGTAGTGAGGAAGATGTTCTCCCTGGCAACGTTTCCCATTTGTATTTGGGTGCGAATCGCCTCGCCCACCTCCTTCTCGTTTTCATAAAAGTAGGCCGTGTCGAAGTGTCTAAATCCGGTCTCCACCGCACAGTGCACCGCAGTCAAACATTGATAGCCTCGCATCTGTAATTGAATGCAAATGCTTTTAGTGTTAATATCTTTTCCATTGTCGATTTGATACTTTATATGTTCCAAATCCTATCACGGGCATTTCGTATCCGCTGCTCAGTTTGATCTTTGGAGCCATCAGTAGCGTCTTAACGCCGCATACGGGCTTCTCGCCCAATATAAGGGCAACCCGTGTATTGTCCTCTTCGTCATCACATGTTGTCAAACAGCGTGCTGGTATCATTTCGTAAATGTTTTCAATTAAAAACTAAACAATTTGCACAAGCAATATTTCAAACGTTTTTTGAAAGTAATTTCGAATAAATAATACTAAACAAAAATATCATCAAATAAGTTAAATAAAAAAAAATGTTATCAGTTACAGTTACAGAGGCTTGACTTGACTTTCTGTTAAAATTCAATGGCATACAACCGGTCCACAATTTCACTCGAAACACATCAGATTGCTTCTTGAAACCACAAACATTTGCAAAAATTAGTCCCCTTTGTAACTGTGAATTAGAGAATGAGACACACTATACGACTGGAACTTAGAAACGAGGAGAGGCAAAGACGGCATCAGAGCTGGTCGGAGGCAGTGGGACTCCGACAAGCCAGATGTCTCCTAGGTGATTATAATCTTGTACGATTTAAACAAATTATAACCATGGGAAAGAACAGCCTTAGGATACTCACCGGTCTATTGACAGGACAGTGTAGACTAAGGAGTCACCTAGCAAAACTCATGGAAGAGCTATAAGCTCAGAAGGGGCACAATAGATCAAATAGGTCGCGGTGCAGCTTTTCCCCCTAATAATAATAATAAAATAATAATAATAACTGTGAATTACCGTTGTAAGCAACTTAGATTATTTTGTATCGATTAAATATTTAAGTAATCGATCATTCTGTAATGCAAAAATTACAAGTGAATAGAGTTAACTTAAAGCTTTAACTGGATAACGCACTATTTAAGGTCCCATGCTTAAAAATTCAATGGTAAATGGAAAGAACTTGTAGTCCTTGATTAAGATTTTGAAAAATGTTTTTGTTAGAGACTTCTCCTCTGTGATCCACTAAAAGTTGAAAATATTAATATTTCAGTTATGCGGCCAGCATTAGACGACTTCAATAGGCGTTTTACAGGAACTAGATATATTTGCATTTTGATCTTCCTAAGCAATAATATAGAGACTACTGAAACTTAAAATTTTCACTTTAGACCCACCTAACGGTGGGTCTCTTTAAATTTCGTGTCACACTGTGACATTCGGGTCACGATATATCGACTGCATTTTAGAGTATCGATAACTTATGATATATTTGTAATGCGGGAATATATCTATGCTTATTTATGATTTGTTGTATTCGAGGTCTGTAAGCTTTTTTCGTGCACAAGAATAAATTGTTATCATGGAGGAGAACGCAGATACAACACCAGATGTGGAATCCTTCAATGGGTATGGCTTCAACAACTATACAGCCGCCGAAGCATTCATTCAAGGACTGTCAGGAATGGTGAACCAAGGCGATGTCGAGACAATGATACGTGCCCAAAAGCAAATGTAAGTGAATTGTAAACGTCAACTAATAAATAATTAAAATAATAATAACCCTCTTTTTAGGCTACAACGATTTGAGAAGACCAACGAGATGTTGCTCAACTGCAACGCATTGTCGCAAAGTCGTTTAAAAAGTGCCAATGAGGATTTCAAGCGACACGTTAAACTACTGACTGAGATGAAGAAAGATCTGGATTACATATTTCGGAAAGTGCGCATCATAAAACAGAAACTGCAGCAGCAATATCCAGCCATATATGCGGAAGTGCAACCTCAACGCAGCAGCTTGGCCGAAGAGGCCGAAGATGAAACGGAAAGCACAAAATCAACCAACAAACCCGTTGGCGAAGCCGAAGCCGAGTTGAAGTCAACTGTGGAGCAGGCGCCCAAGAAGAGTGCGGCGACAATTGAGTATGTGCAGATGCAGGAGGCCATCGAGAATGGCATCGTTGAGATCGAGAATGAGTTGATTAAACGTGTATGTTCCGTAGAGACAGCGAATCCCAATGATTCATCCGATTGTACGTCAGAAGACACTGGTTAACTTATAGTTTAGTCGTATTTAATATAAAGCCTATAAATTTATTTATATTGTAAAATATTATTTAATAGCCTTCATTCACCAGATTGTACGTCAGAGCACACTGGTTAAAGTTTAATTTATAGTTTAGTCGTTTAAATGTATTTATATTGAATTGTATTTTATATTTAAATAACTAGCTGAACATTATGCATACGCCGGAGGTTAAAAAATAATTTGGTACTTGTATTGCTTGGGTACCTTTGAGATGATAACGCGTCCATCGTAGCTTAGCGATGCAAAAATCCAAGGATCCACATTACTCCACTCGGCACAGTAGACGGAGTCCTCATGCTGATCGAAGGTCTGCAACAGGCCATCCGACAACACCTTATGCCGTTCCTGAGCAATTCCCTCGCCCGTTTCAGTTGCCTGTGTCTCGGAACTAACCGATCCGGCACAGGTCAGCAGCACCTTGCAATCACTTGAGCTGGACAATAGTAGCTGATCGTGAAATGTGTTAAAGCGCACAGACCACACCCAGTGGGAATGATCGCTACGCTCAAAGACGGGCGCTTTGACCATACGACAATCCCACACTTTTAGGCAACCATCATCGCCACCGGTGACCAGATGACATTGTTTATTCGGATTACAGTCCAGGTCGCGCACAAACTGACCATGTGCATCCTCGATACTCCAGGCGCAGTGTTGGGTGTCGCGTACATCGTACGCTCGCACACTTGCATCGTGCAGCGCCAGAAACTGATGACCCTGATGATGATGCGACCATTTGCCATTGCTAAATGGCGTTAGATGCTTGGAGCCACTGCTACTGTTGCTGCCACTGCCACTGATGCTGACTTCGGCGACGACTCGAGTGGATGCCTCGGCTCGTTGCATGACAGCCAATTTATTGCCCACAACGCAGGCCAAGGTCTGCTCTTGAGTGGGATGAAATTCCACTGTCTTAACGCGTTCACCCAATTCGGCAGTATCCAGCACCTCGACCTGTGCCCAAGGTATATATTCGCTTTTAATTGGTTCGCTGGCGGAGGCATTTGCATCTTCAGCCGGCAGCGTCAATAATGCTGACTGGGAGAGGACCTGTGCTCCCTTTTGTACATTATACACAGAAGCCAACAAACGGGCATCGTGGGGACAACTATTCAGCTTCCACACTTCCCCCAGTGCGTGCTCAAAGATCTACGGTAAGAGATGATTTACATAAATATATTTACACAAGCAGATTTAAACTTACCTTGGACTGAATGGTTCCTTGTTCCTCATCGTATTGCAGCAGGTGCAACTGATTCGTTGGCTTCAACGAGTTTGTGGCTATAAAAAAGCAAACATCATTGCCCTCACCATATTGGGGTGTAAGGGCTCGCGCCTGTAGCTCCAATCCATAAATTAAGTTACTTTCTTCCATTTTAAACACAGCAATTTAAATCACAAGGGAGTTTTATTTTAAAACCTGCTTCACATTTGCATACCATATGAAACCTTATGAAAAACAACTCATTTAAAATTAGCAATCAGAATTTGAAGTGTCAAATTAAAAAGAATTTGTGGATCAAACGCTTAACATAGTATTAAACATTACATTAAAAAGTCTGCAAGTCTTATCCCAATTCAAAATAAATAAATCAAACCTTTGTTTACCAATTTGAGTCAAAACAATGTAGTCAATTTTTATTAGAGATGCATGTAGATTGCGATATATAGTAGTAATCGGTTGATTAAAAAATATGAAATAAGAAAATAAAGAAAAATAAATGATTAAAAATCGCTCAATCTATTGAAGGTACCAAGCACAACATTTTTATAAATATTTATATTGCTTCAGTAATTGTTACTCGTTTGTTAAGCAAGAGGCTTTTAGTTACTTTTCAAGTGACTTAAAATACAACCCTGTGCACGCTGAAATCAACACTGGGTTGTCTCCATCCATTTTGTTTTAGTGAAAAAAGATTGTCAAAGTAACAGACGCGTATTAAACAAAATTAACATTGCAGTGTAATTAGTGAGACATTTAGCATATTCCATACACACACACAACCCAAACCTAAATTCAACGAGTGCAAAGCAATGGCACAAAACATCAGCCCGGAACAGAGTGGTGCTGGTGGCAGTAGCAAACACAACGATGACTCGCTGCCAGTCAAAGACAATCATGCTGTGAGCAAAAGGTAAGGCGCCAAATTCTAATACATACACACATTGCTGTCTCTCTATGTATTTGTATTTATTAAATGATTTGCAACAATTTGTACAGACTGCACAAGGAACTCATGAATCTAATGATGGCCAACGAGAAGGGCATCTCAGCATTTCCGGACGGCGAGAACATCTTTAAATGGGTCGGCACCATCGCTGGCCCCATAAACACCGTGTACGCAAGTCAAACATATCGTTTGTCTCTAGACTTTCCCAATTCGTATCCGTATGCGGCGCCAGTGGTTAAATTCTTGACACCATGCTTTCATCCCAACGTCGATCTGCAGGGCGCCATCTGTCTCGACATCCTCAAAGATAAGTGGTCGGCGTTGTATGACGTACGCACCATTTTGTTGTCCATACAATCGCTGCTGGGCGAACCAAACAATGAGAGTCCACTAAATGCGCAGGCCGCTATGATGTGGAATGATCAAAATGAGTACAAAAAATATCTAGATTCGTTCTATGAGAAGCACAAGGATACCTAAAATACCAATTACTACTACCAATACCAATACCAAAAATGGAAAAAAAAAACATTGAGTAAACAACAACAAGAACAACAACTGGTAGCGACACTTCTCCATTTCTCATTCTCATTCTATGCTCATATTGCGGCGTATTTATTTACATTTGATTCTTGTGCGTGTTGCATGGTGTAAAAGCGGAACAACTACATAAAAAAAAAGAAAAAACACCAACAGCACTCAATCCATCTCATCTCACCCACTCTAAATATTAGTTGATGCACATTTTCAATTTATTTGATTGATTGGATTTTAGAGCGAAATAACTATTTGCAGCAAATTAATTATATGTAACGATTTATAACGATCGATTGGTATATGTATGTATGTCATTTTCAACAGCGTCTGTTTCTTTAAATTTAAGCATGAGAACCTTAGTTAATTGTTTTTTTTTCTCTCTCTTTTTATATATATATACATAAATGATTATTGAAAGTATGTAAGCGGGCTGCTGCCATAAACAACTTGTACTGATTTAAAAACACTTGTGCAGGCCCGGCGGCCATCATGTGAATGTTAGCTAATTTTATATAGTAACCTACCCGGATTTAATAACTCAACTCACATATAAATATATATATTTAATTTTAATAATGAAGCAGTTTTGTCGGCTACATCCTCCATAAATATAACAAAACAAAATTTTTAGTATTCCAAAAGATTGTACTTTATAAATTTGAATTAAGTTGCGTTAGCTTGAAAGAGTAATTGAAATTACATATAATATACATATATATATATATAAATAAAAGCGAATAATTGATCAGTTCTAATCATGAATGCCACCTAATATTGACTTAAGGATTACGCGTCGATCTCAGGTGTTTCTTCATGTGAACGGACAATGCTAGCCGAGATCCAAAAATTCGCACACAACGCTTGCAACGCCAAAGTTGATTGCTGTTGCTGTGGCGCCGCAGGAAATGATCGTTTAGATTTTGTTTGGTATAGAAACGCATGCCGCACACGTTGCATGCAAAAGTGCATTCGTTCTTGCTTCGGTGCACCCATTGGTGGCGTGTCAGGTGAGCCCTTCGCCCATAGCACTTGCCACATTTTTCGCATACATGTTCCGAGCTGCTCGACTCGACATCCTTCGGATGCTGAATGTGCTGGCGCCTCAGATGATAATTGAGACTGCTGAGCGCACTGTATACCTTGTTGCAATTGGGTTCGGTGCAGGTAAATGTAGATCTATTGTTCTGGTGCACCTCACGCAAATGGACCTCCAGCAAGTTTGCTCGCGAATAGGATTTTTCACATTTGTCGACTGTGCATTTGTAGGGCTGTTTTCCTTGGTGGATCTGCATATGGGCCTCGTACACAGACATCTTATAAAATCCCCTGCCGCAAATGTTGCACTCAATCTTGTGTCGCAGGCCGCAAGGACGCTTCGGAATGTTAAAAGATGTGGCAACTTTGGTTGGCCTTTCCTTCCCCAGAGTTTGTTTAGCAGCATCATCTTCAATTATGTAGACCTCTTCCTATGCAAGAAGAGGAAATAAAATTATAAAAGTGTATAAATAAATGGTTGTAACTGAAGTTCGCTTAAGATAGTCAGAGATTGGTTTATTAGAAAAATGTATTTTCAAGCTTTGATGCAGAATAAATATAGATAAAAAAGCCTGCCTATTATTAAAAATAATTCGTAAATTGGATAGTGTCTGGTGAAGATGTTGCAGTTGAAATTTTAATTTCTATTCACAAAAAAGAATAAAACGTGAATTTTTCGAAAAATGTAAGAAATCTATAACTATACTGTCAGGCATTCTTTTGTACAAAAAATTTGTAAATACATTAGAAAAGTGTTTTTGCAATTTTTTTACAAAGGCATGCATGCTTTTTTCAGGTATTAAATTTTAAAGCAGTTAACTCTCCTGATATTTTAAGATGTGATTTCACATATTTAATTTTATAGATTATACTAAATAAACGAAAAATAAGTTTGGAACAAAATCAAAACAAGTCTTTAAAAGCATTTCTACCATTATCAAGTAAAATGTTTTTGTTTGTCAACACTGGTTACAGATGATAATATTCTTTGGAAATCCAGCTGCGAAAGCTACTTCAAAAAAAGCTGCTGAAAATATATATTTATATATGAAACTGAACATAAGCGGATGGGATGGCAACGTTTTTCATTTCATATATATATGAAACTGAACATAATATATACATATATATATATATATATATATATATATATATACCTACATATCCAAGCGTATAAATATTTATATTAGATACACATAAATTTAACACACAAATATGTGCATATGTGCCCCTAACATTTTATATTGCTGGACGCCGTATTCTCACGACAATAAACAGCTACGCATATCTGTATGAATAAATATATTTATACACACACACATGCATTTTTTAACAGTTATACGTTAAAACGTGTTCGTTGCCATCAGGTATCTAATGTGATTAGATTATGCCGAACTTGCTGACAAACAAACAAACATCAATATATACCTCAATATAACACTTACAATATCTTCCATTGAGTCGAGTGCAAATGCCGAAATTTGAGTTATTTGGTTTTCCTCCTGCTTCTTCTCGGGATATTCGGCAATTTGGTCCTTGGCCTTTGCATTGACTTGGGCCATCAGTATTTGAAAGTTCCTCAAGGACTCTTCGCACATGCGTTGAAAATCGTAGAATTTCTGCACCAATTGGTAGCAGCACTCGCAAATGCATTTGAGCACAATTTGTGGACTCACCTCCTCGTCGAAGGGTGCACCCAAAAATCGCAAACCTTCGCTAGCGCCCATACAACCAATGAACTTCGCAGCCAAATCCTTTTCGCGATACAAATTATATCCGGCATCTTCGGTGCTGAGCAGGACTAAACATGCACGGCACAGCGACATTTTACCAGATGAATCTGTTCTTTGCCTCCCCGTGGCATCGGCAAGTGGCCGCCACGCGCTTCGTTTGCGTTCTGAATTAAACATTGGTTTAAATACGCTCGAGCAGAATATGCTGCTATAAATTGACATCAATTGCCCGGAATAACAATAACAATATTTTTACGTGTGTGTGTGTGTGTGAGAGAGAGTGTCTGTGTGTGTGCAGGCAGGCAAGAGCTCCCAAACTTTGTTGAGACACGCGCTGGATATTAAAAGCTTAGATGCTGCCCGCTCTCTCCAGCTAAAAGAACTGTTATGCCTGGCGCACAGGGTGATATCGTAAAGCTTTAGCTTGCATAGGTTGCCTCCCACTGCAATCATTCAAATTTGGCGCACTTCTATTCTTATATTATGTTTAACTACATTTAAAAAAAACTACCATGCCTGGCGCACAGGGTGAAACCGTAAAGCTTTGACAATCATTCAAATTTGGCGCACTTTTCAAACATGTAAATATAAAATGCTTTTATTCGCACAAAAAATAATATATATAAAAGTATAAAAATTACATGTATGATTTGAGTTTGAATAACTCTGTGTCTATATACACACAGGCGTGTACATATTTTTGCGTTTCCACAGTTCAATTAAAATAGAGATTCATATGTGAACATTAATTATACATTGTCCGTTGTGATTATGGAACCAAGCGTTATCGACGTTGCCACCGACGATATTGTCTCCATGGATACATTTAGCTGCTTCTTGAATGCGCGCAATGCATCTAGATGATAGATCTGCTGACTGCCCGCCTGCTGTTCAATGGACAAAGTGTAAATGTTTCGCTCGCCACTCGCTGTCAGCAAAGTGGGCATATAATGGGGCAAGTAAAGACGCTGCATTTCCGGAGATTCGCTGCTCTGAGAGTTAGCGCCAGTGGCCATCTCTTTGCTGTAGGAGCGATGCACTCGCATGATCTGCACGTACTGATAGTGCGACACGTAGAGGAAGGGTTCACGGTAAATGAAACCCGTTGGCGCATAGACCCAATTCAGATCATAGGGACGCGAGCGGCAGCCAAACTCATCGACAAATATGCCGCACTCGGCAAAGCAGAGCAGGATCTCCTGCCGTGATATACGCACGGCTATAAATGGCTGACAGTTGGCCGTGTGCTGTACCGTCTTATCGGCCAGGTCGACAAACTCTTCAGCCGCATAGTTGTCCAGATCGATCTCATAGAATTTGTCCGAACTGACAATTGCCGAGTGGCGGGTATAGAAGATCGATGTCACCGGCGTCGCCGTATCCAGAGCACGCAATGGCTTAAATTTGTGCAGTTTATGATCGTACTTTAGAATGACAATGCGTGTCGATGTAGCCGCAATGGCCACCGAGTCGAGAGCATTCTCCGATTCATTGGATATCTGCACAAGTTTCCATTTTTCGCCCACGGAACGATTGGCAAACGGCAACTCAATTACGGACGTCTCCAACGTGGGCTTCTGACAGGGAATGGCGCTTTGGCAACGCGTCTCCAACTGGCGATAGTCGCACTGGTAGAGCTTCTCACCATTGGCGCCCACCATGATGGCCTTGGCCAGGCGTGTTGATATCGACACATAGCTAACGGACTCAATTCCAACAATGTGCAGTAATCGTTTTGTGTCCACATTGAAGGCAAACAATCCGCTATTGCAGCCAAATAAGAGAATCTTTCGCTCGACTATCTCGAAGGCGCAATTGATTTCGATCGCATCCTGCTGTGCTCCATCGTAGGACATTGTGCCGACGTATTCATCCGTATAACTCTCCGCGCTGTCCAAAGTGTCCAGGCTGTTGCGCCTCGACTCTGACTGGAGCTGTTCGCTGAGCTCAACGGAGGATGGACAGATTGCCGTTTTGGTGCCACAACTGCCTGTCACATTGGATCGGCATTTGCGATGCGACACCTCCTTGCATTCCTTGCAGCGCCAGTAAGGTGATCCAGCCACAATTGGCTGCTCACAGGCCAGACACTTGGCTGCGTCCATCTTCGACTCCTGCAAAGCCAACTCAAAACGATGATGCACCATTTCATCCACGCTTTGCTTTTGGGGTGATTTTGCTTTGGACTTGGCATCTGTTTGACTCGCTGAACGCTTCACTGTCGCCGTTGACTGCTTGCGTGGAGAGCTTGGGAATGCAGCGATGCTAACTGGTCGCACTTTGGGCTCATCTGCATTGCCATTTAGGGCACTGGATTTGTGGGGTGAACGCAATGTTGCAGTTCCTAAAAGCGATGTGCATTTTATTGAATGGCGAAATAAATAGAGTGAGTGCTTACCATTTAATTGGTCCAATTGCTCCTGCAACATCTTGGCATGCTTTTGCTCTCGACGCAGTTCTTCTTTGAGAGCACGATACAGTATTGAGGACTCCACATCGTTGGGAGATATGTTCTCCTTAACATTGCTGTGAGACCCAAAGATTTTGTCTGCTAATGTTTTCTTCTTCTTGGCCGACAAATCTTCCACCTTGAGCTGTAAGTAATTTGTTTGTTAACAATAAATTATTTACGTAATTATTTAATTTCAACTAATGTCAATCGACACAAAATACAAAAGATACAAAACAAATTAAATTAAAAATAAAATTTGCGAGGGTATTTAAATGCAAAATGGTCTAATATTCATGCAATGTTCTTGCAATAAATAATTCTTATTACAATGATCAAGAGAAAGTGCGAAGACATAACGGGTAGGTCTATAGGGAAAAGAAAAATTAACTTGTCTCCACAACGCAGCGAAATAAAATTGCTTCGACCAATGCTTAACAAAATTAAGGTTAAGCACTGGTCCTAGGTAGAGGTAACAAGGATAAGTACAGAACGTGAAGTTTGGAAGATAACTTTTTGGTTTCTGTTATTCAGATACTAAAAAATTCAGGTAAGGTTAGTGGGAAATCCTTTAAGGTCTAGCTTATGAAGCAGAAGGCACTGAATAACAGCACCAAAAAGATCGTTATGAAGTTGGTACGAAGTCGGTCTTGCATTTTAATCGAAATCCTCTGATCACAAGACAGGTAAATTCAAGACAATTTCACAAAACCATGCTGGAAAGGTAAAATAATAGAACTACATAAGTGTTGCAGTTGAGTTGCTAATATTTCCTCAAATACCACATCATCATTCATTACAGGTCACAAAAACAATTCAATTCAATTACCTGTAAATAATCGATGAGTTTCTTGTGCTGGGCCAAAGTGGCCATCGCTTTGATATCCCGCTGCACATAGAATTGCTCCTTCTCAGTGAGTGTGTTTTGTAGCTCATCGATTTCGGTGTGGAGGCCACTTTGAACTCCCTGCAGATGCTTAACTTCTGCCTGCAAATGCAGCACCTCCTCCTTGCTGTGGAATAGATCACTCAGAATGCGAGCATTCTCCTCCTTCAGACCGAGCAGCTCTCGTTCGTAGTCTGCGTTCTCCGCCTGGCAATTGGCGCTCTGCACATCCAACTGATCGGCACGCTCCTGGGCGCCAAACAGTGCGTTCGTCTGTTCGACCAACTGACCCTGCTGAGCAATCAGTTTCATTTGCAGCTGTTTGAGATTCTCCCTCAGCTCGTCCAGTTCCACGCTGAGCAACTGGGCGCGTTGTTCAGCCTGCCGCTTGCCGGACTCCTGCACATTGAGTTCCTTACGCAGATCGGTCAGTTGATCGTCACGCTCGCGCAACTTTATGTGGCAGGCGTCAAGTTGAGTCTGCTGTTTCTTGTTGCGCTGCTGCTCCGACTCCAGCATGGACTCCACCTCCGTAAGCTGGTTGTCGGTAATGCTGCATGCGTATTTCAAACGCTGGAAATTATCATTGAGCTGTTTGAGCTCCGCCTGCAATGACTGATTGCCTTCGCCAGCTGTGGCATTGCGTTCGCGCTCCTCTTGCAGCTCCCTCTGCAGACGCTTCTGCTCGAGTCCGAGGCCATCGCAACGCAGCTGCGTCTGATGCAACTTCTGGCGCACCTCTCTGGCCTGTTGCTCCAGCCGGTGCACGTTGGCCAGATGCTCGATTATCTCGGACTTGCATTTCATGCGCTCCTCCTCGGCTTTTTCCCACATACGATGCTCCTTGAGCACATCACGTTTGCTGGTTGCCAACTCCGTCTTTAGCTCATCAATGCGCGCATCACGTTGATGGAGTTCGTCCTGTGCTGATTTTAGTGCTCGTTGCGCCTCGTCACGTTCATTGTGCGCTTTCTTAACGCGATCCTCTGTCAATTCCATGCGTCGCGCCAGCAACTTCTTCTCGGAGAGCGCCTCCTCCAATTGTTTCTCCACCTTCCAGAGCGATAGATTGGCCGTACGCGCTGCCTGGCGCTCCACAATCATCTGTTCACGTACTGCGGCTAATTTGTCCTCCAGTTTCTCATTCTGACGCTCGAGCATGTCGCCCACAGCACTCTGGGCTGTTTGGCCCGAGTGCCTCTTCTTCGTCGGTGAGAGACTCTGCTCGTTGAAACGTTCGAGCATCTTCTCCAGCTTTATGACCAGCTCCTGCAGCTGATCGGCGCGCGTCTTCTGCACGCATTCGCTCTCCCGGGCGGCCACCAAATCGGCACGCAATTGATCCTCAACGTCATGCAGCTCCGTCAGTGAACCGGGCGCCGTTTCATATGGTGAATCCTGAGAAGCCAGCGATGATTCCGCTATATTGCATCGGCACTCGGCAACCTGCATAAGGTACAAAATATTATTACTTAAAATACCAATTGCATTTCTACTTTTCAGGAATGTCTTTCTTAATATGAGAAAAAATGTCTAAAAACATAGTTAGAAAAATACCCCATATTTTTGAGATTTTCGTTTTAGGACAAGCCTTTCTAATCTCTAGAAAAAATGTGTTCGTATATTTAGAAATTATAACTTACAATTCTTTGGTCAATTTTCAATATTACATATCTAGTTCATACCTGTAAGTCGCGCTCCAAACGCTGGCACTCCGCTTGGGCCTCCGTGAATTCATTTTTCATAAGATTCAGCTGCGTTTCCAGAGAGGATTTAGCTGCACGCAACTCATTGTTAGCGGTTATCTCGCAATTGAGTCGCTGCAACATATCCTCAATGCTTCGCTCCGTGGCATGTTTGGCCTCCTGCGTTGACTTGCGCGAACAGTTGGACTCGTCCAGCTCGGTGCGCATACTGTTCAGCTCCCGGGTCATGTGACTGTGCGTGTCCTGGGATTCGCGTAGCTTTTGACGCAGCTCGGACAGCTGTTGGTCATATGATTCTGTTAGCTGTTTCCGTTGCTTCTCATGGTTTGACTCGGTCTTGATGCTTTGATCCTTTAATTGCTTTAACATATCCTTGTAGTTCGTCAGCTTGTCGCTGAGATGTTTGCATTCGTCATTCTTTGCCTGAAATTCCAAATCACGCGCCTCGAACTTGCGAACGGTGCAGGCCAGCTCCTGTTTTTTCTCTGCCAGCTGCTTCTCGTATTTCTGCTCCGATGCGATCTTTGCCTCCTCGTACTTTTGTCGATTCAGTCGCAACAAATCTGTGATTGTCGACTCTTTTTTCGACCACATTTCCTCGTCAATTTTGGCCGAACTCTGCAAGGTTTTGATTTGAGTCTTACAGGTGGCCAGCTCCATTGTCTTGTCTCTGATAATGTCCTGTAGCTTTTTAATTTCTGCCTTGGCCTCGAGCACCACCTGCGACTTGCCATCGGTCTGCTTAAGAGTTTGCTGGGCCTTCGCCAGATCCTGTTTCAGCATTGAAATCTCAGTTTCACGTGATTTAAGCATTTGCTGTAGGCTCCTCATCTTCTCCTGAAGTTTGGCAGTGCGTGCCGTGTCCGAAATATCCGTATAATCATTTTCCAAATGTACGAAACTGTACCCAATAAAAGGCAGATCCTTGCCACTGAAATCATTTGATTTCATGTTCGATGTCAATGACTTCTTAGCCTGCACTTCTCTCCGCGCCTTGTGCCGTATTCCGTCCTCAAAGTTGGAGATATCGTCATCAGACTTGATCGTCGGTATTATGGGGGGAACCTGCGAGCGAACTGTGCTCCACTGGATGTTCTCAAAGAATGGATGTTTTACAATTTGATCGTATGAAAGTCGATTCGTTGGATTCGTGACCAGCGATACGAGGAGATTTTTTAAGTTGCTGGAAATTTTCAAATCACTGGGAAAGCTTATAATCTTTTTCATACGGCTATCCTCGCAGTGGGAGAGTATCTTGGAGTACGTTTCGTGCACGTTATCCTCATGGAACGGCGTAATCTCACATATCAGCTCATAGCCAATAATGCCCATGGACCAGTAATCGCAGCTGACCTAGTTAACAAAAATTAAAGTAGTTCAAATTGATTGAAAACAATAATACCAATACATAGAGATTAAAGAGAATACATGTTTCTGCAGCATAGTATTTCATTTGTCAGTTGCATATTTTGTGGAGCTGTTGGAAATTCATTTGGATCATACAATCATACTCACGTCATGCATTGATTTTGATAGCTTATAGGTAGATATGGTTTGCAGCAGCTCTGGGGCAATGTAGTCGGGTGTGCCAACAGGCGAAAGACTGAGAACATGACCATCACGATCCAGGGCAGCGGCATTACCAAAATCAGCCAACTTGATGTGGCCAAAGCGATCGATTAGAATATTTTCGGGCTTAATGTCGCGATGCACATAGCCCATTACGTGAAGTGTGTGGAGAGCCAACGTCAACTCGGCTAAGTAGAAGCGAACCAAGTCTTCGTCGAAGGGCCCATGACGGGACATTAAACTCAGCAGATCGCCGCCAGGCAGATACTCCATGATCAAGTACAGGTTGTCATTGTCCTGCGAATGAAATAATGTTTAATATTCAACATTAGAAATATTATATTATGCCAGTTTACAGCTTGAACGCACCTGAAAGGCATATTGCAAATTGGTCAACCACTCGGACTTGCGCTGGGACATAATGTCGCGTTCCACTTGCGATGTGGTCACCATCGATTTCTTGATCTTCTTCATGGCGTAGACATCCGATGTGTGGCGCTCAAGCACCAAATGAACATTGCCAAAATAGCCCTTGCCAATGAGGGCCTTGATCACAAAATCATCAGCATTGACACGCAGCTGGCGAGTCTCCTCGACAATGGGACGAACTGAAGATGAAAATAGAGATGTTTTGTATTAGAATGCAAAGTATTAGGTTAAATTAAAATAGCTTACATTTATTGACAAATTCAGCTATGTTCCGATCCCGTTTCTTCAGCGTCTCTTTGTCGCACTCATTGTAGAGCAGGCAGAACGCGTCCAGCAAACCCTCCCGACAAATTGCCTCAGCGACAGCTGCACTTGTGGTGTTATTCACCGGAATAATGCTGCGTCTCGATGCACTCGATGATGTCTTCTGGACGGCGCCAACTCCTTTGCCTAGTATTAGATTGTTGAGACGCGTTGTACGCACACTGATTGGGTCGCGTTGTGGTGGCATATTGTTTCCTTTTATTCAATTAAACAGTTTTAATTTGCAACTACATATAAATAGAAATGCGTTTATTGGACTGATGCCGTTGACGAAACACAAGCGACGCCCAGCTAAAAATCGAACGTTTTGAATGTTAAACGCGGTGAGAAATTCAGGGTTGCATTCGGCAGATGTGCCAGTGCTGTCATGGCGACAATAATATTATGCCACATTTGCAGCTGGAATAAATATAACAAATATAAATAATTGTTATTATTTTTGTGTGTGTTAATGGCGTAGTCGCATGTTAAACTAAAATAATATTTCAATAATTTGAGGAGCCATTTTTGATAATGCACTAATAGTTGAAGATGTTTTCCAACACTGTCGTGGATAGCGAGTGCTGTGGCTCGTTCGATTATCTTCCACTTTCGACGGGTAGGTTTTTGCAGACGGAAGGTGAAAAATTTTCCACATTACGAATTGCGAAAATTTTACATTTCAAATAGTTTTTTCCTATTTCATTTGATTGATTTTTTAAATTGTGCTCTATTCTGATCTTTATAAAATATCTGCAATTTAGAAGATCAAAAGTTGAAAACATTTGCCCTGGAACCAAAAAGCAATTGCGTGCTTGTCAACGTCGAAAGGTTGAAACTGCAGCGCAGCAGGCAACACTCGCTCGGGGAAACGGGGCAACGTCGCGCTCGCTATTAATTGTGTTTGCTTTACTCTTGAGTTATTTTTTTTATTCGTCGACGATTGTGTCGGCCGTAAGCAGAAACATTTCTTAATAAAAAAAAAACTTGGAATCGAATAAAAGCCAACATGAGTGGTGGACTGCCGGAGTTAGGCTCGAAGATCAGCCTGATTTCGAAAGCCGACATTCGATATGAAGGCCGCTTGTATACGGTGGACCCGCAAGAGTGTACAATTGCTCTATCGAGTGGTAAGTAATATCCCAAAATGTATATATAATATATATGTACATATTCATTTTGCGTCCATGTTAATTTATTTGCACACACTGCATGTCATGTAAGTATAAGGTACAAAGCGTAATGTAAAACTAAAACGGTAAAATGCAAAGGCGTGTGTGCTAAAAAGAAAATGGTTTCTTTCGAAATTTTTTGTTCACGTTTTTTTTTTTTGGTTGCTTCAGTTAGTTTTTACAGTAATATTTGCGCTCATCAAGCAAAGATCGTGTGCAGAGACAAGCAGAGACAGCGACACACACTCGACTCGGCGGCGTTAACCAATTTCGTTCTCTCATTCTCCCGCTCCCTCTCTCTGTTTCGGTGCGCTATCCCTCTCTCTTATGCTTTTTGTTTGTCATGTTTTCGAAGCTCAGATGCTGGCTGTCGGCACAGATAGAGAGCTTCGGGTTGTACAGTGTTGCTTTTGCTTTGCATCCCCATCCGCAAAATTACATATACACATGTGTGCGTGTGCACATATACAAGCATGTGAGTCTTATGTATGTGTGTATGATTTTACATCAAAATAAGTATGTATGTATTTACATACAAAGCTATTTGTGCATGTGTACGCTAAGACAATTTTTGGCGCCAGCGCCAATTAACGGATTTTCTATCGCCGCTGCTTAGAGCAAGTACCGTTAGCAAAAGGACTTCGGTAAAAGTGAAAATTTGCCATAAAATAAAACAAAAATTATATTTAATAAATTGTGTGACTGAGTTTATTCATATGCATAAATATTTAAATAAATATAATTTATTTAAATATGCATAATAATTATAAGCAGTCTTTTTTGCACTTTTCATCAACATTTGGATACATATTGAGGTTAAATAGAAAATGCTAAGAATAAATACAATTGTTCTTTTATTATTATTTTGTTTGATATATATATACTTTTTTTTTTTATAATTAGTGCGCTCATTTGGAACCGAGGATCGCGACACACAGTTCCAAATAGCGCCGCAGTCGCAGATCTACGATTACATCTTGTTTCGCGGCTCGGATATTAAAGACATTCGCGTCGTCAACAATCATAATCTGCCGCATCACAATGATCCGGCCATTATGCAGGCCCAGTTACAGAATGGTCCTCAGGTGATGCCCCAGCATTTCCCAATGAATGCACCAACACCACAGCAGCAGCAACAACAACAACAGCAGCAGCAGCCCCAGCATACTGGTGGACCATCGATGGGTGGAGCCGGAGGACCTGGTGGTGTTGGTGGTTATGGCAACGGCAATCCATTTGGCGCCTTGGGTGCACCCAGTCTGGGACCAGGCTCATTGGCACCGGGCAGCGGAGCCCCGGGCAGTGGCGGCGGAGGTACCTTCATGAACATTGGTGGTAATCAGCAGCAACAACAGCAGCAGCAACAGAAGCCTCAGCAGCAGCCAAAACCAAGTAAGAGAATTGCAAATTTCATCAATTTATTTGTTGATCACACACTGAGACACAAGACACGAAATACCAATAATACAAAATATATTTGTGCACTCTTTCTCCGTATCTCTCTATATGCATAGTTTCCGTTTTAGATATGCTTGCGAGCGCTTCACGTTCGACAACGCCTATTAGCCTCATTATCAGTCCAACGGCCGATCTGACTCAGCAGCAGCAGCACTCCCAGCAGCAGCAGCAACAACAATTACATCAACAAAATTCGATACAAGCTCTTGGTGGTGGCAATGCGCGCGATGCCGGACATAAGCGCCAAAACCACCAACAGCAGCAGCATCAGCAAAGATCTGGACCCAATAATATGTCGCAACAGCAGCAGAGGAACAACCATAATAACGACTTTTACAATCATCCCCACCCCAACCAGCAGCAGCAACAACAGCGTGATCGGCGCGACTCTGGCCGTCAAATGGATAATAATAACTATAACAATTATAATAATAACCAACGTAATAATCGTGGTGCTGTCGGCGCTGGACAAATGCAGCAACGTGGTGGAGGCGGAGGAGGAGGTGGAAATAATGCATGGAATATGCATCGCGGCGGTCCACAAAATTCCAATATATTCCGCGGCAATCGCGGAATGGGAGCACGTGGCCCAATGCGACCAAATCAGGTGAAAATAAAACAAAATAAGTACAGCAAGAAAACAAGGTCATTTTAAATGCATTCAGTCACCTTCTTCGACCTTGCACTTAACAGTTTGTATTTTGATTCAAATATATACTTAATTTTATATGGCATTTTAGCAGGGCTATCGTCCACAATCGGCCAATCAAAATAAGCCTCGCAACAAGATCAAATTTGAGGGTGATTTCGATTTCGAGCAGGCCAACAATAAATTCGAGGAGCTGCGCACCCAACTGGCGAAACTCAAGGTGGGCGACGAACCCAACACCAAAACCACAGCACCAACAACAGCAACAACAGCCACAACAACAACAACAACTAGTTCTACCACTACCGAACAGGTATTTGTTTTATTTTCTTTTTCTTTGTTACTTATGCTTGATTTTACTTTATATTTCATTTAACACTAATCAAAAAATACAACACAATTAAAACAACCAACACGATCCACTTAAGCATATAGTAGAAAGTATTCAATGGTTAGCTAACTAGACTTTAACTTTGCACAGTTGAATGGTGAAACTGATAAGAAGGATGATTCTGGCAATGAGACCGGCGCTGGCGAACATGAGCCCGAGGAGGATGATGTTCATGTTGGCTACGATAAGACCAAATCTTTCTTTGACAACATTTCGTGCGAGGCTGCCCAGGATCGCAGTAAGAACAAGAAGAATGACTGGCGTCAGGAGCGCAAATTGAATACGGAGACATTCGGTGTCTCATCCACTCGACGTGGCAGGTGAGCAGCACTTGCAACTCGTCGCATATATACATATATATTATCATATTAATACTCTTTTTAGTTATCGCGGTCGCACCCATTACAACCATTACAACAATGGCAACACGATGGGCGGCGGCGGTGCTGGTAATGGCATGAACTCGGGATATGGCGGCGCTCCCGGCTACAATCGCAACAATTATCGCATGGGCGGTGGCGGTGGCACCTATCGCAATCGCAGCAACAATCGAAACAATAACCGCGGCGGTCCCAACAATATGACCAATGGAAATGGCAATGGTGGTGGCAGCACAGCCGCTGCACTGAAAGCGGCCAACAATGCTGCAGGAGGAGTTGCAGGAGCAGCTACTACTGGCAACAATTCAACGGACAACTCGGCATCAACCAATGTCCCAACAACGAAGACGGCCACGTCTACGCTGGCAGAGCAGCAGACGCAACAGGTGGCGGCAGTTTGTAAGGGAACCAACTAAATATTTAAATTTGTCATATATTTATGTAATTGTTGTAAATTTCGTTGCAGCCCAATAATGTCGCAGAAGTGGAGGAGGAGTTCCCTTGCCGCCTAACTTTACAAAATCGAAAAGAAAACAGTCCTACTCATCACTACCACTACAAAAGCTAGTTACCCGAAAGCAACAGAATCAAGCGACAGATCGACGACAAACAAGGCTCTTATCATCATCAATATCAATGGAATGGAAATCGAGGAGGAGGATTAGTTATGGATCTAATGATGGCAAAAACAAATTAATTGTACAATTTTACTTAGTGTTGTTAAAACGCTCATGACGTCCTGCTGCGCGCACACTTCTGCCCGCCCACCGTGTTGCTTTGCTATCTAATATATGTTCTCTATATGATCATGATCCGAAAGCGTTTGAGAGCAGCGCCATATTAAATAATGAATGATAGGTTTTTTGTGTAAATGATGGCATGCTAATAATAACGTAACGTCGTCTCCAGCGAGGCAGCACACTTGATTAACAAAAACATAGTGAGATGAACATAACATACACACCTCTACATATATATTTAGTAATAAATGTGAAGAAAACATTAAGCATAAGTCTATGAAAAGTTAAAAAGAAAATAACTCTAGGAGTCGCAAATTATGAAATTAAAGGAAAAAGAAACAAACAAAAAAAACACAAACATTAAATCCATGGAATTCCCAAAAAATTAATAAAAACAAAACGCAATTCACATGTTTATATTTTAACAATACAAAAAAAAAGTCTACAACTATACTTAATGTGGGCGACATACCAACATACAAACATAAATAAATTAATTCAAAGCGTTACTAGCATTTAAACTTTTTTAAGAAAATTTTAATGATGGAGAATTGGAAATACATGCATATATAACAATTAGCAGCAACACAAACAACATACACACAACACCCGTACATATATACTGAACACAAAAATTGTAAAAAAAAAGTAATTAAAAAATAAATCACCTATCAGCAGTAGTGTGGGCAACAAATAAATTTACTTAAACTGATGTTTATATATCAAAAAAAAAAAAAAAGAAAGCAAAACAATTATATCGTGTCTTTCAGAGATAAGTTCAATTTTTGATCAAGTTCAGTGTCTATAGCCAAAACTCTAATAGTTTGTAGTATGCTTTTTATGTGGGAGCTAAAATATATATATATGTATATATATATATATATTAATTATGCTAATTAAATGTGTGTATTTTGCAACGGCCTTCGCAACAAGACAAAATATTCTAGATTTCCAGGAATGCATGCACAATACTTGTCTCATTATACAACACAATTTTAAGTTTAAGGTTATCATCCAACTGTCAGCTACGCAAGATTCCGATATATGATCTATTTTTTAAAATCAATTATTTTTTAAAGTTAACATTTACATTAAATTTGTATTGCGAGTATGTAGTTGGAATTGAATCGGAGATATTACAAGAAAATACTCCACGGAATGTACATCAAAAAAAAAAAAAACAATGTTTATTGTAAATGTTTCATATACATAAGCCATATATTTCATATTAAATTCAGAGCAACATAACTAATTGACTTACTTTATGTCACACGCCTCTCAAAGAGAGCAGTACGGGTATTCGAATCAAATATCAACAAATATAGCAGACGCGACACGTTACTTTCATAATTTAGCGGCACAAATCATGAAATTGTATTTAACTAATTTATATATGTATGTAATATGTCGCTAATAAGTAAAGAAGCAAGTCAACATTTCCAATAGATACAATGTTCATTGAAGGATCTGCCAAATATTCTGTTTAATAGATGGGCAAACTGGTAGTACTTTGAGATACGTATCTTAGACAAAAACATATAAGAGATCTCGTGTTGGCATTGGTTTCAAATTCCGTGGGTGTGGAAATGGTTTTAAATTAGATTTAATTCAAATGGCATTTCTAAATTATATCCCTTATGGTAAATAGCTCTAACTTCTAACGATTGCAACTAGATACAAAGAAGATTTTTAATTAAGTTCATATAAGCAATTAAATATTTTTTATTCTTCAAATTTGTGTTTATGATTTTAGTTTATTTCTTCTTGGCAAACCCATGTTTTTTTCCATTCATTTTGGTTGGATATAAGTGATAAAACGAAATACATAATTCAAACACTTTCTTGAAAAGTTGATCGGCATTTCTTTCAGTTATGGGTCCAAATTTGACAGCGAATGTCGCGCAACAATGCCGTTATATAATAACATAAATATTTAAATAAGCTATATTTCATAATTTTGACATTATTGAATTACTCTATAATAAATAGAATAGAGTTGATTCGCAATAGATACTATATATATATATATATGATAAGATCTAACAATTTTATTCTTCATCACATCATTTGTCCCATAAGCCCAGTTCACGCATTTTGGTTTGGAAATAACGCTCCAGCGAATTGGCGCAACGATAATACTCCGTGTCGGGTGAATTGTAGAACCGACAATTACTGAAAATCCGTGCCATATCTGCCATGAACAGGCGGCGTGTCTGATAATAACCCTTCTTTAGGCGCTCGCCCATCGTTTTCAAGTCCATGGGAAATTTGATATGATCATAGTAGTCGGGCACCTCGTTTGCCGGCACCGGCCGTAAAAATGGCCAAGCCGTGGTATGCTGACGCACCGATTGCAATACTGATGCAAAGGATGTGACAAGTTTTTCCGGATCTGATGACTCTTCCAGGGGACGAGATGCGCGCACTGGACGCATTTGTGGCTTCCAACCGATTTCCCTCAGGCCCGGTATGGACTCAACTGGGATGGAGGGCACACCTTCCTTGAAGCATGTTAGGCCAGGCCTGACTTTCTGGACATCATTATGACGTTGTGCAATGAGCTCCTTCAGGATTTCACTTTGATGGCGAATCACTGAAAAGATACAGGACATAATAAATAATTGGTAAATTCAAATGCGAAATGAATGCTGAGATAAACTCACCGGCTATAAACTGAGTGTTCACAATACTTGGATGCAGTTCACAGTGCATCAGGGTGGCACTATCATACTCCTTGATGTAGCCAGCATAGACGGGTCGTGCCAATTTGATGTCCTTGGAAAATCCCTGCTTCTTGAAATACCCAATGGCATCACAATCGGCAAACGTAAGCAAATGCTTAATGCCACGCTGAATGCTGTAATCCTTCAAGTGATTCATCAGATGAGTTCCATATCCCTTCACCTGCTCCGCCATTGTCACTGCACAGAAAACGATCTCTGTGAAGCCCTGCGTTGGAAATGGGCGAAAGCAAATGCCCCCAATTGGCTGATTCTCCTTGATGAGTGCCAGCGTTTTATGCTTGGTATCGAAAACCAGCTGACTGATATATTCCCGCGGCATCTCCGGCAGCTGATGCGCAAACACCAGCTGTAATCCTAGTAGCCATAGGATTGTCTGCTTGCCCACGGGCTTTGTCACCGCATTGCCCACCACATGAAACTCGATGGCCCGTTTCTGCTCCTCAGCTTTAACATTCTCATCGCGCGACACATTTACCGGAAATAGAATTTCCGATTTGTTTGTTGTCTTAGATTCGGCTACGGCTTTCATGGCACGCGTTACCACATCGGCTGGCAGATCATCTTGATTTTCAGTGCTGAAAGTAAGGAATTAAATAATAAAAATGTCTTTTCAATTTCTTTTAGTAACTTACCTGATGCTTCGTTCGGGCATTTCTTTTTTGATCCTCTTCTGAAGTGGTTCTCCGACGCTGGAGCGTTTACCACTGCTGGCTGCCGACGTGGACGTTGAGCTGGCCGATGTGATTGTTGATGTCGGTGGCAACTCCTGATGCCGCTTCCGTTGCTGCATGACAAACGAATTGGGTGGCCTGTAGTTTGGATCCCAAATGGGTGAATCATCTTTCAGCAGCTCCGAGCGCAGTGCCTCCAAGAACTTTGGCATTTGCGTAATTATCGAACGTTTGTCCTCCGGAAAGCGATCACGTTCCGAAATGCACTTCTTTTTCAGCTGCTGCGACATGTACTGAAATACGGTGCGGAGAAGGGTTCGTCCAAAGACAAGCGATGTCTCAAATTGGCGCAGCGAGTTGCAAAAGGCAGGCACATGGCAGAAGACCAGCCAGCGTGTATAGTTGATCTTGTAGGTGGACGCATCCTCGTGCGTCAATGTCAAATCACCGCGTCGCGCCGATGGCGACTCAAAATTGTAATGATTGAGGAAATTCAGAAACGTTTTGGCGACCTCCGTCATCGTTTGCAGTTCAGTCGAACTCAAGTGATGGTACTTATAGAAGACCAAGGATAACACAGCCTTCGTTATGCACGGCGACTCAAACGGAGGATCGCCGAGCGGGCCGCGAATTACAGCCTGAGTGCGTGTTAGGACGCATTGACGCAGCAACCTAAACAGATACAAATACACCTTCTTGGTGTCATCGTCCTCGACACGTTGCATGGACATAAACAAGTTTTCCATGTCAATGATGGCGCCCAACAGTTCATCCATACTTGTCCTGGAGATTTGAGCCATATGAGCTATGTGGGAACGCAACGGATGGCGACAACTGGCATTGCGACACTCCTCACTCAATTCCGGGCAGTACGAGGATTCAACATCGCGATGCCTGTTCTCCTGTGGCGTCTTCCAGCCAGTGCATCGACAACCCTCCGCTTGGCACGCAGAGTACATGGAGAGCTTGGCGAATTTCTGTGCCTCCGGCAGATTGAATACCTTCTGCTTTCGCTGCTGGATGCGCTGCAAGCTATTCTGGCGGGTGCCCTCCTGGGCTGGTGGCACACTTGATCCAGCTGCTGAACTCTGCTGGGACGATGATGATGATGCGGATGCGGCGGCTGCCGCGGATCCGTTCCCAGATTGCTGTTGCTGCTGCTGCTGTTGGGCAGCTGCATTGCCACTATTGCTATTACTTCCATCGATTGGTTGGCTCTTCAGAGTTATTGCTGGACCACCAGACATGCCTTCGATTTTTCTTTGTTTGTGATATATATTCACTTATTATATATGTATATGTATATGATCAAAATTTCACAACATGAGAAAATGCCAACGAGGGATGATGAAATAATGCAATAATTGCGACTGCGTACCAAGGGATGGCGAATATTAATAAAATTTAAATTAAATTGTTTACCACATTTAAAGCTTTACCGAACACACCAAACAATTATAATAAAATCATAATTTCATTTTTTCACCACATATAACACTAACTGGATGATAAATTAGCTTGACCAAACTAAGTTCAATGAGCTCAGCCAGGGAGAGATTGTGAATGAGCAGCGAATGGTATTGTTATCGAGTTATCGTCATCGCTTTTAAATATACAATTTAAGCACAGACGAAAACAAATTGTTAATATACACAAAATTAAATAAATACATGATTGTTTGAAATGACAAGCCTGACCTCAGAGGATTTGGAGGATCAGCTGGATAGTTTCATCATTCGTAAACCGCGAGATCAAACAAAGGTTTATACGGCAGTACGCAAAGAAACCAATAATGGCCAAAAGATTTTTGAACACATTCCGCTGCTTGTGGGAGACATTTTGCAATCGACGCCAGTCGCCGGCTATAAAGATGTATTTACGGCTTTCAATCCCGCCACTCTAAACTACCGCAGTTGTCTTGTGTACGGTTATGTTGCTGGCCGGGGTGTTCACAATAAATTCTTTTACAAATACCTCGTCGACGATGGAACTGGCACAATCGAAATCAGCATTTTTAGCAAGCCAAATGAGTCCGACATTATTCGAGGTCTTTACAATGAAGCAAAGAACTTGGTGTACTCCGCGGGATCTGGACAGTACGAGAAGGTATCGGGTTGCATGATACGACTGCTAGGTAAGGCCATGGAACATATTGATGGTTCCGCAATATTACTCGGCAGCAATGTTCTGTTATTTGGACGCCCAAGCTGCTTTAGGAATAAAATTACTTTGGAGGTTATCTCATTTGCCATGGACAATGGACGATCTCGTCAGCTAGAGATCGCGTTTAATGACAATTTGATCGACTATTACCAGAGCCATAAGGCCGCATAATTTGTATTTGTGTGTATATATGTATGTATTGAAATTTTAGCTCAATAAAAAATTCAAATTTAAAAATAGATATACAGAATTTATGTGGTTTTTGCTCGAATTGCTGCACGCTTGCCGGTGACAGCTTGGAAACCAGACTTAATGCTAGCCACGGAGCAACGGGAACCGCAGGATTCACACTGAAGGAAAAACAGACGTGTGTCCTTTTGCAATATTGTCTCCGGCGAACGGCAGGTGTGACAGGTGACATACTCCTTAATATAGCGACGCAGCACGTTCTCGATCTGCTTCGGCTGGAAGCGTCCCTTGATTATCAATTGCTGGTTGCCGTCCATCGAGCCGCTGGTGCCCAACTCGGCCAGCAGGAAGTCCAACAGGTGTTTGGGCAAACGATGCAGCGTTTTCGCAATATCCATGAAATTTGCGAACGAAGTTTTCTTGGTGCCCACACGCAGCACCTGAGGCGGTCTCATCACAAACTTGGGCTTGCGGCCACCGGCCATATCTGGGTTCTTGTCCAAAATGATTTCAAAGACGCGCTTCAGCAACTCATCGTATGTATAATCCCGATCAGAACCCGCCCAGGTTGAGCTGCTATCGTCCACTGCAACAAAATAATAAATATAAATATTTTTGGAATGATACTTTAAATTTTTATTAGCTTACCGTTTTCTTTGTCCTCGCCTTTGTCTTCATCCATTTTGTCGGCAAATAACTCGTCGAGGTCTTTCTTTTTGCTCCTCTTCTTCTTTTTCGCCATTGAAAAGTCCATGTCTAGGTTGATCTCCTCCTCTTCCGGATCATCAGCTATAACAATATCGTCGGCGCCCCCACCTTCGGGCAACGCACCTTCTAATTCATCCAGATTGAAGGGCTTCTTCTTTTTCTTCTTCTTTTTGCCAAAACTTTCTAAATCGAGATTATCATCCAAATCGGCTGCTGTCGCATCTACGGCGCTTTCATCTATAAGATCCTCTTTTTTGGCTGAATCATCGAGACCCAAGGCGGCGTCCAAATCGAAAGTGGTCTTCTTCTTCTTCTTCTTTTTCAATAAACTGGGATCAAAACCCTAAAAAAAACATATTGAAAGCACAAATTGTTTAACACGGTTCGCACATGAAATACAACTGGGTGGGTGTGTGGGTAAATGCCTGGTGAATGGAGCCTCATTTGGACAACATAACCTCACACATTGGAATTCACAATGTACACTCTAATTTGGACGCAAATGTGACTAACACTTGCATTGCAACACTTGTATTAACACTTACGTCTTCACCTTCCATAATAGATTATTTTTTATTAACTGAACAAAGAGTTGAAAATTTCGTTTATATTATACAGCGAATTGCATCAGAAAATGTATAATTTAGTGACAGCAGGGCAGTTTGATGGCTTTGCCGAGGGGATGTTGATTTCGTATCGATAAATCAAACGATAACAACTGCTGACGTGCACGAGTGTTCGATTGTTGTTATACAGCACTATTTTAAATTAATCAATGCAGCACAATATTTATTTTAAATTTAAGCTGTTTTATTTTTCAACACATAACTAAAACAATACTGGTCACGTATGTACATCAAAACTATTTCCTGGTTTACACAAACCTTACACCTACATCAAAATTTAACCCGCCAGCAACGCAAACCACAAAATAATAATTTTATAAAATGTATGTGATTTATTATTTGAAATATTTTGTATTTGTTTTGTTTTTTTTTTTTATTATTGTGATTGTTATAGATTTTATTGCTAGTGTAAGCTTATTTTTTTTATATATATCTTTAAAAATATACATTTCAATTCTTTGCGTGAAATAAATTCTTTAGACTTTCAGGCTGTGGCTGACTAACAATTCTACTTAAGATACTAAAAAAATATTGCTTCAATTCAATATGCAAATTTTTAATTTATAGAAAACTATGTGGTCTTTTAGCATTCTGTATTACGGACAATTGTAGTGCAATTCAAATCAATTCATACGAAATAAAATGAGAAAATATATAATTTGTATAATTTTAATAAAAATTAAAATAGCAATTTGATTGTTTCATAATTCAATAGCATTATTAATGATAATCTGATAGTAGAACATACACTCAGGTAATCTAAAAAGTCATTAAATTTAATGATATATTTTTTGAAGATGTCAACAATCTTTTAATAAATTGGGTATCAGTAATCCTTAAACTTTTTTTTTAATGTAAAATTATACATAAAACATTTAATGGGATATACAAAACTAAAAATGATTTACAGATAGAAGTTGCAGGGGTAAAGGTTTACAATAATACGACGACTTAATAAAAATTCGTTCCTGTTGTGGCAGTTTTACGTATTTTGAGGCAAGAATTTCGCTTAGATGTCTCCAAATCTCAAGTATATTTATGTAAATATTAATATGTTGATGTGTAGAAATATTTAAAAGTACGATAGTTGAGCACCAACGACTAGATCTTTCTTATATGTTTTAAGATTTGTTTTATAATCGAAATTGTTGTAAATAATATGTAAAAACTTGCTTAAGAATTTGGATAGTTTTTTTTTTGTTGTAAACATAACAAATGAATCACTTGCAACGAATATTTATAAATGCATTTGCGAGTGATTGTTTGAAAGTGTATAGTTTAAGGCTGCGTATATTGTTCCCCAGTTCCCCGTGGCAACTAGGCACGCCGGTTAAATGCGAATCTGTGAGATTATGTCTAAGCACTCATCTAGCTGCACAAATGAAAGGTTCTACTAAAAAAATCTTGACTACAAATGAGCATTGCTGGGCTTAACTAAATCCGGTCCCACTCCGCCAGCCAGTTTCTGAACTAGTATGCCCACTTCGTAGGCCAGCTGATGGGTATCCTAAAATGAACAAATCAAATTAATAATTTACAATTCAATTAAACTTCTTTCAATTATGAGCACTTACTTCTTTCGTTGAAGCCTCAGCGTAAACTCGTACAACATCCTCTGTGCCGGAGGGACGGACGAAGGCACGTCCGCGTTTATAGTTAGCAACAACTTGGTTAATCTCATCTTGTAATCCCTCCGGCTTCACACAAACGCGTTCCGCATCTGTTGTCTTGATGACGTTTCTATCCTTAACATGTATTTTAAGCTGTTGATTTGGCAGGTCAACGTAGCTGGAAATCCAGTCTCTAACATCCCAACCTTTGTGGTTTAAAATCGTCTCCACTAAGAGCATATCGGAGATGGCATCTCCGACAGTCTCATTGATGAGATCTATAATTAAGAGAAAATCCCTGGCCTTTGGCTTAGTCTTCGCCGCTTCGCTAATCGTGAGCTTTGCGCTATCACTGAACACAATTGTGCCATGGCCATTGGCTTCGAAATAGACGCCAATATCATATTCTAAGGCCTTATGGTGCAAATGCTTGACACCGGTTGGAACACATGAAACGGGCACCTTCAGTTCGTTGACAATGTAATCCGTTGATGCCCCATTCGCGTACGCAGTCTGCACCAGGCCCAATCTCAGGTCTAGTTCGCAACTCTTGACCAAATCCATGAGGTAGCCAGCGACCAAGGTGGCAATACGATCCCCATCCAGCAGCTGGAACTGTCCGTTCTCATCGCTAAAGAAGTAGACAACACGATCAGCATCGCCATCGACACTAACACATCTCGTATAGGGCTCCACAATTGGCATCGATATCGGTGGTCTTTGCTGCACCTTGACATGATCAGCTCCACACTCCTCATTGATTTTGCCACTGCCAATGCCTTGGTTAATCACTGTCACAGCCAACGAATTATTCATGCGCTTCAGGAATTGCAACATTTTTCGTGCCCCAACGCCATTTGCACCGTCAAAGATGAGATTGTTGCGATATTTGCCATTTTCCAGCTGACCATTGCGCAGTTTCTCAAATGCCGATATTAGTTTCTCGTAATAGTTCTCCTCGGTGGGTTTGCCGTACGCCTCCTTTGTGTTGGAAGCCACCACAAAGAAGTGCATCATGGGTGTTGTCACAATTCCAAATTCCCGCACATTTCCCTTCAATGCGATGACACCATCCGCAACCGCTTTGAGCAGACGCGGACTATGATAACGATTGTCCATGCCGACGAAGACATGCGAACTTGTCGTCACATCAATATTATTGTCTTTGATTATTTTGGCCACATGCTGCTCCAGTTCCTGATCGCTGACATTCACCAAATCGGTGGCAATTGTCTCCCAGCTGGACTCCAGCATTTCACCCTTGGGATCGATCAGTTTGACGCCATTGTCGGGCTCCGGATTATGTGAGGCAGTGATCATAACTCCGATTACAGCACCTTCTCGATAACGGGATCGGAGCGTGGCAAGAACGCCCATACGGAACATTACACTGTCCAAAAATTCAGCTCTGTTCAAAAAGAAGATCAAGTTGGAAATTGGTTAGTATAAAGATGAGCACAATTTCATCACTATTATTTTGAATTGAAGCTAGTATGAAATTATATGATTCATCAAATAAACCGATAGACTCGTTGTGTTATGTTTAATTACTAAATGACCTAATATATATACACCTAATAATTCTAGTATATCAATATTTCTAGATAATCAATTCAAAGTCTTCTATTTCTATAATTCAGAACTCAATTTTATTTCTTATGCATTCGTGGTTGGTCATCTTAACTGATTCATACGAACTATTTTTTTGGTTCAATTGCAACAAATGTTGGACTATTTTGCATTTAAATACCTTCAAAAATCCTATGGAAATTTTTTATTATTTTTTTTTTTATATAATATTAAATTTTATTTATTTTTTACTTTATGATTGTGCCAACTGATAATTAAATAAATATTTATAACAGTTGGTAATAATTAATATGGTTTTATTATTATTACTTACATCTAGTTTTGCTATTAAATACAGCAAAATTGCTGTCATATACTGAACAATCTGACTTCAGTGAAGTTCACATTGGTCTTCAACTATATATATGTATATATATATATATATCTGTAAGTATTTACTTCTGATTCTGATTACTTCACTTACTTGTACAAACATTCCGACATATTACGAACACTCACTTCTGATAACAACAGCTATTTGCAGTTGATAGATAAAATATTCAATCCCATAAAAAGTTCTTTGCTTTAACTTTAGTTTACGTTGTACAAATATATATACATACTTAATATCTATACTATAACATTTCCAATCCTAAATTAATATCAAAACCGAGTTTCGTTTTTGACCTTAATTTTGTTTCAAAATTTACAACTTATCTCTTCTTCTAGTATGACAAATTAAACATGTTTTTTAAATACTCATTTCCTACTTCTACATGTATGTATTTGTATTTGTGTACCTTTAAAGGTGCATGTCCATTGATAAAGTGTGTGCGTAAGTTAATTCTAAAAATAACTCCAAATGCCAATACAAATAGTGCACTCGGTTTTAGTCTTACTCATCTTCACCACACCCCTAAACATATATGTATATTTGTAAAATTTTCTACGCATGTGTATGTGTGTGCAAGTTCATATGGGTGTGTGTGTGTGTGGGCGTGGGTGAAGTAAATGCATAAGAGATGTGTAAATGCAGCTATATTTGTATGAATGAAGTTACCAACATAAATACACGCACACACATACATATGCACAATTGTGATTAATTGCCAGTGGTCAACTTACTTGCCGCGAAATCCAGCTGTTCCATATTGAATGGGTGTCGTCGAGATTTTTGGGTACATTTCCCTCGCAAAGGCGTAAACTGTTCTCAAATTGATGGACATATTGGTAAATGAACTGGTGACTCGGCTGATGTGGCACTCAAAATCCTTGCTGCAGCTGTTACGTTGAAGTCGCAAAACTACTTTCCGTTTTCACTTTGGTGCTGTTGTTTTTGTTGTTGCACTAAAAGTAGCCCATATATGAAAAGCAACTGAAAGCAACGCGTGTCAGCTGAATGCTAGCAGGAAGAAGAAGCAACTGCCAGTAACAGTGAATCGTTTGCAGACTCATATCTACCACGCGGGTGACGTCAGCATTGTCCATTTTATGCTTGCGCTATGGTGAATCTCATTTTAAATTGTCCAATTTTATTAACCTGTTGAGTTTTATTTAAAGATTTGCATATATTATATGCAATATTAATCACTCTTTCATTATTAGTCCATAATTAAATTCAATTTTAGCAACTTTTGTAAAAATGTTTATTTAATATTTCTATGCCAGTGTATAAATTTGATAGTAAATAAAAATAATTCAATATAAATATACGTGTAAAATGCAGTATAATATAAATTTTTTTGTGGACGGATTATTTGGATAGAAATTTATATATATTTATATAATTTATAAATATATATTTGTAGATTGTATGAATAGACGTTTCGGACGGATGTCTACTATATAAAATTGACATTTAACAAAAATTGTACTTCTATTTTGTAATGCTGTTGATCTTTATGACTTAAGATTAAATTATTGTACATTTGGGGCATATATAGTTCAATTCACTTCTGACGATTGTGTTTTTTTTAAGGCACTAGATTCAAGAAAGTTAGAGCAATTGAAAAATTGCTCTTATGGAATTATTGATATGTATTTATGTCGTTTGTGTGAGATTCGAAAATGTTTATTCGAAATAATTACGAGTCTAAAATCATTCGGGATGAACTCTCACCCTATTTGGAATGGAATAGAGAGAAACCGTGACGAGCCTCATCAGAGCACTATTCGCAGAACAAACATATTTGCCAGTATTAAGAATACGGATAATGTTAAATGCGGAGCACTCGCATAGCAATCGGTAATGCGACGAGCCCGCATAAAATTGCCACCCAGATAGGTGGCATAATGGCGTTGCTGCTGCGGTATCACTTGCAATTGTCTCGTGGCATCCTGGAAGATTAGATCATAGTGTCCTAGCGGTGAGGAGAACATACTAAAACTGAATGCATCCACATCCTTACGGCCGTACAGCTGCTGGGCATATGTCAGCAGATTGATGTAGGCATGCAGTTGTGTCTCATTGTAGTTGACTCCACCACGTGTGACGATGGCATTAGCCTTCACCTTGCCCAGATTGCAGCGTTTGTAATCCTGGAGTTCCGCACGAGTGCCGTCCGTGCACAACAGTTCAAAGTCATCGTTGAGGGCATTCCTGGCCCACCATTCCTTGCGCTTGCCACCCGTGCTCTCCATGACGGTGGTGTGCTTCATGAACGCCACATGCCCGCCGCCCTCAACGAGACAGCGGAACGCACCCGTATGCCCATAGTAATCCTCCGAAGCATCCCGACGGCAGTATCTATAGCTGGTTCCATGGCAGAGATCGCACATGCTGTCGTATGGCACACCCGTATTATATTCACTGCTAATGGCACCGGGCACACAAGATTTGGTAAAATATTCGGCGGCGGCACGAATCGAATCACAGCCGTATGGTCGAATCCAACCATTCGAAATGAGAAATGCCATGGGATATGTCCAGCCGGCGGCAGTATTGATGCCCGTGTGGCAGGTGTATTTGCCCTTTAGATATGTTAGTTCAGTGTCGGGATCCTCCTCTTTGGCTACGGCGACCACATAGTACTCGGGTTCACCCAAATTGTATATTTCCGACATGAACGGTACCAAATCGTAGTTCAATCCACCCGTGTACACATCTCCGGCATCAAACACAGCCACATCGGCCTTTCCAGACTGAATCAGTTGCATGCAATTAATGTGCGAATGCATCTTTTTGCAGATAAGTTCGGGCTTCAATATTTGCGCCTTGAGTGCGGTCTGAAAACGGAGAATAAGTCAGAGAGAAGGTGGGAGACGGGTATACAAATCGAGCTCACTTTCATTTTGATGCATTTCTCCAGCTCGGGATCTGAGGTGACGCACAACGTCATTGAGGGCACCGGACATTCACGGATGCCGTAAATATAGCTAATGGATTTTTGCAGATATTTCGAAAAGGATTGATCGTCTTCCGGTATGGAAAGCAAAGCGCGGGATCCATCCTAAAAAGTTGATTAAATTTGTAATATAATTCTTAGAAATTCTTCGTTTTTAATTACCTGAAAGAGCAGATTGGATTTGCCATATCTTCGAGATTCAAAAATGCGGAATTTTTCATAAGGCACCGATGTGTTGCCACCATCAAATTGATTGCGTTCAGTGGTGAAACTGCTGTCCAATCGCTCATTGCGATAATTGGAGTTATCGTATTGATCATAGGGATTCTGGTTGGGATTCCTATTCCTATTGTAGCCGTTGATGTTGCTGTCGTATTGGCCATTGAAATTGTCGTAGGGATTGTTACGATTTGGATCATTGTAGTTGTTGTTGCGATCGTATGTGCCAAAACCGCCACCAGTCTGCGGCTGACTGTGAGCTGGGTCCTCGCGAACACCATCCGAATACAGCTCAGTGATGCGCTTCAAAAACTGCTGGTATTGCTTTCGTTCGCGAAAACTACGCGCTGACGAGGTAACAATCGCATCCGAAGGCACTTGACCCCAGCTGCATTGGCGATAATCGGCGATGGGCACACGGCTGCCATCACGGCACAGCAATTGGAACGTATCCGGTGACATATTTTCTACAGTTAGTTATAATATATTAGATTAAATATATAAAAAATAATTCCAATGGGCTACTAACGGAATTCGATGGTTTGCAGCATTTCGGAGACCGTTGAATGTCGCAAGAATGCCACATCTCCCGCCTCGAGGAGGCACCTAAATGCACCGTCATAGCCAAAATAGGGATCCGCTGACGAACAGCGCAGAGGAATTTTGCCAATACACAAGCCACACAGTCTGTAAGACAAACATATTAATAATAAAAACAGATTTATTTAACTTTGCATATGCTTACTTGTCCGAGTTGTCGCCGATGGGATTGTATCTATCAATCAGTGAGTAGACAGCACAGGAACTATTAAAATAGTTGGCAGCAGTTTTAACCTGATTGTTGCAATCCACAATTTCCATATCTCCATGGTGTTGCAGCTATAAATAAAACCATTTTAATTTATTATGTTTAGCTTGAGATTGGAGGATTAGCTAACCGTATGTATTGGCACAATCCAGCCAGCCAGACTGCCCACCCAGGGGAAGCAGGCGCGTTTATTGCGCAGATGTCGTATTTCGGTCACGTCGGGCAGGGAATTCTTTTTGATAACTGCCACTGCATTATATTCCAAGAAGCCACCCTCCAGCTTCTCCTGCATAATTGGGATCAGCGAGTTGTAACGTCCAGCGGTGAACACATCTCCGGCATCCAGCGATGTGATGTGCGCCTTCTCCCGATCCAAATTATGGATGCACTCATCAGCACTGTATGCCATCAAACAGGTTAGATTCAGAAATACATCGTCGAAGAGCGCCCGATCTCGTTCGATGGCCACAGTCAGATTTTGGCATTTGAACTGCTCCTCAAGACCTTTTGTGCACCAGATTACATTACTTATTTTATGTTCATCGTAGTGATGTTGTGCTACAAAGTAGAATTAATTAATTAATTATGATTCTGAACAAATTGTTGTAAACACTTAATTAACGTGCTTATTTGTTTTAATTCAATCAATCACACACACACACACATGCAGGCAACAACGCCCAATGTTTAGTCAGCGACTTGAGCAAAACAATATTTGTACATACCATGCGTTACAATAAAGCAAAGTGCGCTTATGAGGCATATAATTATAAAAGCTCTAGCCATTTTCACACACAGAAAAATACAATACACATTTAGTTTAAATTGATATTAAACAAAAAAAAACACAAAATCACAAACGAAATGAACCAAACAACGGCGACACGCCCGTAGCATGCATTAATCGATAATAATTGCGATTGATCGTTTTCTATCAATGCTACACAAACCAGTGTTGGGCACGCGTTGTTTATTGTCGGCATTTGAGATTTTTTTTAGACCATTTGCATATAGCAAGCAGGTTGTTATTGTTTTATAATAGTAAACTATAAAAAACATTGAAGAATTAAAAATAATAAAATCTGTCTTTCAGCACAATGGCAGTTTTGCGCGGTTGGAGATTCATGGCGTTTGTGTCCTGCATAATTGGAGCCGTTGGATTAACTTTATATCCAGTTGTAGTGGATCCCATGATAAATAGCCAAAAATACAAATCGCTGCGAGATCAAACGATACACAAAAAATAATACAAATCAGAAAAACAACGTGTTTTAAATTAATATAATAAAAATTGTGTTGTTTAATTATTATATAAATATTGTAAGCAATAAAAGCTAGCAACTGTTGCATAGAACGGAATTTATATTGATTTTAATTATTCACACGCTTTGAAGGGAGTGCAGATTAATTGTTGTTAATTTATTCTAAGTGTTATTATATTTTTTATACGAGTGCTACATTTTTATAAATTACAGTTTGGTTGAAAAGACAGTGAGACATTCACAGCACTGCCGGCAAAAGTTGTTATCAATTTCATAATCAGCTGATTTCCAGACAATTTGTGTACACAAACACATACGTGGAAATTTTCATATGACTGAGTTGGTTTTCTCTGTCCCAGTTTAATAAAATGTCGACAGCCACTTTAGAACGTGAGGATATATTGCTACTCTTCGATGTGGATGGAACTTTGACAATGCCCCGGTCGATAGTGAAACCGGAATTTGAGGAGTTCTTCTATACGAAGGTGAAACCACGGGCGACAATTGGAATTGTCGGTGGATCGGATCTAGAGAAAATGTTTGAGCAGCTAAATGGCAAGAAGATATTGAATGAGTTCGATTTAATCTTCCCCGAAAATGGCCTGGTGCAAATTGACGGTGGCAAGGAAGTGGGCAAACAAAACATTATAAAGCATTTGGGCGAGAAAACTTTGCAGCGATTTATCAATTATGTGCTACGCTATCTATCCGAAGTGGAACTGCCCATTAAGCGAGGAACGTTCATCGAGTTTCGCAACGGAATGATGAATGTCTGCCCCATTGGTCGCCAGTGCACCCGGGAAGAGCGTAACATGTTCGCCGCCTACGATGCCGAACATCAGATTCGATCCAAAATGATTGCAAAGCTGAAGGAAGAGTTCGCTGATATCGATCTCACTTATAGTATTGGTGGACAAATTAGCTTTGATGTCTTCCCGCACGGTTGGGACAAAACCTTCTGTCTGCGTTACATCGAAGCCCATTACAAGTATAAAGAGATTCATTTCTTTGGCGATAAAACGGACCCGGGTGGCAATGATTATGAGATTTATAGAGATTCTCGCCTTAAGGGCCATAAAGTTAATACCCCCGACGATACGATGCGAATACTTACAGAGCTTTTAAATCTTTAATGTCTCGAAAAGTTGACTGACTTTCATACATATGTTTTTATAAAATTCCAATTCAAATCCATTGTATATTTTGTAAAAAAATAAATGTAAAAATATGTTGTTTTCAATACAATTTTGATAATTTCGTCAATTTGCAATTACAGATACAATTTTGTGTGTATTTAAATTATTACAAGAATTGTGAATGATTAATTAGCGTTACTTAAAATACGTAAGAAAACATTTAGGGTTAGAGTGTTTGTGAGTGTTCTTTAGACGAGTTTAAAAGACCACCTATATAGAGTATTATATAATTAAATTGCATGTGTAACATTTTATATTTTATCCAACGAACTCATGAAGATTACACATTCTCAATCTCAATCAATCCTCAGATTATTGTCTCTTACATTACAAAACGTTACAAAGAGTTTTAGAGATTTTTAATCATTTAGTATTGGTATATTGAAAGAAATCATTTTGGATTAGGATTTTAGCACATTATTGTTTAGTGAATTGCGGTCATTAACCGACCAGTTGGAGTCAAAGCCACAAGCCGAATCGGAATCCGAATCGACAACCAGAGATGAGCCAATGCTTTTGGGTGCACGTATTTGATTTGGAGTTGTGGGCATGCTGCTGTAGCCAGTGTTGAGATTTGAACTGGAATTGGATGAGCAGATGGAGTCCCGCGGTGAATCGGTGGCATTGGAGGCATATGATGAACGTTTCGAGGATCTGTAGCGCTTTGAAACGGATTTTGGTGGTGGCATTAGGTTTTCGGAACGCTGCGTTATATTGTCGGCTGAGCCCCAGGACTTGTGAACGGCCTCATAGATATTCATATTGAGTGGAACACTCGCACGCGAGCCGAGCATATTATTCGTTCCGTATGGTATTGTCGCCGATGCTCTCTGATTCGGAGGACGATTCCGTGTCGTACCATTGGCATGAAGATGATGACGCTGATGAGGGTGACGGTGAGTTCGCTGGTGATGGCGATTCACTTCGGCGGATCCCATCGGCCCAACTGGTCCACTGCCATTGCCCACTCCCAAGAAGTTGCTGAACGCTTCGGTTGTTTTCTTTACTCGGACATTCAGTGAACCAATCCGCAGGAATCCCAAATCTTTTTCGACTATAAAATACAATGAAATTCAATTAGTAAATAAGTATAAATAAAATATTATATTTTATGACTTACTTGTATTCTTTTTTCGCGCTTTGATTTCTGCAAAATTGAATGAGAGAATTATGTAAATAATTATTTGTTGGTAAAGTTAAAACTGCACATGCACATTAAAAAATGCAGTTAACAATTAAATGATAATATGTAACCTATAAAATGTTTAGTAACTTTTTTTAAAAGGACAAATGAAAGTGCGTATTAGGAATTCATTATAAGAGAGAAACTTACCAAAATAATAAAATAAGTAAAACAGGCATCAAAATCAAATGCTTTTAAATAAAAATATTGAAGAATACTACTAAAAGCGAAAGGGTTTCTTTTTTTTACAATGCTTAAAAACAATTGAAGAAATTATAATTATATATATTTATAACAAGCGGAAATTATGCAACGAATAAACATTTTATTGAACATTAATCGATTGAACACATTCAAACTCGTTAGTTAGTTCAACCTGCCTCCAGGTTCCATTGAGTCCGCCATAGTGCCGCATCGCTTGAATTTCTACACGTTGCAATGATGAAAATAAATAGAGGTTCCCATTTTAGATAGTGGAGAACTTAAATATATATGTAAGACTTTAATTCAAGACATACTTTAGTCGAATTTGATCAGCTTGGTTATATAAGCTGTAGCGTTTAGACATGCAATTTTTAATAAATGGAGTTTTAAAAATGGAGTTCATTTGTGAATCTCGTTGAATGAAGTAATTTAGTTTATTAATAAATTAACTGCTGCAAAACTTTTTATGTTTTGTTAAGGCAACTGCGAAGCATCAAAGATCATATATGCGATCCACAATATAATAATAAATTTTAAATTTGAATTAATATGATAATGTATAGCCATCTGACTATTTCTTTTTAGCGTTTTTGGCTGAATGAAGTCAGTACAAATAATACATTAAATTAGTACATCAGCAGATTTAAGTTCATTATAGATCTTTTGAAACTTTCGGACCACACAACGTACATTTAATAATTATTTTTTAATACACTGGTTTATTTGCGTTGAACTGTTTCAAGTCTCATTTTGATATCGTCCACAAAAATTCATTTCTTTTTTTTTAAATTCACACTTTAAAGATACAAATTTCATTACTGTTGCTAAAAAGGGTTTCACAGATAATAATTCAATATTATAAACTAAATATAAGATAACATTTTGAATACCAATAAGCATATTATATGTTAGTTTAAAATCACCTATTATGTATTAAAAGGATTAAAAAGGTGCCATTTCATTAATTGGTTAGCAAATGTGTACAAAATAAGATAATTGTGGGTTAAAAAATAATACAATTGTTTATCCTGTGTTTAAACAGAAAGGCAAGATATAAAAAAACTGTCGGCTTGTAGATATTATAATATAATTATGATTTGTATTAGGTTTTTTAAAATGCAACAAATAAGCACAGAAAGTATATTTCTGAAGTACAAAATATATCTACAAGTTGACAATGATTTTTTGTTGCCTTGTGAAAATTGGAGAGTACATAAATAGTTAGATATTTAGCACATGCTTGGTTTATGTAACTAATTGGTTGGGTTAGTAACGACATCGTCAGGGGCTCGGCGCGCACCGGCAGCGGACCGAAAAGTTTTACGCAGAAAGCTCTCTTTGCGGCGAGGGGGGGCACCGCGACTTTTGCCCGCAATGCTTTCACTCCTCAACACCTCATCTTTCAGTTCGCCGGGCTGATCAGAATCACTGTCATCATTTGGGGCTTTAAATAGTAAGGGTCGAACCGATGGCTTCTTATAGCGACGCGTCGATGACGATAACAGCGATTGGGTGCGCCCAAGAGTGCCCCCACCGGTGCCAACTGTGGCATAAAGCAGCTGAGAGCGTTTCTTGCCGTGTGTCAGTGCGCTGCCGAGTGTACCGCCTCTGATCTCATGGCCACCGCTCTCAAATTGTTGGTTTCCCAGTTGGTGGTTGTTGTTTAGCTCCGGATTGAAGAAATACTTTTCATACTCACTGCTGCACGTTGAGGCCGAGACACTGGCACGCTGCCGACTATAATCCAGTGGCTTATTTCCACTCCAATCCATAATGTCACGATTGGCCTCTGCAAGAGTAAATGTTTAAATTAATTGAAGTTTTTAGATGATAATAATATTTTAGATAGGCTTACTGTAAACATTCCAGAGTAATTCGAATATATTATCCCTTCCAAATTGTGTGGCCAAATGAAGCGGTGTATATCCCTATAGAAAAATGCAAAAATAATTATTAAAGTTGTTCACTTATAGTGTTATTTAAATTCGAATATAACTAATATTTGTATAAACTAAATAAACTCTAATTTAAATGTAAATCAAAACTGAAAAGTTGTGCAACTTTTGATTCCTTTTTTTCTGATTTGGTTTTTATAAAATGCGTATCCAATCAGTTGGAAAGTCGGATTAAATTGAATGTAACACATTCGTCGTGATTGACAATTCACTTTGTCTCCGTTTTTGAGAAGCGACATTTCAAAACATTTGAGTGAGAATTTAATTTGTTTGGAACAAGGCACGGTTCAATTTAAAATTGTGTAAACTTCGCATGCATAAACCAAAGGATTTGAGGTTGGGCATGTTGTGTGTGGCACAATTGGATTTGCTCGTCACGATTTGTCACAGCTTGCCTCAGATACCGTATGCCTCATGGGAAGGGTTAAAGAATTGTTTTATTTTTTTTTTTCATTCTTTTTCCTCTTGCCGTGTGACATGTGACGCAGATTTTCGCGTGCTGGTGACAAGGCAATCAGTCGATTCGTATATTATTAAAAGTATTTCAATATAATTCACTTACCCCATGCTATACGACAATGCGGACAAATGGCAAATTGGCAACAACATGAAATGTCAAAGAATTTAAATATTTTAAAACGATAGATTGATAGATAGATATTATATTATAAAAATCACTGTAAAACTTACCGTTCGGGCATTGACATCCGCTTTATAGGTGCCGGCAATTAGTTTAACCACATCCTCGTTGCCGTGCTTGGCAGCCCAGTGTAGAGCGGTCTTCAACCAAAAAGGAAAGAAGTAAAACACGGTTTTAATTAGTATGCGGACCAAATGAGAGCAAAACAGGCATATTGAGCTATCCACACAATGGCATATTAGCTTGAAACAAATCGGTGAAGGGACAACTGAAGGACAGCGAGTTAAACAATCAGCAGGGCGTCGATGTCCCAATATGCTGCACTTCTGGAACTATTTGTTCGACCATCAATTGCTGTCGTTTAGCCACAAAAAAAAACAAAAACAAAAAAATCAACAAAAAAGCAAAAACAAAAAGGATGCAGCCGCTGCTGCTGCTGCTGCGTCCGAGATTATACGATATATATAAATAAATTGGCCAGCCGCTGCCGAATGCCTTTTGCCTCAATTATTTTCATGTTAACATAATAATTTAGTAAGGCGCAACGATTCGGGCCGCTCAGATAAGGGAGCAGCTCTGGAACTGCAAGATCGCCGCGAGTGCACGATGATTTTCTATAGAATTGTTTGCCACAGCAATGCTACGTACCAACTTTACCAACAACCAACAACCAAGAAGCAACAGCCGACCAACAGCCAACAAACTACCAACAACGTATGTGTTGACAATGAAGACGGTCACTTTTTGAACAGCAACGACAAACAAGCCGAGTCTCTCAGCCACAACGAAATCGGGCCAGAACAAATAGAGTTTCAGGCAATTCCCGCTGCTGGATCGGTATGTAATTCTTTTCAAGGGAAATTTGTTTTGTGTCTACCAGCTTAAAGAGGGGGGGCATACGGGCTGACATACATATGTGGCTACTATTTGCGGTCGATGCATCTTAATCTGCACTCTTTGGCATTTAATCTCATCCATTGTCTTAGCATTTCGTGGAGAAATGTTCACGAACAGAAGCTGCATACGAATGCAGAACACTGCTTGGACTTATCTTATCAGCAATGTCAACCGATTAACGATATGTATTATTTAGTAAGAGTCTCACTGATATTCTCTCTCTATATATATATATGGTATATTTGTGCAGAGGAATAATCAAATTATTTACAATTGCTAATTAATAAACGCTTCTTATGTGTTCAACATGTTAGAGTATACAATATATACTGAAATTTCCTATTATTCAGTGTAATCGACTAAGAAATGCTCTGTTTCCATATTACAGATGGACAAATTGATTGAGTTCAAGATGATTTTGAATAATATATATGCTTTTAAAGGGTAATTTAATAATAATAAGAATATTCTTATTTACGCATTTTTGAAATTTAATGTTTTTAAAATCTTAAAAAGTGTTGGATGACAGCAGTCAAGAAAGTTGATCTGGTTACAGGGTATTTTACAGTCAACCACTTTCGAATGGCCTTTGCCACAAAGGTGCGTAAAAATATGCATTCATCAATAATAATTTTCTGTATTTAAATAATAATAGAATAATAGACCAATAAATAAATGTAAGAAATGCAAGTACGAAGAAGTACAGGGTATTTACGAGCATTTTCGATATGCTTTTGTTTATTCATATTATTCATGCATCAACCATATTTTTCTTTAAGTTGTCCTCATTAGAAAAATAGACAAATAGTTAAATAATTCGAAAAGATTGGAAACCCTATTTTGGCGCTCAATTTAGGTCGTTTGGATGCACACTGGACAATCCTGGCAATGCACAATCGATGGCTGTGATTAATAAGCTGCTGATAGGCATTCAAATGAGGCGAGAAATCATGAAAATGATTATCGCTTTGTCATAAGATGGGAGGCAGCAAAAGGACTGGTTTTGCGATTTACAAATCGTCTCACGCGCAAAGTAAGAGCACCGATTTTGGCCATTTCGTGAATATCGCTTCCACACCGGCTTCAGGCTGAGGTTGTGGCAGAGGTTTTAGGCTCAGACACTTTACATATGGCATGTTGTCCGTCTGCACGTTTAAATTTATTGTCCATTCCATTAATGGTGGCAAGGGACAGAAATTCTGCGTCTCTGACAGTGAAATGCCATAAATTCTTGCGTCTCGTTTCAGTTGTGGCATTGTACTGCCATCGGGAAGCAAACAGAGCGATTTGCTCTCTAGAGTTCGGAGGCTCAGGGCTCAGGGCTCGGGGCCATGTCCATGTCGTGGAGTCAACCGACGGTGTTGGCGATCGCGGTTGAAGGGAATCCAGCAGCTGCTGCTGTAAACGCATTGTGAAGGAATTCCAGGAGTATGGAGCCAAGTACCAAAGACCAGGTCGTGAGACAGCCATGGTCCTTCTAGCACTGCTGCCTCACGATCATAAAAGGATGGCCAAAATATTTGTCACTCGTTTGGTCCACTGTGGAGCAGCGCAGACAAGAGCTGAGCTGGGTAGCAGTAGTAGTAGTAGTGAAGGTGTCACAGCTGGAATTCGATATGGTAAAAATGCGATGGTATGTGTTCATCTGGATCATGACAATAGATGATTGAAAACGAAGATAACGATTTGCGATAAGCAACTGAATCTCACAAAGCAAACAACAGCACTTGCCAAAGTACCATTGTCGTATTGAATACGAGTAAATTAAATCAATACCACAAAATGCAAACAACTGCTAAGGTGTGCTGAATCCAACATTATAAAAAACAAAGCATTTACTAATTGGTAAGCTTAGAGGCTAAATTTAGTAGAGACTACGGAGCGTATACGTGCTCTAGAATTTGATGAGAGCAATCTGTATTCTTTTTAGTCAGGTAACTTTTGCCATACTAAAGTGATAATCTGTCAAGCTAACTACGCCTCTTATGGTTAGTTTTAGAGACTCGGCTTCTTAGAGAACTTTAAAATAATAATACTAAAACTATGTGCCTTATGTGTACAATTTAATTTAAATTTTTGTGATAAGGCTTTACTTCGAATAAGAAAACAATCAAGTCAATATTTTAAATTAGAAAATCAAATGGAAGGACTTCACTCTCACAATGTTCGATAGAAAATGTACAAGTAAAATCGATTTGTGTATATTCTAAATATATTATATATTATTAAATATATAAAATTATTTCATTGAGCTATAATATTATACTTGAATTTTATTGTAATATAATACTTACATACTGTCGTCCAAACGTCGCAGAGAGCAATATGTAAAAAGAGAATTAAAATCAAATTAATATTATCAATTAAGTGAAAAAATGTGTTGATGAAAAACAAATGTGCAAAAATAGTCAAACAAGATTATTTAGCTAGTTAAGCCAAAGCTGTTATTAATTGTTAAGTATAGTGCACAGACAGAGCTGGCAGTTCGCCTTAACAATTTAATAACACATTGGCAAGTCTCAACGGCAATTACACTGTACGATCCTGGCAGATGCATGTCAAGTCCAGTCCAGTTCAGTTCAGTTCAGTTCCGTCACTGAATGTCCTCGTAGGACATTGTGCACTGCTCGCAAAAATGATGTTTCCCCTAATGGTGCCAACTATGATAATGAGGGTCATCCGAGCTGGAATGTGGGCTGGCAACGGAGCCTGACGTTCAGTTTAGTTCACTTCAGCTCTGTTCTGTTCAGGTTAAGGTTTTGCGCCAAAAAGTCGAGCGCGCCTGCGAAGTGGCATTGGCGCAACAGCAACACGAAGAAGTCGCTCGAAGGCGTTTTGATCGAAATTCGATATTACGTTGATAAGACACGAGAGCTGCCAGCCAGGCAGACCTGGGTAGACCTGCTGGAATCTTTTGGCGGTGCTATCCAGAAGCTGTCGTTTTGATCGATCGTCTGCACATGAAAAATGTCATGTTTAACAAGTATTTTGCTGGTTGTAATTAAGGCTGTTCGGAATTGAGCCAAGCCGCAGATCGTCAAAGTGTGTGACGTGAACTTTAAAAGATGTTTTTAGCAAGTGACAATTGTTATGGAAATTCATTTATCACAACACCAATCAGCCAGTCAACAACAATTTCATGCCCCGGTTCGCTCTTCTAACTATTCATTAAGGTTTTAAGGACAAGAGCAGCAGTTAGAAAGCGAACATACTTTTTTCGCTCGTAATGTGAATTTAATTGTGTTTGTTTTTCAAAAAAAAAATATATATATATATGTGCAACTATTAAAGTAATTTTCAATACTTACACCCTGTGGTTAAAGTTGAGCAGTTCATGTAAAAAGAGAAAATAACATGAAAAATTAGATCTTAATTGTTTTAGATTATTATCGCTTAATCACTTTTTGGTTAGTTTTGATATGGCAACTATGTGACTAAGACTATAAAGAAATGTAATAAGTAGAGTATTTCTATAGTCTTTGGTAATAGTTATAATTATTAACTAATAATTAATAGTTATAATTATTTATTTGTTTAATTAGTAACGTTCGCCAAAAATGTTTGACTGAATTAATTTACAAATACATTTTTAAAAACTAAAGAAAAATAAAATTATAAAAATGTAAAATAATAATTAAAAATTTGAATATAAAATAATTATGTGGAAACTGTTTGATCCTGTGATTTTATAATGTTAGGAATAGGTATAATAAAGTTGTGCAAATATATTTATTTCTCCATTTCGGTCGCTATAATTAATGATCCGACTAAATCAGCTAAGCTAATCAAAACCAACCATTGTCTGTGCTTCTGGTAAGATAATTACATGACAGATTTCAACAGTTTGGACTATTATAGATACCGAATGTAATACGCTAAGACAGACGAGTAGCATATTCCCAACGAAGGAATTTAGATACTTTATTTCAGAACTATTAATAATATAAAGAAACCGAAATCGAAACAAATACAAACTGAATACAAGACAATCCGTGTTAAACATACCTCAAGAGTAAAAGGCACGCAATTTGAGTATCAAATAAATAAAGCATATACGAGTAGTTAATAAGCTGAAATCCTATACCAGTAATGCTACTGAAAATGTGTATTAGTTCCCAGAGTAATGAAAACAAGCGCACCAAACACGAATGTGAAACCGAAACAATTATTTTCTCTTTACGAATGTAGTATCTAAAGTGCAGATTAACTAAATTGATTAGAAATTATACTATATGTATATATA